TGTCTCTGATACTCCATTTTAGTTTTGGATGGGCACTTAAAAAGTCTGGTTTTTGACTTCTTGTATGGATAATATTTTAGATCTACCGAACTTTGATTTTCTTAGAAGTCTACACCACCACAAACCTAGGTGGTGTAGCCCACTACACACCTAAGCTGGATACCAACCTGTTGGGACCACTGTTGTGTATGTGGTTTGTCTTTGACTAAAATATTATGTGGCATATGATTGTGCTCCTATACATTTTGCTTTTAGACAGCTGTGTTCATCGGCCTGGCCGCCAAGTCAAAATCCAGGCTGTGGGGCTTAAACAACAGAATTTAATTTTCTCAGAGTCCTGGAAGGTGGAAGCCCAAGAGCAAGGTGTGGCAGGCGTGTTTTTTCCCAAGGCCTCTCCTGGGCTTGCAGAAAACTGCCTTCTTGCTATGATGGTACATTCTTGGTATCTCTTCCTCTTTCCTAAGGACGTGGGTTCTACTGGAACAGGGCCCCATTCTTACAACCTCATTTACCCTGAATCACCTCCCTAAGGTCTATCTCCAGATATGGTCACCATGGGTGTTAGGCCTGCATTGTTAGAATCTGGGTGAAAGTAATTCAGGCCATGACAACAGCACTCCTCTGGCTGGGTGTTAGAAGGCCCGCAGCAGAAGTGGTGGAAATACTGCTATAACAGTACATTAATTTGTAGCCTTTAAGTCATTCTGCTCCCTCAGTGCATAGCAATTTATCACTTATTTTCTCTTCTCTTCATTTCCCATCACTTGAATGTCTGTGATTTGGTGACTTTGACCCACAGACATAAATATGTATGCATAGCTTTAACAGATTCCATTAGTTTTGATAGTTGCCCTTATATAGTGGCACATTTTTTTTTTTTTTCCAAAAGGTTATTTTGTGGTGGGCTACTTGATGTAATTGGAAAACACTGTTGCAGCATAGGTTCAGAGCACTCGTGTATGATACATGTTGAGTGACTTTTTTAATCTTTTGAGATCAGAGATGTGCAGTTGGCTTGCACTGATTTGAGGTATTTGTGAAACCCTTTGTAGAACTTTCCTGTAGAGGAAACTGTAGTTTGGAAAATTTCCCTGCCATTTGGCAACTTTCATAGGAAATAGAAGACAGTAGGGTGGAAAAGTTTCATCATGTTGATTGTCTTTGCTGGCAGAGGCAGACAACTGTGTCTTCTATTCAGGAGCAGTATGTTCTGTAAGGAAATTGAGTAGCAACTCACTGATAGTTGGTGTGTTTATTTTCTCTTTCAAGGGGTAGACTTGGTCTTGTTTTATCTTTTGCTGTCTCAAGCTCCTCCTCTGGAGATAGAATTTTTTAAAGAATAAATGTCTAAATTATTTGGTGATTTTTGTCTTAAGTCTTGATTCCATGTGGTATACTGTGCTGGGGCTTTATTATAAATCTATTTGTGGTGTCTGTTTATCAGTTGGGGAAGAGACCCTCAGGTAGCTGTTTCTGTGAACTTAACCGAAGGATGTGTTTATTATCTGGGAAGATGCACTCAGTAATATGCAAGTGCAAGGACAGAGAACTCCCTCTAGGTTTAAGTTCAAAGTAGGTTTTTTAGTGTCAAGTCATAGGAAGTACTGGATCCAAAGGTTATGTGAATGTTACATAAAAATTGAAATACAGTTCATTACGGGAGAACTTTAGAACTTCAAGGTTATAGAGAATGAGCTCATACCCCGGTTTGCCTTTCGTTCAATATATTTGACCAAGGAGAAGTATTTGAACCTCCATTTCCTCAATCAGTCTTCATTACACTTCAATGAGAGTGCCTGGAATAGAAAGGTTACAAGGGTGAGTCCTCTCCCTTCTCTTCTTCCTCATTCCTCCAAGCCTTTTTTTCCCCCTTTCAAATTAGAAAGTACATGGGGAAAAAAAAAAACCACAGCAAAAGATTGAAGGCCAACAGACATTCCCTTTTCCATTTATTCCTTTCTTTAAAAAGTATTTGCCCTGTTGATTTTATTATGTTGGATAATAAAGGATGCAGGTCTAGAAAGAGAAAACTTTCAAGTACCAGAGAAGAGCAGAGAACTGACCACACCCAAGGTGCCTGTGCAAATTTGTTGAGATTAATTGTGTGAAGACCATCTTGAGATTAATTGTGTGAAGTCCTGTTTGCGCACTCTGAAGCCACCATTGCTGGCCCACCAGATTTAGGAGGTGTTTTTTGACTGACATCTGCATCGTTGCCATCTGAAGACATAAACTGGCAAGGAGACATAAACTAGAGGCAGATAAACCAGATGTGCACCCAGGCCACATCACCACAGAATGTGTGGGGCTAAGAGTATCATGTGAGTCCTAAGTTTGACACCAGACAAAACTGAGAGGTGCCCAGAGACCCCAAACTACTTAGGGAAAAAACCCATTCACCTTTTCTAGGGGTCTCTTTCTCACTGGCTTGCATCAAAGCAGGGTAATTGAATTCTAATTTCTCAAAGGTATTTAATGGGTGAGAAGCTCCCATTAAAGAGACAGAAGAGAAGGCCTCCCCTCGTGGTACAGCGGTTGAGCGCTGGGCTGCAAAGCTGCCCACAGCCTCTGCAGCGCCAGTTTGATCCCCGGCCACCGGGGAGGGTCCCACATGGCGCGACAGACCTCTCCTGCCGCTCCCGCTGCTCCCCTCAGCAGTGTATTTCGTCAGTCTGCCTGCTCTGCTCCTGTTCTGGCTTCCTGCTCTGGCTCTCTCACCCTCCCGCGCTTATGACTGTACCCAGTGCTTGTGTAAATAAATAAATAAATAAATAAATCTTTAAGGAAAAAAAAAAAAAGACAGCAGAGAGAGGATTTCAAATAACAGCCTCTCATTCCAACTCTGAAACCACCCATCCCCTACTAGGCAAATAACCAGCTAATCACACAGGGCCTAGGGCTGAGTGGGCAGGGCCCAACAGCAAAGTTGCCAGAACCAAGTCCAAAGCACATACCAGCAGGAAGGCTAGGCCAGGCCCAAAAAGCTTGTTCTCATAAACCCCAAGTGGGTTTTTGAAACCTTAAAGAACAAGACAAAGGAGGTGGGGTTGATGGCTATCTGGACACAATCACCGTCGGTTTTGGACAGAAAGGTTTACACCCTCTCCCACATTCATATTTGAAGCCCTAACCCCCAATATGATATTTGCAGGCAAGGCCTTTAGGAGTTAATTGGGGTTAGGTGAGTGAGGGTAGGTCTCTGTGCTGGGATTAGCGTCCTTATAAAAGCCCTAACCCCCAATATGATGTTTGCAGGCAAGGCCTTTGGGAGTTAATTGGGGTTAGGTGAGTGAGGGTAGGTCTCTGTGCTGGGATTAGCGTCCTTATAAGGAGAGACCACAGAATTCTTTCTGCTATGTGAGGATACTTTGAGAAGGCGACTGTTTACAAGCCAGGAAGAGGTTATCACTAGGAACCAAATATGCTGACACCTTGATTTTGGACTTCAGAACTGTAGAAAAGTATGTCGAAGCCACTCAGTCTGTGGTCTGTTGTTAAAGCAACCAGAACTGCTGAAGACACCTGTCAAGTGCTCTTGATACAAGGCCTGACCTGAACAGAAACATTGGCCAGGGACAGCTTTGTAACTGGCCTTCCCATGTTGAGAAGACTGACTTCAGCAGTAACCAAAGGACATGATTTTGCAATGCTATACTTAAAAATTCAGATAATACAAGGAAAATAAATACCACTATTTTAAACTCACATTGCCTTATGAAATATTCTCTTTGATTCTTCTGTTGACTCCTCCTCAAACTGTCCATTTAAAACAAAAATCATAATACAGATATTCTTGCTGCTCATTGACCCCAGATGCACAGGTTCAGAGTAAGTTCTCTGGCATTTCTGTGCTGGGGTATTGATAAGATCTTCATGTGCATTTATGTTCTAGGAAGAGGAAGCTGCAAATGACGGTTCACGTTTAACAATGCATACCCCACTTCTGCACAAGTGGTGTGTGGCCCTTTTGTCCATGATGCCTCTGATGTTGGCAAGATGGTTCTGAGCTTTGTTGTCTGGTAGCCCTTCACATCTCTGAGGTTAGAGTATCTCCTGCTTTTCATTTCTGAAACCATGCCCTTGTAGCCAGACTGCGATCTTTCCCCATACATTTGTGCCTTTTCTTGTCCAGGATTGTGATGATTTCAGGTCAGTGGCTTTATTGAGGCTCTGCTGTTTGCCAGGTCTTTGACTAGGTACTGACAGAGACCCCTACCTGATGGCAAGGACAAGGAGGCCCTTGAGAAGAAACACAGACAAGGAAAATAACTAAGCTTTTTGGTAACAGTATTGCTGAGTGCTCGAAGCATAATAGTGATTTTTTTTGTTGTTGGTTGTTTTTCAAAGAAATTAACTTATATACATGCTAATATGTTTGTGTTTTTAAATGTGTACTAAAAAACTTTTTATATATTTAAAGAGATATTGTGTAAATGATGTAAACCATAAATTTGAACAGCTGGAAATGTCCTAGGCTGAGGCTGATGCCTTGACAATGCCTGCTGCAAGTGCCAGTGCCTGGGGCATCCAGCAGAGCCTTCTCCAGAGTTTCTTCTGTGAATATGGGCTGAGCACCCCTCTTGGGGGACCCTCATTCTCACAGGAGGAACTATGTGAGACTGTTCAGAATTTACCTGCTGCTTGGGGCTTGTTTGCTTTGGAGTAGCTGTGTAATTACCCTGTTTGTGACTGTAGTGGAGGTAGTAGGAATTCCTTGCATTACTCAGACTGGTACGACATGCACACCACAAGCCCCAGGATAACTCAATTTGTTCGTCTGTGTGGCAGTGGCAGTTACATACATATCCCAGTGCGGTGGTGAGGGAGAGCGTGGCTCCTGTGAGGGTGCCTTTCTTTTCAACTGGCAAACTGGCCAACACCCTGAGAAACTTGGGTTAATAATAACATAAGCAGAGGATTCATGATATCTGGAAAATGAGTTCATGTTCTAGACATTGCTTCTGTCTTCTAATCTCTGTATCTTTTCTGTTCTAACCCAGGTGCAACATTGGAGGAAATAAACCAGCATTGGGACTGGCTGGAACAAAATCTCCTCCATACCCTGTCCGTCTTTGATAATAAAGATGACATTGCCAGTTTTGTGAAAGGGAAGGTGAAGGTGGGTCCTTGGATTTTAATACTTCTCTAAAGTTCCTGGTCTTAAAACTTCCTTACAACTGCATCATTTTTTTATATTCTTACTGTTTTCTCCTTTATACCTGAACTAGCTGACTTAATACATTAAGTGAGATGAATTCAACTTGTCAACTCTCAAACTTTGCAAGTCAGTCTGAAATAAAAATACAGTCTCATCCTCAGGCCCAAGTTTTTGTTATTCTTTAGAAGTGAAGGTCCTTTTTTAAAATCTAAGGAAAAATACAATGTTAAAATTTGTTTTTACGTGCATTTATTTGACTTATTAATTTTTTTGCAGTTGTGACAACTTTCATTTTGTTGGACTTGGCATTTTCCTTCTCAAAAGAGGGTGCTGATTCTTAAAACAGACTAATTAAAAGGAATTAAACCCAATTAACTTTTGAGAAGGCCAGACAGGAATATTTTGGGAGGTATCTATTGATATTTCATTATGTAACTGGTTGCACTGCAATAACATGATAGATAACAGGTGCTTTAAAAACCTTAGACAGTGAAAGGTTATTTCTCATTCTTTTTTTAACTCTTTCATTAAACACTCTAAAACATTAACCTGTAATACAGGTTATAGGTTAAAACTTCCAGACCATTAATTTTGTTTGTTTTTCTACAAAAATTTGCTTTTCTAATATGTTTAAGTGCTTTAGCTTTTAGTGAAGGGTGATTGTCTATTGTAAAGGGATAAAATGGAAGTACTCTTTTCCTTTGGGGGCTGGGTATACTTGTGGGGTCAGTAGAAACCAAAGGCCTGCTGAGTCTGGGCAATGTGGCTCGTGTTCTGTGTTTTACCTCTGCTTCTAGCAGCTGCACCAAGCTGTGGTGGGTTCCCATTCAGCTTGTGGTTACCACCTCTGCCTAGCCCTACTGACTGTGGCTTGGTACCCTGGGTCTGATCACACTGGGACTTGCTTAGCTGGAGAAATTACTATTTTAGTTGCTTTTCATACTTTTTCTACTTTTTAAGTGTAGCATAGACTGGTGGTTCTTTGATTTAGGTGTTTCTTTTATTGATTTGGAGGAAGGAAATTCATATTTGCTACAGTGACTTTAGGAAATTTCCCTGGGGTAGTGGATGGGGGGATCTTTTCCTTTACTCTTGTAGATTTTTGTGACAAGGACCTGGAAATTAAGTTGATAAAAGTCAGATTAATTAGAAAAAGCTTATTAACATGTGCAGCATACATACATGTGAGAGAAACTCAGTGACGAATAACTCAAAGGTATAGTTAGATCTTGGAGCTTATTAACATCTTAAAGAGCGACAAATTTGTAGAGACCTGACAAGACAAAGCAAGCTGTGTTTAAGCTTTAGTGGTTGCAACTGTGGGAAGGTAAATGGGAGGAAATGAAAGGAAGATAAGGCTTATTTTAGTAAGGTTTGTTATAGATTTCCCGCAGTGTCTCTGGGCTGCTGAGAGTCTAGAGTTATCTCAGATCATTTGGAGTCTAATTTGTCCTCCTCTACAGAAGGGGGAGACACCTTTACAAATGGTTGGTGTTTCGGCAGATAGTAGGGGGCAGGCAGAAGGACTTCTTGATGTCCATTCTTTCTTGGTTCAGAAGCTTTCCTCCAAGTCTTATCCCCAATTGTCTTCAGCTCTAAATAATCCTCTTACCAAAGTGGCATATTTTAGAGTAGCATATTTGATCCTGTATGCTTCAAAGATAAAATGCTTTTAAAAATCTCCCAAGGAGGCCACAGGCCTGCACGGGGGCTGAAAACTAAGGGGTCTGCTGGTCTGAGATTGGTTGGCCACTGTGTAGTTTCTCCTGTTTCTCTGGGAAGATGCAAAGGCTCTGGAAATTGGAGCATTCCCATTTACATCCGAACATTAGACCCATCTATAAAATTTTAAAGAAATTCTTTGTTCTGAGCTGTGCCTGTCCATGGAAGTCAGATCTCTGTGTGGCCACCACGCTGCTGCATCTGGAGCTGTGGGTACCTTCTGTTCATCCATCACTGCTTGTTCTAGAGCCTTCTTAAAAAGGCCTTTCATGCCTCATGGTCCAGAGTAAGGGACTTCTAAAAATATTCATCTTCCTTAATTATAATTTTTATATTTTATAATGTCTTATTAAATGAAATATGAAAATGAAAACCTAATGAAGATAAAAATAATTTGAAACATTTCCAACCTTCAGGTTTATTTTAAAGATAACTAAAAATCCCATGTTAATCTAAATGGTAATACCCAGCTAATTTTCTAAATAGCTTGTATTGTGCAGGCTTTGGAAGCAGTTCCCCAAAACTCCCCAAAGTGGTTTATACTAAGGGATATATAACCTTTCATAATACCACACTTCCAAGAGTAGAAAGGAAGGCAAATGCTAATAAAGTTGAAGGGTAGAATTATAGGTATATTTAAAGCACTGAGTACCATATATGAGTCCTGGGGCCCTGGAATTCTTGTGTAGCTGCTCATGTGGTAACAAAAAAATTTATTCTCAGTGAAGAAATGTGCAGTGACTCACAGGAATGGGGAATCAGATTTCTGAGCTTGTTAATGAGTTATCACCTTTCAGAACAGTCTCTAGGCTAAAATTCTAGGCACTTCTACCACTTCACCCCCCCTCCCCCGATAAGAAAGGATCCCTAGTATTATTTGTTATTAGAAAAACAATCCTAGATTCAGAAGCTTTCCTTCAAAGTCTTTACTCCCAGTAGACCAGAATGCTTTGAAGGGATTCCTACAACTGCATCATTTTTTATTATATTCTTAACTGTTTTCTGAAACCTTGGCCAACAAACTCCTTTTCTACTGTAGAATACCACGTGAAATATATCAGGTATCAAACTGAACAGGCTTTCCCAAGATGCCACTGTGACATGTGGATTACTGTGAACTGAGGTCAGTCTAGGCCCTCAAGCTCATGAGACACTTTTACCACACTCATAATTACCTAGGGGAATGATGATTGGAGGTATTACCTAGAATAAGGATTTTTATCAAAAATTACCTTTATTCTGGAGAAACCTTTCTACACAGGAGGCAAACATCTAATTACTGAGAATCTGGTCTTTGCCTGTCCCCCCCCCCCTCTCTCCTGGAAGCCCTGGGCATCTATTCTATTCTTTAGTTCCGGAGATATTCTTCCGCTTCCCCACATTTGCTTTAGAATTGACATCCCTGTAGATTCTCTGTACATATGTAATTATATTTGTTCTTTTCTCCTGCCTGATGTTAATTTGATGGCATGACCAACCTGAGAGAAGCCCCGAGGGGGGAGGGAGAGATTTCCTTTCTATGCCTAAAATACAGACAGGCAGCTGTTAGCTTTATACCAATGATTTCTAACCTAACGAGGAAGATGCTCAGTTTTAACTTCTAATTCAAACTTGGGTAGTTCTTCAGGGTTGATTTCTTGAATGCACATACCTGAGCAGTCCCTTGGTCCTCCTATCCTTGGAGGGAAGAGCTAGAAGGTATCCTAACTAGAAATTGCTTGGTTGAGAATTAGAAGTCTGATTCACCCAAAGCCCCAAGGCTGGTAAATAGCCAAGTGAGAGACTTGTTCTTGATTTGCCATCCACCAGCTTTTTCTTTCCCACTGTGACCATGTTCCTGGGTGGTTGGCAAATGATCTGGTGAGCAGTTCTCATCCATCCTGTGAGTCTGTCATAGATTGAGGATGTATTCCTTGGGCAATACATTCCTGGTATCTGTGCTGCTGTCCTTCCTGCTCGCACCCCTTCCCGCACCTCCCCTTGCCTGCCTCACACACGTACCCTTCTCTTTCTGTGTCAGGCTCTGATTGCGGAAGAGACGAGCAGCAGGCTTGCGGAGCAGGAAGAGGAGCCGGAGAAGTTCCGAGAAGCTTTGGTGAAGTTCGAGGCCAGGTTCAACTTCCCAGAAGCAGAGAAGCTGGTCACCTATTATTCCTGCTGCTGCTGGAAGGCCAGGGTTCCCCGCCAAGGCTGGCTGTACCTCAGTATCAACCACCTCTGCTTCTACTCCTTCTTCCTGGGCAAGGAGCGTAAGTGAGGCCTGTGCTGGTGCCTAAACAAGTTACTAGCCTGAAGAATTAGAAACAAAAGATTTAAATAAGTGATTGTAATGATAACAGGTGGTACTTGCTTAATTTCAAGTGACTGTGCGGACAATTGTATTCAATGGTATAAGCTACTACCAAGAAGGGGGTTTGATTTGGTGAGAATTCACTTTTTCTATTGCCTTAAATATTTCCATGTCACTCACTCCATTTAGCTGCTAAAGCATTTTCATTATTACATGTTGCTTTGAAAACAGTGTTACAGCTGATGGCCCGTAATTCTGAAGGAGTGGAACATATTGCTGCTGCTTAAACCAGGGCTGTTTATGAAACTCATTCTGCCTGGGAGATCAGAATGCTCCGGAGAAGTAACTGGATACACAGTTGAAGAGGAATTTTTCACCTGGTCCTCTGGGTCTCGATTAGTCAGTGGCAGTCACCATACAAGGCAGAGGAATTCCAAAGTAAAAAAGAAAAAGCCACAAGTGTCATTCCCATTGACACTTCTTCCAGAACCAGATATTCTTTCAAGTGTCCTTACAGGGTAGTGTGGAAGCGGATGGATGGATGGATAATTTTTTCTGCCTGCATTTACATACATCCAGTTAAACCAATGGAAGGGATACCTTGAGTTCCGCTGTAGCCAGCTTTGCTCATGGGTGCCCTTTCTTCCCCATGCCTCCGGCTTCAGTTCTAATGTTCAGCACATACACCCTGTTTCCACAGCCCTTCCCCAGCCTGGAATGTGCTCTGACCTAACCTTTGTCATCCTTGTTCTGCTACTTTCTGAAATACTTCTCAAAATTAACACCCTGTCTTTCCTTCTGTTCCTTCATTTTTTTTTTTTTTAAAGATTTGTTTATTTATGCATACAAGAACTGGGGTACAGTACAGGCCAGAGGTACGGGGGGTGAGAATATTCACCAGAGACAGAGTAAGGAGCAGAACAGGAAGACTGAAGTGCACTGCTGAGGGGAGCAGTGGGCGAGACATAAGAGGTCTGCTGCGCCATGCGTGTAGCTTCCTGGGTGGCTGGGTTTTGAACTCGTGCTGCAGAGGCTGTGGACAGCTTCATAGTGCTGCGTCTTAACCCCTTGCACTACCAGGGAGGCCCCCCTCCCTTCATTCTAATCTGTACTTGGAAACTGCTGCTCAACCTTTAAAATTCAATTCAGATTTTATCACCTCCAGGGGGCCTTCCCTGGGCCCTATATTTTGTACCACACTTGCTTCTATTTTGGTCCTGTTAAGTCAGGGGTAGATTGTTTGTTTACATGTCTGTTTTCACTCTTTGAAAAAGCTCAGTACAAAGTAGATGTTTAATTGGTGAAAGCTGATGTGTAGATGGAGTATATGTGCATGTGAAGACTATATAGGAAAGCAACTGGGAGTGCTGAAGAAGTTTCTTCTAAGCCTGATGTAGAAACGTGACCTAAAATTATCAAAACACTGAAAACATTATTGCAAAATGAATGGAAAGAAATCATAGAAATAAAAACTTTCATCATCCCCTCCTTTACTTGAAAAGGAAAATGAGTTATTTCCTGACAGTTATCAATCATTGTCACTAAACCTAATTTGTTAGGATGATACAATTTGGGAAAAATAAATGATTCCTGCGTTTGACAGCATCTATCATTTTAAGCTGTTACATATGTCTCCTCCCCATTTGCTCAGCACCAGCACTTGAGCCTAGCTACCACTGTATTGGAAACATTTCTGAGAATAGAACACTTGTTTATAAAATGTACTATTTGTACTGTACTACTTTAAAAAAGAGTTCCATAATAACCACTTGTACTCTGTCTTCTATGACTCTAACAAGTGTCATCTGACCAGTCTAAATGTTAAGCCTGGTTCTCTAAACGAGACCATGAATAATCCTCTTTTGCACTCTTTTTTACCCCATAACTTATACCATGAATGCTGCTTTTGAAATATGCAAAACTTTTGCATATTTTGCAAATATTCAAGTTTAAGTATTCTTGAGAAAGTTTTTACATTATTAACTTGGTATTTCAGAAGGATGTCCCCATATGTGTACGGTTGTCAGAAACGTTCAAAGTTTTACTTAAATCTTTATGAAAACCTTTAGAATATGAGATAGTTTCTAACAGAGAGCATTCAAGAAGTTGCTCTGGCTTAAAAGGTATTTGTACTTCAACTTAAGGAAAGCCTGGAGCTGTTTGCTGACACATTTAAGTTTGGCTCAGATTTTAAGATAAAGCTTGTATTTGCTTTTTTTCTCTTCTAGTTAAGCTTGTAGTTCCCTGGGTTGATGTCCAGAAGTTAGAAAGAACGTCCAATGTCTTTCTGACTGATACCATCCGAATCACCACGCAGAACAAGGAGCGGGACTTCTCCATGTTCTTGAACCTCGATGAGGTGTTTAAGATCATGGAGCAGCTGGCGGATGTGACACTCCGCAGGCTGCTGGATAATGAGGGCTTTGACCTGGACCCAGATCTGCAGGAGCCAAGCCAGATCACCAAGAGGTAAGAGCGTCCGCTCCCGGGTGTCCCTCACCTGCACAGGGGGCCGAGCTGGTGAACCACAGTGACTTCATGTGCTTTATTAGCCCTGCTTGTACTAGCTTTAAATTTCCCTTGTGGCATAATACAGATTTTCTTATGCTGCTAATTGTGACAGAGAGGTAATGACTGGCAGTGATTACTGTTCATTTCCTATATACAGTAGACTTTGACTAGTAGATCCAATTCTTTTTTTTTTTTTCATCTATTCAAAATTGCTTTTCTTTCTTTTTTTTTTTAAAGATTTATTTATTTATGCATACAAGAGCTGGGGTACAGGCCAGATGCGTGGGAGGGTGAGAGGATTCACCAGAGACAGAGCAGGGAGCAGAACAGGCAGACTGACTGAAACACACTGCTGAGGGGAGCAGCGGGCGAGACGGGAGAGGTCTGCTGTGCCATAAGGGTTTCTCTCTGGCTGGCCGGGGATTGAACTTGTGCTGCAGAGGCTGTGGAATGCTTCATAGTGTGGTCCTTAACCCCTTGTGCCACCAGGGAGGCCCTCAAAATTGCTTTTCATAAACATATTTCTAAAAAATGTAATATGGGTGGCTTCATGATAGCATTCTCTTTAGCATTATGCTTTATTAATGAGCATTAAGAAATTTTGTATTTTCATATTTAACTAGAAATATGACTTACTAATAGTGAATGTTTTTTGTTTGCCTTAAATTGGTACCAGTCACAGAGACTTCTGAGGTAGTTGCTTGAATTACTTGTCACTTCAACTTCATTATCTAGTTCAACTTTATTTTCTAAAATGCAAACTGTGGTGTTGGAACTTGACTATGATTTCTGACTGTGGGTCACAGTGGTTACTGCAGAGCTGATAAAAGGCACAGGATTACAAAGGACTCCTTTGGAAAAACAGGTTACCTATAAAGTGCTGTCCTGGTTGGATGTTTTTGATGTAGATGCAGAATTAACCTACTATTTTGATACCACTTCAGTGACTACTGGTCATTGAAAACAAAAAACAAAAAACAACAGAAAACCTTTTTCTTGTGGCAAAATAAGCATATCATGTAATTTACCATTTTAACCATTTTTAAATGTGTGGACCAGTGGTATTAGGTGCACTCGTATTGTGCTGCCATCATCACCCATCTCAGGGACTCTTCCAGAACTGACACCCTGTACCCACTAACCAGTAACTCTCCATTCTATCGCCCCTAGTCTGCAGAAGCCACCATGCTACTTTCTACGAACTTGGTGATTCTAGGTTCCTCATAGAAGCAGCAATAAACCAAATATATTTCTTTCTGTGACTCCTTTTAATTTCACTTCTCATCGTGATCTTAAAGCCTTGCAGCTGTGAACATGAGTATGCAGGCATCTGTTCCATTCCCTGCTTTTAATTCTTTAGGGTCCGTGCCCAGAAGTAGACTCTCTGGATCTATGGTGATTCTATGTCTAGTCATCTAAAATTTTTTAAAAAGTATTTATTTGAACATTCCTATTACTCCTATATGTGTACTGTCATCTCTGAACGTTTGGGGAATGTATGTCCTAACTAGAGGTCTCTGAATGGCACCGTTTAGTTTTTGTGTATTCAGAAGAATTTAAAGGCCCTCTCTGCTTTGTGCATAATTTTAAACTGAGCACCTATAGTCAGAAGGTAGGCAAAAATAAAAGCCAAATACTCGGAATTTTTTCTGGGGGGCGGGCGGTGGGTAGGTAAAATTTAACAAGTTTCACTTGGTTCTGCATCCTCTGGTGACCTGACGTGGGACAGTGCTGCTTCTCACTCCTTCATGAGAGGGGACCTTAGGGCCACTTCTCTGGTCCTCTGACTCCGGTCTGGAGTTCTTCCGTGTGCCTCCCGGCCCCTTGCTTCCCCTTCACCTCATCTAGCCCCCACTTAGAGGGCCCTATTGTAAAATGATTGTGACCCAGTGCAGTGAGACCACACTCTGCCATATTTCTGCACATGTCTCTGTAATAACTTGGCATATGAATCCTGTTAGTCTAACTTACAAAGATCTGGCAAAAAAAAGAAATAAGTCTCAGGTGTCTGAGTTGCTAAAGGGCTTGTGTAAAACACCAATTAAAGCTTTTCACACTTTCCCCTTGTTTGCACACAGATGCCTCAGTGTGTGGGTCACAGCCACAGTCTTGGGAGTGGATGTCAGCTCATTGTCACCCTGTGTGTCCTGGTCAGCCCCATGAGCGCTGACATTTCAGGGTGACTCCTCACCAATATCCTGATGTTACAGCTCCACTTCCAAATGTGGTCTTTTGGGCTTGGATAGAAAGGGGAAAGAAGAGGAAGAATAAAAGTCTGTAGCCTTGTAGACCCTTCTGGTATATTACCTGTTAGGAAAGAAATGTCATCAGTGTTGGCTTCTTCATTCGCATTGCAGAAGTCAGGTGGATTCAACAGGCTGCTGTCCTCTGCCTTCCACCCTGGCAGCTATTAGAAAGCAGGGGAGAAGAGAGAGATACAGAGAGAAGGCCCTGGTGGTAGGCAGTGGTGGAGCCTCCTGGGTCCCATGGGTGCCCTAAGCTGGCCCCATGTGGGAGAGCAGAGTTTGGTCCACAGCATGTTTTGCTGGTCACTGCACTTTGACTGACTTCCTCCAAAAGTGAAAGGCATGTCATTGCCTACCAATTCCTTGCTGGTTCTCACTTGTAGTTCTCTGTCATGGAGACATAGGCCTGTGGACACAAACAGGTAATGACTCAGTCAACTTGACATCCTGCCAAGAGAGCCCAGGTTTTAAAGTTTAGGAAAACAGTCTCTTCATGATCTGGGCACAATTAGAAGTGCTGGAATGCTCCTCAGGCTCTTTGTTGATAGGGTTTTTCACTTCCCTTCCCAGATAACGGCTTTAGAAAGCTGACCTTGGGCTCCAGAGGGCGATGAGCTGTCTGATTAGGGATTAGTCATGCTTGCTGCTTGTGCTCTCTCCCGCTGGACCTGGGGACACAGAGCACAGCCCGGCTGCACCTCCAGGAAGAGCAAGGAGGATGGGACGGTATAGTCACCCAGGATCTGGTCAGACAAGGTGGAGCTTGGCAGGATTCGGGAATCATCTGGCGCAGTCCTCATGCTTCAGGGGGCCCTGGGCCATGGTTTCTCCAGGCAGCAGGGCAGAATCCAGGAGGGAGAGGGGACCTCCATAGAGAGTGGGGAGGGAGGGAATTGATTTCCCTGTCCTGATATTTACAAACAAAAAATATTTCACTCTGAAGTTGTGAATGATGGGTGAGAAAAGTGTGTCTAACTATTTTGGGATGGGGGAGAGGGTAGAGAAGTGATAGACTTCATTAAATTGAGAATAAATAATATCTCTTCATTAAAATCTGTTTTGATTGACTGTGAATGCTGGAGGAAAACTCAGTTACTGCAGTGTAGTGAATGGAAGTTATTTCCCGTCACGTAAGTCTTTTTATCAGAATTTAAAGGTGAGTGGTATCTGCTAAGGGGCTGGTGTCCTGTGTGATGAAACGTCACCCCCTTGTTTGGCTGATTCTTCACTCTCTGGCTTCCTCCTGCCTAGATTTACCCCCTTACCTGCCATTCTGTTTGTGCCCCACTAGGAATGCTCAGTCTTGCTCTTTAATGTTTGTGATTTATGTCCTGATTGTAGCTGAGTCCTCTTGAACCAACAGAAGCTTCTCACATAGGAGGGCCCATGTTTCCCAGTCCTACAGATCCCTAGCCACTCTGGTTGTGGGGGCCTCCGGGCGGGGGGCAGGATGGGGAGAAGCGGACCAAAGCAGGAGCCTGTTGTTGGGAGTGAAAACACCTCTCACATGCGCGTGCTGTAGCCATCCTGCCCTGTCGGGGTCAGTGTGGATGTATTTTCAAAGGAAATGAGGGCCTGGCAGGTCACCTGTTGCCTGTTGTCACGTCTACGTCCCCAGTGGTGTTGGGCTGCTTTGTGCCCGTATGTGCTGCCACACGGCAGCACTGTACTTGCACTTCCTCCAAGCTCTTGGGATCACAGAGTAAAGATTTTTTTGTTTTTGTTTTTGTTTTTTTTAAGGATTTTTTTTCAAAATTTTATTTATTTATTTATTTATTTATACAAGCACTGGGTACAGTCAGAAGTGCGGGAGGGTGAGGGGATTCACCAGAGCCAGAGTGGGGAACAGAACAGGCAGACTGAAGAAAGACACGGCTGAGGGGAGCAGCGGGCGGCAGGAGAGGTCTGCGCGTCTTGTGGGACCCTCTCCGGTGGCTGGGGATCGAACTGGCGCTGCAGAGGCTGCGGGCAGCTTCGCCACCAGGGGAGGTCCCAGAGTAAAGATTTTTTTTTTTCTCTTTTTTTTTTTTTAAATAAATTTTATTTTTATATTCCCCATACAATTGCAACGCCCCCATTCTGACCCCAATCCCTCCCCTCCCGCCCCCCACCCCCCAAAAAGTGTCCCTGTTTCATAGTTTTTTTGTTGATTTTGATTTTCACTTTCTTATAGTTATTTATTTTCCTGGTCCCTTATTTAAGTTTTCTAGATTCCTGCTATGAGTGAGACCATCCGGTATTTTTCTTTTTCTTTTTGGCTTATTTCGCTGAGCATGATCCCTTCCAGCGCCATCCATGTTGCTGCAAATTGCATGTGTTTATCTTTTTTGAATGCTGAGTAATATTCCATGGTATATATGTACCACGTCTTCTTGATCCAGTCATCTATTTTTGGGCATTTGGGCTGTTTCCAAAGCTTAGCTATTGTAAACAGTGCTGCTATAAACATAGGGGTGCAGGTGTTCTTTGGAATGGATGTTTCTGTGTCCTTTGGGTAGATACCTAGGAGTGGAATTGCTGGATCATATGGAAGCTCTATGTTTAGTAGGTCCAGAAATCTCCACACAGCTCTCCATAGTGGTTGGACCAGTTTGCACTCCCACCAGCAGTGCAGGAGAGTTCCTTTTTCTCCACACCCTCGCCAACATTTGTTGTTGCTAGTTTTTTTAATATGTGCCATTCTCACTGGTGTGAGATGGTATCTCATGGTAGTTTTGATTTGCATTTCCCTGATGACAAGTGATGTTGAACACTTTTTCATATGCCTGTTGGCCATTTGCATTTCCTCTTCAGAGAAGTTTCTTTTTAGCTCTTCTGCCCATTTTTTGACTGGATTATTTTCTTTGTTGTTGTTGAGTCTCATCAGCTCTTTGCAGATTTTTGTCATCAGTCCTTTATCATTAGTGTTGGGTGCAAAAATGTTCTCCCAGTTGGTGGGGTTTCTCTTTGTTTTTGTTATTGTCTCTTTTGCTGTACAGAAGCTCTTTAATTTGATGTAGTCCCAGCTGTTGATCTTTGCCTTCACTATCACTGCTTTGGGTGATGTGTCTGTAAAGATGTCTTTGATGTGCAAATCCCGTAGTGTTTCGCCTATATTTCCTTCTATGTATTTTATGGTTTCAGGTCTTATGTCTAGTTCTTTAATCCATTTTGAGTTGATTTTTGTGTATGGTGTGAGGTAGTGGTCAAGCTTCATTCTTTTGCATGTAGCGACCCAGTTTTCCCAGCACCATTTATTGAACAAACTTTCTTTGCTCCAATGCATAGTCTTTGCTCCTTTGTCAAAGATTAGTTGACCATAAATCTGTGGGTTTATTTCTGGATTTTCTATTCGATTCCATTGGTCTGTATGTCTGTTCTTGTTCCAATACCATGCAGTTTTGATGATTATGGCTTTGTAGTAGAGTTTGAAGTCTGGGAGTGTGATGCCTCCATTCCCTTCTTTTTTTTTTTTTTTTTTTTTCAGGAGAGCTTTGGCTATTCGGGGTTTTTTGTGATTCCATATGAATTTTATCAATAATTGTTCTGTTTCTTTGAAGAATGACATTGAAATTTTGATTGGAATAACATTGAATCTGTATATTGCTTTTGGTAGGATGGCCATTTTAATAATGTTTATTCTTCCAATCCATGAGCAGGGGATGTCTTTCCATTTCTTTGTGTCTTCTTCTATTTCTTTTAACAGTGTTTTATAGTTTTCTTTGTATAGGTCCTTTACCTCTTTTGTTAGATTTATTCCCAAATATTTGATTTTTTTTTTTGTTTCAATAATAAAAGGGATGGTTTTTTTGATTTCTTCTTCAGATTTATTGTTTGTGTATAGGAAGGCTACTGACTTTTGCGTGTTGATTTTGTATCCTGCCACTTTACTGAACTGGTTGATTAGTTGAATTAGTTTTTCTGTGGAGTTTTTGGGGTTCTCTGTGTATATTATCATATCATCTGCAAATAGTGATAGTTTGACTTCTTTTCCTATTTGGATTCCTTGGATGTCTTTCTCTTGTCTTATTGCCAGAGTAAAGATGTTTTGAGCAGGCATATGTGAAAAATGCAGTGTTTAATGCGTTAGCTGGGACAGTGAGGAAAAACGTGTGTACCTGGTCTCGCTGCCTTGTATTTCTAGTTATTTCTTTGTTTCCCTGAGTTTTGAATGGCGTTGGGCTTGGGAATGCAATGAAGGGCAGCTGGAAGTTTGCGTTTCTTCCTGAGGCTCTCTGGCTGCCGGGACACAGTTACCCCAGCTGGGCAGGGACAGTGGCTCCAGGCTTTCTGCTCATTTGCCAATGGCAAGAACTAGCACACTGAGCTGTCTGGGGAAACATTGGCCTTGAGGCAGCGTGAACCTGCTGACCCTAGTAGATTTGGGCGTGCAGGACAGATGACATCATGAGGTGACAGTTGGCACAGAACATGTACTTTCTTCCCAAAAGCATTCTAAAAAGTGAATGAGGGAAAAGAGAGGTAAACCTGTTTTGGATACATCGTTGACTAATCTAGGAGAGAGAAATCTAGTTCTGGGTTACAGAAAAGCCAAAGAACTATCTGCCTTTTAATTTATTGGGTCTGATGTTTTAGGAAATAAATCTGAATTTTAAGTGTGTGCCTATAATCTAGAATTTTCTGCATACTTGGTTGCATATTTTAACTTCAGCTTTAATAAAGACGTTGATGTTTATTCATCCATATTCTAATCAATCCACATCTGTTCTCCACATGGGTATAGGTTCATAAAATGGCATGTGTGAAGGCAGGGGGATTTGTGGCACCTTCCCTTGCTCTTCTCAGTTGTGGTTTCCTCTCGGAGCAGTTGCTTTGACAGTGCATGCCAGCAGTGTGGATGGTGGGTAGCAAATATTGTTGGGGTTGCTAAGCTAGTTCCTGTCTTTATAGGGGGGCTTCTGCAGTGCATAAAAGACCTTTGATTAGCTACACAGTTGCTGAATGTTAAGGTCTGACCCATGTCTGTCCGTTATCTCTCTGGGAGGGAAAAATGGAAGCATTCAGCAAGTACTAGAAGGTCTGACAGGTGAGTTGTGACTAGTGGACTTTGTTTTGATGCTGTTCGGAAAAAGGAGTTGATATATTTAGCATTAAAACTACCACCTGCATTGAAATGGACCTAAAAGATGGGGTGGTCTTATTCTGAGCTCCTTAAATGTTTTTCATTTGGCAAGTCGTCATTTCTTCATGTCACTTATGTTAGAAAGTTAAATATCTATAAAAACAGAATTAAAGGCAGAATTCAAAGAGAATTTTCTAGTGGGGTGGAAGGAAAATAAGAAAATCCCTCCTGCTGCTCTCTCCTTTTGTAATTTGAGGTCACTGGTCTCTGAATAATGAAACAGCAAGACAGACAGATCATTTCAGTGGAAAAAAGAACAGCCTAGAAAGCAGAATGGAGACTTTGTGTGTAGCATACCCAGGCAACTCAGAAGCCACAGAGAAGGGGTGGGGGGTGGTGAACTGAGCTATTTGGCTGAGAAAGCAGGTGCACTGAATAGAAGTAAACTTGTTTTTAATGTCCCTCAGATAACTGAGCACCTTATTCTTAATTTGAAGGGTTGGGCACTAAATATGTGAGTCTTTATACCCTCCCTGTAGCTCAGCACGAGCTGCTGTGACTTATCACTGGCCATATATTCATATCAGCTTCAGCATCTCCTGGGAGGGCAGGGTTTGTGCTTCCAGGAAGGAAAAAGACAACATTTTAATTCAGGGGCAATTGGAATGACATTTGTGAGATATGTGTCATTAGGGAGCACTGGCTTTGCCTTCCCCAAAGCCAGCATGACCAGACTGCTTTTAGAAAAAGCAAGAGCTTTTGGGGCCTCTACTGGTGGTGCAGTGGTTGAGCGCTGGGTTGCGAAGCTGCCCGTGGGCTCTGCAGCTCCGGTTCGATCCTGGGCCACCAGCGAGGGTCTCACATGGCGCACAGACCTCTCCTGCTGTGCCCGCTGCTCCCCTCAGCAGTGTATTTCATCAGTCTGCCTGTTCTGTTCCCTGCTCTGGCTCTGGTGAATTCTCTCACCCTCCCACGCTTCTGACTGTACCCAGTGCTTGTATAAATAAATAAATAAATAAATAAAAAGCTATAGCTTTTCCCATTTAGATGTAGGTCAGCTCTCAGTAAACTGGGTGGTGTAGTGGAGACTTGCCTTCCATTTTTTATGGCGCATAAATGTCTAGAGCATTCTTGGTGGTGGTTTCCCATTTTTCGCCCAGCTCCTCTCAGGAAGCAGCTCAGGCACCTGTGGAAGTAGATGTCCCTGTTGTGTCAGGAACTTAGGTGCTGTGACTGGCCTGCAGCCATTGCACCCATCTTGATCGGCAGGATTTGTGTAACTCTGTCTGTGTCCAGAGGACTTTATGGACATGTCTGAATCTTCTTATGAGGCTTTCATAGTAAGTTCCATGGACTTTCCCACCTCTATCATGTCCCCTTGAGGACATACCAGACTTTTTTCCAAAGTAGCTGTATGGTTTTACATTCCCACCTGCAGTGTATGAAGGTTCTTTCTGGTTTCTCCAGATCCTCACCAACACTTGTTATTGTCTGACTTTTTGATACTGGATTCTTATATAATTGTTTCATTGTAATTCACAGTGTTTCTCAGCGGGAAGGAATGTTTACCAAGGTTTATGAGTGAGTTGTATTAGTTCTGCCCAGAAGCAACCCATCCTCTTTTTGGCACTTGTGCAAAGGTTGGCTTGTGAGGTGGAGTTCTTGTGCCTGACTTGTGTGGGAACTAGAGGGGAGTGGTGCCTTTTTGCACTCACATCAATATCAGGCTATGCCAGTGGGTTTTATAATGTTTTCCATTGTAACTGTTTTTCCGCCATTCCTTTTTAACCCTTCTTCCTCCATTGCCAGAGACCTTGAAGCCAGAGCCCAGAATGAGTTCTTCCGGGCTTTCTTCAGATTGCCAAGGCAGGAGAAGCTGCATGCAGTCGTGGACTGTTCCCTCTGGACACCGTTCAGTCGCTGTCACACTGTCGGGCGGCTGTTTACCTCTGACAGTTACATCTGCTTTGCCAGCAAGGAAGATGGCTGCTGCAATGTCATCCTCCCACTCAGAGAGGTAGCCACTGCCCTGGCATGAGCTTTCCATCAATCTTTTGTTGTTGAATGTGGCTGCTGTGAGGTGGGGTGCAGGAGGGCATCTCACACAGCAAGGTTTTGTCAGCAAAAGAGAAGCATCTAGAGGGAAGCACGGTCTGAATTTGACTATTACCTGTTTGGCTGTTGCATGTTCTATTGTTGCTATGGTGACCTGAAATTTACATGGAAGGTCAGGGCATATTCACCTCTCTTTTATTGATAAAGCTGTGTTAAAAAGTACATGCTTAGCAGTTAAAATTTTTCTAGCAGCTTTTAGGAATGAATCCTAACCTTTCATTCACAAAATGGGGGACAAGGGCAACCTACAAAGAGTTATCACATTTGAAAATAAGTGTCAAATTGCTTGGCTTTTCTACCCTTCTGAAACTTGAGTGAAAAATTAAAAAAAAAAAAATGCTTCCTATAATGTGCATCAGGTACTTTCCTACCATTAAATTCCGTAATTCTTTTGGAAATGGGAATGTGGGGCAACCTGAATCATTTTCCACATCTGATGAACTCAGCCCTTTGGTTTCAGGGCCTCCCGAAGTGACAGTACTTACTGCTCTGTTGCACATCAGACCTAAATTCTCACTGTTGTAACATGTGAACTAAGCATACTGTTGTTGAGGAGAACTCAGACTTCTTCATGTGATCTCTTAGCTCCATGTTATTTTTCTGCAACTGGTGGCTTCATTTTACGAATAGTCTTATGAGGTGAGCAAGAAATCCAGGAGCTGTCTGAGACTTTTTTTAAAAAAATATGGTAACATATCCATGACATTGATTATTTGAACCAATTTTAAGGGTTGCAGCTCAGTGGCATCTGTACATTCCCATTGTTTGCAACCATCGCCAGAACTTTTTCATCTTCCTAAACTGACACTGCACCCATCAGACTCAATTCCCCTCTCCCTTCCCCAGCCCCTGACAGCCACCTTTCTGCATTGTCTCTGTGAGTCTGACTATTCCAGGTACAAATATGAGTGGAATCATATAGTATTTGTCCTTCAGTGACTGGCTTCTTTTACTTAGCATCACGACTCCCAGGTTCATTGATGCAGCATGTGTCAGAATATCCGGCCATTTCAACACTGACTAGTACTCCATTGCATCTGTGCACCACATTTTGTTTTGCCACAATCCAGGAAGAAACACTTGAGCTACTTCTACCTTTTGGCTGTGTGAATATGCTGCCTTCTAAGTCTTTGTACCGATTCATTAGTTACTTGATTGTGCCTTCTCTTTGGAGATTTTATGAATATGTAATAAAATGCCTGCCTTCTTTCTTGCTGTACCTTTGTGTGTAATTCTTTGCAACAGGTTGTGAGCATTGAGAAGATGGAGGACACAAGTCTGCTGCCTAACCCCATCATCGTCAGCATCAGGAGCAAGATGGCGTTCCAGTTCATTGAGCTCAAGGATAGAGATAACTTGGTGGAGAGTCTGCTCCTGAGGTTGAAGCAGGTGCACGCCCACCACCCTGTGCATTACGACACCTCCCAAGATGAAGACATGGTACGGTCTGTCTAAACAGTGCATACCTTAAAGTGAAAACCCCTTTTCAGCACTTCTAGGGCAGTGGTCTCCAAGGGGGAGTGCACATGAAGATGATCTATCTGGGTATAAGAAAAATATCAGATTATTTGACCTGTGGATCAGTCCATATAATTTCACATACACTGGTTGTCCTGACTGGGTGTTAAACAGGTGAGAGTTTGCCCCCCCCCCATAGATTGAGAGATTGATGGGGTGCCCCGCAGATTGGCGGCACTACGGGGGCACCCCACTTACAGGTTAGAAGAGTTGACAGGTCCTTTCTCTACATGTTAGAGGTTGGTGGGTGCACTTGTGTGTAGGAGGCAGCCCCTCATTGGCTGCAGGCTTTGGTGGGGAATCAAGGCACATGTGAGTAGACACCCTCTTTACATGTTAGAGGGGTCATCTCCCGCTGCCCTCCTGATCCCCAACGTTGGAGGGAATGGTGTTATTTGGGGGCAGATGTAACTTGCCAAAAGAAGTTTTCATTGTCTTTGAGGTTGGACAGCTGCAAAAATGGACCTGGCTCTGCAGGGGCCTTTTCTCCTGTTCTTTCCTTTCCATCCCCCTTTCTTGACCTGTTTTTCACCTGAAGCAATTAACTGGAAGGAAGGAAAGTCTGAGGACGTTAGAGCTGTTTTCTCAAGATTTTCACCCTCTGCTTGGGAAACTGAGGAAGGCTGAGGCTTTCCCGCTCCCCCGAGTCCCACGCTCCCTAGGCCTCGAGCAGCAACGCTGGGAAAACAGTGTGGACCACTCTCAGCATCCAGTCTGTTGGGTTTCACGTTACCCTGTTTTTCCCTCGAGTCATAAACAGACATGTTTAAGTTTGCGACATGCATGCTGCCAAAGGCAGAACAAAAACTAATGACTTTCTTCTGTCTGGCTCTTGTTTTTCCATGCAGGCTTCACCTGTGTTTCATTCAACAAGCATATGCAGCGACCACAAGTTTGGGGATCTTGAAATGGGGTCTTCTCAAAATAGTGAGAAGGACGAAAAAGAAAAGAGCCCGCGGCTGCACCCCGAGGCCCTGATCGCTGTCTTCCAGCAGTCAGGAGGCCAGAGCCCCGACTCTCGAATGGTGGGTGTGCACTGTGCCCTTGCTGGGCACTTGTGGGTTTGGCATGGGGGTTTCTTCTGTGTGACCCACTGAGGAAGGCGCATCGCTCGTGCCAGCCCCTCAGGGCAGGAGAGCAGGTGCTGTGGGCTCAAGGCAGCCTGGGAAGCTGGCACCCGCCTCCCTCTGTCTTCATTACAGGAGGAGGGTGTCAGTGATGCTATCGCCTGAGCCCGTCTGGGCACATGGAGGATGGGGTCAAACACTGGGGGCTGCATGTCCTGAAGGTGCTGACCCTGGAGGGGTTTTCCAGGAGTCGAATGCATCTTTCTTCTTTTATCCAGTGTTGTCTGTGTGATAATGTTCTTTTTTGTCTTCTGGGACAAAGGGTCTCCTATCTTCTGGTTCTAATGAGATAAAAATAGTCTTGTTACATTCACTTACAGTTTCCTTCTTTGTAGAGGGAATCGGAGAGAAGTATTATGTATAGAGGGTAGATAGGCTGGAAATTATATTTGGAAATGGTGGCCCAGCAGGTGGGAAGCTGTTCGGACCCGAGGGCCAGGGGTGGCTATGCATCATGTTACCCCAAGCAGCGTTTTGCCTCTTGCTGGCTTAAAGGCTCCTGTATAGTCAATTGTTGGCTTTATTCATTCAGACGGAACCTTTTCATATGCTTTGTGCAGAGATGTTCAATGAACTTGTTGACTAAATGCAGGAGAGTATTGAATTAGATGTATATGCTTCTTGCATTCCTGGAGAATCTAGCCAAGTGAAAAGTATACATCAACATCTTGTTTCAAAGGCCCTAAAAATTCCTGTCTGGATAATTTTAAAGGGGATTTTTAGTTGCCTGGAGAATTATAACTTTCTCATTTCTGATAATGAGAAGTGTCTTTTTTTTTTTTTTTTTTTCCCAGGTTTAGGTTTTTCTCCTGGCTGTCGGGACGGTCAGGACAAATCATGATACCCCTCTGAGCGGACTTGTGCTTCAGCACCAGCTCGGGGGGGGGGGGGGGGGGGGAGGATCTGGAGGAGGGGTCCAGCAGTCTCCCTCCCCCACCTCTCCGCCCATCTGCTCAGGCTGCTTTAGTGTTTGGATGAACATATTCTTACTCTGAACTTTGCCAAGGAAATGGCATTTTACTTGTGCAAGTGCTCCCCCTGGGCTCAGAACTCCTGAGGGCTGGTCCCCTCTATCCTCTCTGCCTTGCAGAGATTCAAATATGTGTTGAATGAACAGCCTGTGGCTGTCGGTACCTCTGTTAACAGAAGCGAGATGGGCTATGGTGCAAGGTATGGACAGGCTTCCCCTTACATTAAGAGTGTTTCTATTTCCAGTCCAGAGAACAAATAAAAATCAGCCTGTGGAATGACCACTTTGTGGAATATGGCAGAACTGTGTGTATGTTTCGCACAGAGAAGATCCGGAAACTTGTAGCCATGGGGATCCCTGAATCTTTACGAGGCAAATTGTGGCTCCTCTTTTCAGGTAAGAGATTGGTGTCTTTAGGCCAAATACCCTTTGTGAAGCAGATGTGGGCCCGAATCTGAGCAGTGTGTCTGTGTAGTCATCTGTCTTTAGATTCTGTGACGTTCCTCACTGTGTTAGCTGTGGGGCTTTGGCCAAGTTTTCGGAGGCCTCTGGGCTACAAGGTGTCCTCCTAGGTCAATGTGAGGTCTGACCAAAGTGCTCTCTTCTTGAAATATGATTTTATGAGTCTCTACATAGTCCTAAGAATTCTCTTGAGGACACCCTGGAAGTGAGGTGTCTTCTTGAACATCTTTGCCTCAAAGAGTTTGGAAATAGATTAAAAAATTACAGAAAAATCTTTGTAAATTTACTCACAGTGAACGACCATGGGTCTCTCCTTTGTTGAAGACATAGTGTCTACAGAAGGCAGAATTGTAGATTCCTTTTCTTCCCTGTGTACACTGGCCTCATCCGTGATGCCTTGTCTGCCACTTGTCCAGCCATTCTCCATCTGCTGTTGCTGAAGTCTGTGAGGCCCTTATCAGATCACTTATGATGCATGGACCGAGAGTGGGCAGGGAAGGCCCGTGTGGCATAGTGGTGAGACTTGACTGTTCTTGCAGGGTGCTGTGGGAGGCAGGTGAGGCGGGGGGGGGGGGAGCAGTGAGCCTTCTGGAGGCTGGGTGTGGGTGTCTGTCCCCTCACCTGTCTCTCATCGCCCTCCCTCCTGTTAGCCTCTTGTTGGTCCCTCCCCCACAAACAAGTCTGTTCTCTCTCTGCCTTGTCTTTCCTCAAAGTAGCTGAGCCCCTCCCCTTTACCACCCAAGATGCTTGGGTTTGGATTTCATGCTTTCTGGCAGACGTGGGTGGTGGTGCTCTACTTAGCTGGTATTCACTCACAACTCATCCCGCCATGGCTCACCCCACTGCACATGCCGAGTCAGCTCTGCCTCTGACCTGTCCCTGCAGCTGCCTCTGCAAGATATACTGTGTGAACATTTCTGATATTATCTTCTATATTTAATCAAAACAACCATATATTCATAGTTGAAAAATAAGAAAATATGGAGGAGCAAGCAAGGAAAGGAACATTGTTCACAAACCTACCACTGAAAGGTGGCACGCATGGGTGTATATTCTTTTAGGCCTCTTTAACACACATATATACCCTTTATATTTAAAAAACCCTGTGTAGTTCATTTAGGGCTCTCTGTTCATTCAAGTGATAAGGTGTTTCCTTTGTTGACAGCAATTGCCGTAGTGTTTAAGCTGTTGCTAAATGAGTGGCAGCTGTTAGTGTAAGTGCTGATTATTATGTGTGAACACCATGGTGATTGTTTGATGGATATGACTGGAATCAGTCATTGCAGATATGAGAATTGAGGAGGATAGCACCTAAACCCAGTGAGAATTAAAACATTAACCAGCTGTTCAAGGCAGAACTGGGCTCTTTCTGTTCCTCCTGGGCCTCCCTGTCTGGGGCTCTCCTCAGCCTTAGAACCCCTGTGCCTCCAGCCTGGGGCTGGGGCTGGGGCTGGTTCCAAACTGAAAAGAACCTTGTGGTGGTGACTCATTCCTCCCCAGTGCTGCCAGCATGCATGAGGCCTGGCAGGAGCTTGGTGGTAGGTTGGCTGTGCTTGATCTTCCTGCACATCAAGAGCCCAGCCTTTAGTGTCCTGTGGGCAGCTTGCTGTGTACTTGAAAACTGTCTTCTAGCTTTACTGAATCATAATTGCACCTGTGCTTGTGTTTCACACATAGGAGTGCAACAATGTCTTGTAGAGTGAATGAATGAAAATTGTATGTGTATATATGTACGTGTATACAAACGTATGTGTGTGTGCGCGCGTGCGTGTGCACAGACACCTCCTGTTACTAGGGAAAGTGAGATGTCTGTCCCCATGCCTTCCTAAAGGCATGTTAATTAAAACTACTTCTAATATGACCTTCCTCCATATAAGGTTATTCCTAGAAAAGGCACCTTTTTTTCCTTTTTCGTTGAATAAGTGAAGTCCTTTTGGTTGTGTGTGGCCTCAAAATATTTTGTCCCTCAAATAATGACACCCCACTGAGATCCTCTGATAAAACAGCCCTCTCCCCATATTGACACCATCCTAGTAGTCCATCTCCCTTGAAAAATTACTTTAAATCATCAGATGCCGTGACTGATCTGGCCTCGCATCCGGGTTACTATGGGAATCTGGTGGAGGAGTCCATGGGAAAGTGCTGCCTGGTGACAGAGGAGATAGAGAGGGACCTGCACCGCTCCTTACCTGAGCACCCTGCTTTCCAAAACGAAACGGGAATTGCTGCTTTGAGGAGAGTCTTGACAGCTTATGCCCACCGGAACCCCAAAATTGGATACTGCCAGGTGAGGTGTGCAATGAGGAGCAGAATCCTCTGTTGGTGTCGACCCCAGGCCTCGGGTTCTGTTGTTCTGCCACCCAGTACTGGGGACTGGTGCGTGAAGGCTCGGGCTGCTCCCTTCTGAAGACTGTATGAATGGGGCCGACGGAAACCACCCGCGTGTAGTCAGACTGAGTGAGATTGAAAACCTTATCTGAGGTGGCTGAGAGGAGCCACGCGCGTGCTGAGTCGGACTCATTCTTCACGGCCCTGCAGGCCTCCAGTGTAAGATGCGGGTTGATAAAGCGCCTGCGCAGCTTTGTCCTCCTAGACCTCTACAAAAGCTATGGGGATTATTTAAAAAAAAAATGGCAGTGCTGTTTGAAGGGCGGAGGATGAAGGGGGTACTTTCCTTCAGGAAACAGTCGGGGCAGGACGTTCCCTGAGCAGTTCCCGAATTTAGGGATGCAGTAAACAAGTACCAAGTACACATCAGCGAGTTAAAGCAACAGCAACAAAACCCACCACAGGGCTGGACTAGAGAAGTTTCTGACATTTAAAAATATGATTCTAAACTTTGTTTTCCTGTGATTAAGCAAATCTCTGGGTGCATGAAGTGATGTGTGTGTGTGTCTGAACGTACACACAGCCACCAGCTGGATATAATGTGAGCTTGAGGCATGCCCCACGGTTAACTCCAGCTCTGCCAGAGGGTTGGTGGCAGGAGGGTGGTGGGTCGCTCACTTGATGCCTCTCCAGAGGCCCACGCTCATGTCATGGTTGCACCACTTCGCAGGCGTCAGTGAGGCTGGGTACACTGGGTCTCGCGTCTACAAAATCTTGATTGTTGAGGGTCATTCGGGCTTGTGTTTTTTACTGTCTCTGTGGCACCATGTGGTCTGCTAACTGTCCCCCCTCTGTGACCCCTGACAGTCCATGAACATCCTGACCTCTGTTTTGTTGCTGTACGCCAAGGAGGAGGAAGCCTTCTGGTTGCTGGTGGCCGTATGTGAGCGGATGCTGCCTGACTACTTCAACCACCGAGTGATTGGTAAGCCGCCTCCCTCTTCCTCCCCGGTACCTGGGGGATAGGGACAAAGCCAGGACGAAGACATGCGTCATCACCCCTGGTCATAAACTCTCTGCTGAACCAGACTTTGTACAAATATTGTTTGGTTCTTGAACCTGCAGAACTGTCATTCTCTGCACAATGGTGGAATAAGATAACCTGAATATTCTGCTTTGAACACCTGTGGATTTTGGACTGAGAAACATTTTATTTTTTTAAGATTTATTTATTTATACAAGCACTGGGTACAGTCAGAAGCTCGGGAGGGTGAGAGAATTCACCAGAGCGGGGAACAGAACAGGCAGAAGGAACGAAGTACACTGCTGAGGGGAGCAGTGGGCGCGGCAGGAGAGGTATATCGCGCCATGTGGGACCCTCGCCGGCGGCCGGGGATCGAACTGGCGCTGCAGAGGCTGTGGGCAGCTTCACAACCCAGCGCTCAACCACTGCGCCACCAGGGGAGGCCCTGAGAAACATTTTAGATGGAATTTACAGAAAGGAAAGAAAAATCCGCAGGTCCAAGAAACAAGTCAGAAGTGAAAACCAGAGTGACATTTCACTGGAGCTGTGGCTGGGAGTGGAAGGGGTGTGGGGTCTTGCTCTGGACAGCCCAGGTGGATGTTCATTTACCTGAAGAGAGGGGTTGGTTGAGCAATGCGGGAGCCTGTTGAGGCCGGATCAAAAGCAGACTTGCACAGTAAGGCGGCTCATTTCTTGCCGCTGGGCTTTAGACAAATCTGTGCACCCTCCGTGCTTCTGCCCTTCGTGTGGTTGAGACTTAAATTTGTGCTCTGGTTCATAGTTCAACAACCTCCTGAGACACAATCCCTAAAATTGCTTCAGCTTGGTGATACTCTTAGAGATAATTTTTAGTAATTTAGATGAGAGATGGAGATGGCCAAAAATGAGGGTGGCAGCAGTGAGAACAGAAACCAAAGAACTACATCTAATGCACTGGATGTGGGCGGCGAGGCAGGTAGAAGCGGCTTAAGAGCAATGTCCTAAGAACTGCAGGACTGTGGTGACGTGTAGGGGTTGGAGTGGCAGTTGGCTGGGAAGGAGGCGGCTGCTTCATGCCTTTTGGTGCCTCACACTGTCTTGCTGACTGCCTTCGAGGCCCGAGCAGGTAGATGGCTTACTTCCCTTATTACTGTACATTGTGGGAGGTGGTTTAACTTTGTTCACTGTAGCAAGGAAGAAGCAGAACCTTGGGGTCACTAAGAGGCATATTGTCAAAGCCATCATAAAGCCACTAGTTGACGAGTGTTGCTGCTGTACAGCTTATCTCGGCAGTGACCTCTAGACCCTCTGCAATGATGCTGACACCTGTGTGACCACTCCAGGACAGGATGGAATATGCGCAGCACTTCCATAACCCACACGGTTCCCTTCTGTCCCTCCGCTGTCACAGGCAATGCTTGGTACTGGTTTCTAGCACCACGGATTAAATTGGCCTGTCCTTGAACTGTTAGTAAAAATGTAAGACAAGAGAATGTTCTCTTTTGTGTCTGGCTTCTTTCACACAACGTTCTGTGATTGGCACGTCAGTAGTTGGTCCCGTCTGTGGCTGAGTGGTATCCCACGGTACATTTAGGCTGTGGTTTGTTCATCCAGTGGGCATGTGCATTGTTTCCAATTTAGGGCTATTGTAAGTAAAGTTGCAGGGAACACTTGCATATGTCTTGTGAATGATCAGTTTTCTTGTGTTTATCTAGGAGCAGAATTGTTGGGCGCGGGTTAGATGCATGTTTAACTTGGTAAGAAACTGTTGGGCCCTCAGAGCCAGAGCAGCTGTGTGGCGGGTGGGGTGCACTCACACACCCCTGGTTGGCCAGCAGGGGCATGCAGGAGCGTGTCGGTTGTTCCACGGCCCTGTTAGCCGTAGCCATTCTAGTAGGTGAAAAATAATAGCTCACGGTGGCTTTAACTTTCATTTCTCTGACAGTAATTAATGATGTTGAACATATTTTCAGTACTTAATGGGCATTTGTTTATTGTCTTTTTTGAAGTGTGTTCAAACCTTTTGCTTATTTAAAAAAAATCAGTTGCCTTATTACTAAAGTGCAACTTCATTTTGAAAAGTTGCATGTATTCTAACTCAGATGCTTCTGAGTTAGAAGTTTGCATTTCCATGTTATTAGTCGTAAGACTTTTTGAGAAAATTGGTCTTTAATTTTGATGAAACCCAGTTTATAATTTTTTTCTATGGTTAGTGCTTTTTGGGTCCTAACAAATTTTGCCTTCTGCTGTATTTTCCTTTAGAAGTCTTCTGGTATTAGCTTTTATATTTAGGTCTACGATATCTTTCAAATGTTTTTCTATATGGTCTGAAGTAGGGGGTCAAGGTTCTCTTCCTCCAAATAGATATCCACTTGACTAAACGCAATTTTTTGAAAATATTATCCTTTCCCTGCTGAATTACCTTGAACAAAATTTTAAAAAATAAAGTGTGAGTCCTTTTCTGGACTCAAATTCTGCTTCCTTGTTCTGCTTATCTCAGAGTAGTTTCAATTTCAGTCTGACTTTCAAGAATGTGACTCCCTCCCCACCCAACTGCCCATGGCCTGCCTTTTCCAGGGGCCCAAGTGGACCAGTCAGTGTTTGAGGAGCTCATCAAAGAGCACCTCCCCGAGCTGGCAGAGCACATGAACGACCTCTCAGCCCTGGCGTCCATCTCGCTCTCATGGTTCCTGACCCTGTTCCTCAGCATCATGCCTCTGGAGAGTGCGGTGAACGTGGTTGACTGCTTCTTCTATGATGGGATCAAAGCCATCTTCCAGCTGGGGCTGGCTGTGCTTGAGGCCAATGCCGAGGACCTGTGTAGCAGCAAGGATGATGGCCAGGCCTTGATGGTCCTCAGCAGGTGGGTCCAGGCTGCCTGCTGTTGCAGCTGACTGGGGTTGAAGTGGGCAGAATGGGAACTCTGGAAGGCATACCATAGGGGATGGTAACCACAGGGACCCAGCAGTGCCATCGCTGCAGAAGTTTCCCTTCCACTGTCAGCTGTGCTGCTGTGGCCCCTCAGAGCCAGCGCATCATGTGGCACTTGTGCTGGTATGTGGCGAAGAGCACCGCCTTCCTCTACTCTTCACCAAATAAGAGGCGAGGAGAAGAAAGGGCTATCGGTGCTTTTCCCTGAGATGGGTGCTTTTCCCACTAGATGGACCCAGTCACTTTGGGTGGTGGCAAGGGGCTGGGGGAGGCCCCTGGAAATGTTGACTCAGGTGGGTGGTTGGCCGGCAGTTTCAGATCTTTATGCAGGGGCTGGTCTGTTGCCGTGAAAGAAAAGTTCCACTAAGCTGGGACTTTTCTGGAACCTGGGTGTCCTGTTGCTGAGGGCAACATGGACAAAAGAATTATAGAAGATTAAAACTGCACAGAAATTTGCATTTAATTTATTGGAGAATCACTGATGCCGGGAAACCTGGAGCCCATATCGACAAGTCTGGTTTTGTGGGTTTCTGTACTTCTAAGATAAACATAATGGTTGCTACCTTGCCCTCCTGCAGCTCTGAGACAGGCAGCTGTGTCTGACAGCACTGTGACTAATAGCCCGTGGGAAGGCAGTGGTATGGTGGAGTGCCGGGGTGAGGGTCCACCTGCGCTGTAATGGTGGGTGGTGTGCTCAGGTTTCTAGATCACATTAAGAATGAGGACAGCCCAGGACCCCCTGTTGGCAGCCACCATGCCTTTTTCTCCGATGATCAGGAAACTTATCCTGTGACTGACATTGCGGACCTGATCCGGGACTCCTATGAGGTAACTTGGCCCACGAAGTAACTCTCCAAGCCCAGCTCAGAAGCTACCCCTCGGGAGCTTGTTGGGGAGAAAGGATTTGAGGGAGGTTTCCTGGGCTACTTCTTGTTTCCTCTTTGTATGCAGACAGGAGTTCTGTGAGTGGATAATCTCTTGTTTCCCTGTAGAAATTTGGAGACCAGTCAGTGGAGCAGATTGAGCACCTGCGCTGTAAGCACAGGATCAGGGTTCTCCAAGGCCACGAAGACACCACCAAGCAGAATGTGGTGAGTAGCGGCCTCTCCAGGGTGGCTGCTCCTGGCAGTCATGGCAGTCAGATGTTGATCTGGGCTAAGAGTGAGTGTCCCTGTTGGTCATGTGACATAAGATTGCCAGGCTTTTTGGTTTTTTTTTTTGCATTGAATTAAAAACCTAATGGGTGTACAAACAGCGTGGGTTTTTGAGTCAGACTGTGAGTAAATTAACCATGGTGAGCCTCAGTTTTCCCAGGTAAGGGTAATGATACTCACTGAGGTGGGAGATATAAAATGCCTAGCACAGCCTGCAGTGTTAGTGTTCTTCAGGAGGAACTTTCTGCCCAAGCGCCATCCTCGCTGGCTTTCCATTTCCATTAGAACTGGTACCTTTGTCTCCTGACACTGATAGTGAATTTGCTAGAGGTCGAGCATAAACCCCTAAAGTGATCCTCATGTCAGAGAGGTGCAGGTGTAGTGTCATGAGGGAAGCTGGTACAAGGTGCCTGGTGACCCTCACTAATGGGAAGGCCCCCTCCATCTGATCCCTGCTGCATGCAAAAAATGTACTCCTTCAATTTTGTTTCTTTCCTTAAGCTCCGAGTTGTTATTCCAGAAGTCTCGATTCCTCCTGAGGATCTAGAGGAACTCTATGATTTATTCAAGGTAGGAAAATGTGGGAAGGTAGGGAAATCAGCCTGCCGAGGGGTGAGCTGCGCATGCTGGAGGGGCTACCGTGGGCCTGTTCTGTGACAGCGGAAGCTGGCACCACCCCCCACCAGCTCTGTCTTAGCCTTCCTTGCTCCCCCTGAGAAAATTCTCTCCCCCAGTCCTCTGTCAACAGCTCTCTTCTTAAATGGAATTAGCATCCCACAGAAGCCAGCCCACAGCAAGCATCTGGCAGGGAGGAGCTGGGGTGCCCTCTGGGTAGGCCCAACAGATCTCACACAGCTGGTGGGCTAAAGCATCTGTGCTCTGCTGACAGGGCCTTTGGTGCTGGGATCTGTTCTTTGCTCTTCTGATGCTGATTCTCATTTTATGCTAGATGAAACAGTGACCTGTAGTGAAATGATCACCTCATCTACTTCTTAATTACTCATAATCCTACCCTGCAATGTGTGTGTGCAGATTTTTTATTCGTGGGGCTGGCATGCATGCCAGTTTATATCCTATTTTCCCCTGCTGCTGTTACTAACACTTTTCTATGTTGCCATGTAGCTTTTCTTTTTTTTTTTTAAAAAAGATTTATTTGTGCATACAAGAGCTGGGATTTAGGCCAGAGGTTTGGGGGGTAAGAGGATTCACCAGAGACAGAGTGGGGAACAGACAGGCAGATTGACCGAAGTAGACTGCTGAGGGGAGCAGCAGGCAAGTCAGGAGAGGTCTGCTGTGCCATGTGGGTTACTGCTCCCTGGCTGGCCAGGGAATCGAACTCGTGTTGGAGAGGCTGCAGACAGCTTCATAGGTTGCGTCTTAACCCCTTTCGCCACCAGGGAGGCCCTGTGGCTTTACTTTTTTAAGTAACGTTAGAATCTATCATATTGGTGATACTTTGAAGATTATTTATGCATGCAAGAACTGGGGTGTAGGCCAGAGATGCGGGGTTTGATAGGATCCACCAGAGACTGAGTGGGGAGCAGAACAGGTGGATCCACTGAAATAACTGCTGAGGGGAGCTGTGGGCGAGACAGAAGAGGTGTGCTGGGCCATGTGGGTTAGCTCCCTGTCTGGGCATCGAATTTATGCCTCAGTGGCTGGCCATAGCTTGATAATGCTGAGACTTAACCCCTGTGCCACCAGGGAAGCCCCATATTGGTGATACTTAATACACTAAATGATACTTCCAATATTTGACTATTTTGGCACATATCTTGGTTTTCCTACTTAAAATTACCCTGCAAAGAAACTTTTCTTTTCAAAACAGTTATTAAAAATTGGGAAGACTGGGCCTCCCCGGTGGCGCAGCGGTTGAGCGCTGGGTTGCGAAGCTGCCCGCAGCCTCTGCAGTGCCGGTTTGATTCCCGGCTGCTCCCCGGCCACCGGAGGAGGGTCCCACATGGCGCGCAGACCTCTCCTGCCGCCCGCTGCTCCCCTCAGCAGTGTACTTTGGTCCTTCTGCCTGCTCTGCTCCCCGCTCTGGCTCTGGTGAATTCTCTCACCTTCCCGTGCTTCTGACTGTACTCAGTGCTTGTACAAATGAATAAATAAATCTTTAAAAAAAAAATTAAAAAAAAAATTGGGAAGACAGGCAGTGAGATCGATCCACTGCTGCTACCCTGGCAGTGAATGGAGAGAAAGAAAAAAAAAGAGTGGCAGAAAGCAAGCCCAAACTGAAGAGTCTCTCCTCTCAAGTTCTTCCTGGTGGGAATATTGAGCCAGCATCACTTCTAAACTCAGACTGCCAGAATAAAGGAGGTGGCAGCGAGCAGCACTTAGGTACTTCTAAGTGGAGCTTCAGAGGTTATCGTGACGCTGTTGTGTTGTGTCGGTTTCCCTGCGGTCACTGCAGTGGGTTGTTGGGTAAGGAGATTCCTGGCACGTCTCAGTCATAATGAGCAGGATGTGTGGCGAGAACTATTCAGGCCCGTGTCTCCCGTAAACATCACCAATTTTCAAGTTTTATAGTTTCCTTTGTTGCATAAAGAGAAAGTACAAAGCCAAAGGTTACTTGGTGTCCCAAGCCCCCAAGCGCTCTGACTTTCAAGGAGGAAACATAGGAATACTAGAATCATAAAAACAGGTAAGCAAATGTGGTTTTTAACATAAAGTCATTTTTTTAGGGCTAACTGTTCTTAATTTGAGAGGCACATCAAAAATGTTTTAATGTAAAAGATTAATAAAATAAATTTCATTAAGTATTAACCATATTGTTCATCTTTAATACAGAGTATTGATGGCGAGAGCTGACTTCTTGTTCCTGTTTCTATCTTTCTATTAACGATGAAGGATGTTATTGGCACTTAATGAAATTTTTTATTTGTAAGCCCTTTTACTTATGTAGGAGTAATTACAAATGTAAACAAATAGACAGATGTAAACTAAAATAACCTATAAATTATAACTGAACCATAAATTATTTAAATGTTCACTTATAAGGGGCAATTTGTTTCCAGTTTTTTTTTCTGCTTTATAAACACCTTTACTCCACATTCTTGAGCTCTTATCTGGACACTAGTGCTGCTGTTTCTGTAAGGCGGGTTCCTTAGGGAGGTACAAACCAAATTTTAGTCAGTATTGCTAAAGTGTTTTATGACTTTTTCAAATTTGACTTTCACCAGTAGTGTCTGTGAGCTTGTTTCCTACATAGTGTTTAATAACATGGATCTTTAAACATTTTGCTAGATTTTTTTAAAGTTGCATTGCAATTTCAATTTGTTTATTCACTAGAGACTGAGTACCAATTTTGAAGTTTTTTGGCTAGTTATATACTTCTTTGAGGCATCTGCTTATAGCCTTTGCCTATTTTTATTTATATATATTTTACATCATTGTTCTTTTAAAAAAAAAATATTTATTTATTTATACAAGCACTGGGTACAGTCAGAAGAAGGGAGGGTGAAAGAATTCACCAGAGCAGGGAACAGATAAGACAGACTGACGAAGTACACTGCTGAGGGGAGCAGCAGGCAGCAGGAGAGGTCTGCGCGCCATGTGGGACCCTCGCCTGGCGGCCGGGGATCAAAGTGGTGCTGCAGAGGCTGTGGGCAGCTTTGCAACCCAGCACTCAACCGCTGCACCACCGGGGAGGCCCCATCATTGTTCATTTTTAAACAATGTTTGCTTCCCCCTCCCTCCCTCAGGTGCAGTCCCCATAGAATTTCCTTCCCCAATGCACCCGTGCACCATCACCTCAGTCCCCTGTGCTCCTCCCTCCCGCCCTCTGATCCCTCTCCCTCCTCCTCCCCTGCAGGATGTTTCAGGTTTGTAATGGTCTGTTTTTGTTTTGTATTTTTTACCCTGATGTCTTATTTGGTTCTCCTATATTCCTCCTATAAATGCAACCATCCGGTATTTTTTTTCCTTCTGACTTATTTCACTGAGCATAATTCCTTCTAGCTCCATCTATGTTGCTGTGAATCTTTGCCTATTTTTAAATTGGTTTCTCCATAGGATTCTATGTGAACTGGTTTGGTTGTGTGAGTCCTTGGCCTATACATTATAACTGTTTTCTTCTGGGCAGCATTTTATGGGCATTTAGCATCACAGTATGCACAAGTATGCACGGAAATCCATAGTGTGCCTTGGGTTTTTAGGAATAGGAACTTATTACACCTTTGTTTTACACTTCAAATTTCTTCGGGCACTTTTCTGAATTCTGCAAAAGCTATTTAAAGAACATGGCTGTAATGAATAGGGCAGTAAAATTATAAATGTCATTTTGGCTCCTATCCAAGGGTACGTGCTTGGCAGATTCTAACATCTCACTTATGGGCAGAGGACATTGAAATTGTGAAGAATGCTGCAGTCACTGGGAACTATTTCCGTGAACCGAGATATCCCTAGAGGTCACTTAATACAGGTGGAAAAGATTATTCTAAAGAGGCTAACTTTGTCCTCAGTGAGAGGCCAGTTGTGATTGCTTCTAGAGTTCATTCTTAAAACTTTAACTTGCCTTCTTTTTAACTCTTAATTTTTTCAATTGTTAATGTATTCATGTGATTCAATTTAGAATATATAAAGTGTGCAGTAAAGTCTTGTTTCCACATTTGGGTCCCTACCACTATTTTCCCTCCACACAGGTAAATAGTGTTACTATTTTCTTCTGCCTCTTGCAGATTTATCTAGCACTTTTCATTTTTAAATAGATTTTAAGTGAAAATATCAGAATAAAACTTGTCTTTTATAATTAAAACTTTCACAACTGTACATTGAAAAATATTTAAAATGGTACAATTGTTATGCATATTAGAAAGAAAAGATAGTGTTGGGTAAGTGAATTAATCTGGCTTTTTATACCACTAGCCTCAGTGGCTATCACCTACGGCCTCATCATGTTAATGCATGAGGCACTTGGGAGCGTGGGTGCAGGGCACGCGTGCCTGATTGTGGACCTGAGCAAGGGTGTGGGCATGCATTAAGTGGGCACATGTGAGCCTAGAGAGGACAGAGGAAATGCCAGAGAAAAAGCATAAAGGTTTGTGGGGACTGGGAGACTTGGCTGCCTGCCTGCCTCCTGGCCCCCAGACCCAACCTGTGCTGCCTGGTTGCATGCCGGTCTCCCTGCCTGGTGTGCCTGGTTCCCTGGGAGCATTAAAGCCTGAAAAATCCACCAAGGGCTCCGGGATTCTCTATTCATAGGCCCTAATCAATAATGAACCTGCCCTGTGCTTGGTGGCACTGCAATATCAAAATTACTTATTTATATAGGCAGGGGCTACAGGGTAACAAGGAAAATCTTATGCACGTCTGGTTAGAGTGGTGAGGTTATAATTCAAACTTTTTTTTAAAAGATTTATTTATGCATACAAGAGCTGGGGTACAGGCCAGAGATGCATGGGGTGAGAGGATTCACCAGAGACAGAGTGGGGAACAGAACAGGCAGACAGACTGAAATATATTCCTGAGGGGAGCAGTGGGTGAGTCAGGAGAGATCTACTTCGCCATGTGGGTTGCTCCCTGGTGGGCTGGGGATCGAACTGGTGCTGCAGCTTTGGATTGCTTCATAGTGTGGTGCTTAACCCCTTGCGCCACCAGGGATGCCCTATAATTCAAACTTTTTCAACTATTTTTGTCACATTGCTTATTTAATAATTTCACTGGGCAATACAAGTCATGAGAGGACATGTTAGCCTTGGCCTGTAAACATGCAGCCTCCCATGGGTGCCTCCGTCTCTCACAGATCCCTCTCTTCCTCTTGTGTAGAGAGAACACATGATGAGCTGTTACTGGGAGCAGCCCAGACCCATGGCCCCGCGTCACGACCCCAGCAGGCCCTACGCAGAACAGTATCGCATTGACACCCGGCAGTTTGCCCACCTGTTTCAGCTTGTCTCGCCATGGACCTGTGGATCCCACACAGAGATCCTCGCTGAAAGGACTTTCAGGCTCCTGGATGACAACATGGACCATCTTATCGAATTTAAAGCATTTGTGAGCTGTCTTGGTAGGACTCTGTGGTCTTTATTGCACTGAGTTGATTTGGGATGTGTCTGAACACCGAGTGGGTTTGTAGCAGGCAGATCCACACAATGAAGTGTATCTGTGATGTGATTTTGTGATTTTTAAAAATCAACCTGCAGGCCCGTCATGATCACTTTCATGCTTCCTTAAGGTTGGTGGGGAGAGTGAGCACTAACTTTCAACACAGAAGGTCACTGACCTTTTTGGCACCTGGGATTTGGTGGTAGCTTGTTGATCCTTGTGCACAGAATTAAAATCCTTCATACAGTATAAGGCCAGACAAAATTGACAGTTATCTTATAGCTTGAATTGTCACTAATCATTGCCTCTCAAATTTTCATTTCAAATAGCATGTATGTCTGGGGGGTAGGAGCAGAGAAAGCACTGGGTCCATAAGTATTGACCATAGTAAGTCTCTCTCCATAGTGAGTTTGTGTCATAACAAATTTACTTATTTACAACTATTCAATCTCTTTATTTTTGCAGATATTATGTATAATGGAGAGATGAATGAGAAAATTAAGCTGTTATATAGGCTCCATATCCCTCCAGGTAAGAAATTACAAGTAGAAAAACCAGGTTCTGGTATGCCTTGACAAAATCTGCTTTTTATGTGATACTGAAGTTCTTTGAAAATTGCATTTGCACTCGAGGCAGCTGGTGGTGTCGTTTGGGGCAGCAGATCACAGTTTTAAGTACTGTGCTGCCTGGCAGTGCTTGCCAGACCTGAGCATGTATTAGAAACATCTGGAGGGCTTGCGAAAGCAGCTAAGGGGCCCTATTCCAGTTTCTTAATAGGTCTGAGGACCACACTTTGGGGACCACTGGCCTGTAGACATGTAGGGAAGCCAGACCTTGGTTGCCTAAATAAGTGGTTATTTTAGCCCACTGATTTTGAAGAATCATGTCACTTTCCAGCATTTAAGACCATGCTTCTTTCAAATTGAACCAGTCATAAGTAGGAAAAAAAAAAAGTGGTTTTGAAACCAATGAGATCAGACTTAGTGTTGAGAGGTATTTCTTGGATCTTTGGAACTGATAGAGGATTAAGAAGCTCAGAGGGCATCCAGACCCCAGTGCTGTGGTTTTGGTGTTGGATGGGGCCTCTGCAATGCGAGGAGGCTGTTGCTGAGGGAATTTTCAGGGCAAGAGATCCTAATAATTTTATAACCATTAAGATGTACATATATATTGAAAATGCACAAATATATTGTTTATGGATTTGGAGAATCTACTTCCTGAATCCAGCTACTAGTGAGCATGCATGTAATACTTATTATCCCAGGGAGCATCCCTTAATGACACCCAAAACCCCTTCTCAACCTTACCACACTAATTATTACTTTAGTGTGGTATTTAGCTATTTAGCATCAGTGAAATTCTTTTTATGCTAATGTTATTGAGCTTTATTTGTCCTTATTTCACATTTTCCTACTATCATAGTAGACATGCATAACTGTTTATTATCATTGTCTTCATCTTTTCATAATCATCGTTATCTATATTTGGTATTCCTAAATAGAACATGATTGACTTTAATTATGTTATCTTGATTTTTACACTTTTTATTGGGATTTTAGATTTATAAAAATGTTGCAAATATAGTACAGGTAGAGTTCTCATTCTTGATATATCTGTAAATGTATTCCTGGCTTTTGATATCATTTGAGATATTTGGTTTTTGATCTAACTCACAATGAACTGTGTTTCCAAATTACATGTTCATTTCTAAAGATACTTTATATTAGTTCATTAGAGGTATTTGTAGGCCTTCATGGCTTCAGAAAAAGTCTCTTAGAATGAAGGGAACCTCAAACTTCTATTTTGACATATCCTTTTGCCAAGGCCATGAGTATCCACAATATCTTAGGTACTTTTCCTTAAATAGATGTAATTTCAACAAGTGCTTTCTTTTTACCATGATAAATAACTTTTTGATTAAAGGTGGGACAAACAGTAGTTGGTAAGAAAAGTTTTTGTATTTTTTTTTAAAGATTTATTTATACAAGCACTGGGTACAGTCAGAAGCGCGGGAGGGTGAGAGGATTCACCAGAGCAGGGAGCAGAACAGAGAGACTGACGAAATACACTACTGAGGGGAGCAGTGGGTGGCATAAACAATGACTGCACTTTTAAAAGACAACTTAGAAGAATATTAGTTTCATTAGAAAGCACCAAAACAAGCTACTGAGAATGATATGTTGGAAATGACAAGTGAACACAAACTGAGACATTTGGAGGCTTTTTGTGTATCTACCGCAAGTGGAGCTTGTGCTGAGTTTGTTCTGCAAAGTTTTCCCCTGCTGGTCTGGATCCTCATTGAATAATATTCTTAAAAATATTTAGTCTAGGGCCACCCTGGTGGCACAAGGGGTTAAGTCACAGCACTATGAAGCTGTCCGCAGCCACTGCAGCACAAGTTCAGTCCCCCGGCCAGCTAGGGAGCAACCCACATGGCGCAGCAGACCTCTCCTGACTTGCCCGCTGCCCTTCTCAGCAGTATACTTCCTTCAATCTGCCCATTCTGTTCCCCACTCTCTCTGGTGAATCCTCTCACCCCCCACACCTCTGGCCTGTACCCTAGCTCTTGTATGCATAAATGAAATAAATCTTTAAAGAAAAAATTTAGTAAAAGTCATGCTGCCCCAGACTTTGTCCAGCTTCATATGAAGATGATTTCTTTCTGAAGCTTAACATCCCTAGTGCATTTGCTGCCCAAAGGAAGAGTTTTGTCAAGAAGTTGAGTTAAATGGGAGAATCTTGTGAATAAGTCCAATTTGCAGTTTGATTAAAGATAGTTACTAGATTTAAAAAAGGACTCAAAATGTTGAAAACCCGAATAAGCTTAACAAACCTGAAGGAGCACAAGAAAATATACTAACATACTGATGAAGTATGGATAGAAAGCAACAATTCACTTTAGGAAAAAGTAAGGTTATAATGCTTCATTGGTGATATTTAGTGTTATAATTTGAATCCTAAAGCAATTATAGACTATATAATATAGCAATATCTGTGTATGAGGAAAAACCATGTCAGACATATTAGCCAAAATAAAGGCTACCTTTATATTTTTCAGTAAAGGAAGAGCTGTTTATATATATATAGAATGATCAGTCTTTTTTTTAAAGATTTATTTATTTATACAAGCACTGGATACAGTCATAAGCGTGGGAGGGTGAGAGAATTCACCAGAGCGGGGAACAGAGCAGGCAGACAGACGAAGTACACTGCTGAGGTGAGCAGCGGGCACAGCAGGAGAGGTCTGCGCGCCATTTGGGACCCTCTCCAGATGGCCGAGGATTGAACTGGCGCTGCAGAGGCTGCGGGCAGCTTTGCAGCCCAGCGCTCAACCGCTACACCACCAGGGGAGGCCCAGAATGATCAGTCTCTTAATGCACAACCAGAAGCATTTGAACTTTTCAGATTCTGTAACATGAAAGCAATTATCAAATTGCTTTAGTTGTTTACATTCCTAACACCATATTGTCCACTTCCAAATAAACTGACTTTTAACCAAAATTAAAATGGAAATGCTATAGAATGTTGCAATTTTGAGATCTTTTTATTTCCCTACAGAATAGAAAAAGTTTTAAAGCAATCACACATTCTACTTAAAGCTGTCATAGGAGCTCCATCAATAAATGCAGTTTTCACTCTGCCAATGTACAGCTGTACAGAATTTGGTAAAATAACTGAGTTGGTCCCATAAAGAAGACCTAAATATGTAGTGCTGATTAGGGCACACATTATGAATGACAATGACATCTTTAGGATAGTCTAGCAAAATGAGATCTGTGATACTGTGGGAAGGATCTAGAGGGTATTATGCTTAATGAGAAAAATAAGTCACAGAGAAAGAAAAACACTTTATGATTTCATTTATGTGATATATAGTCACAAATAAATGACAAAAACTAAGTTTTATACTATAAGACCGAGTTTGTTGCTACAAGAAGGGAAAAGGTTGGGTAATGGGTAAAGATGGCAACTGTTTGGTGGATTGAATTGAATTTTTAGTGGTGAATTTGTTGTAATATATACATGTTGATTTTTAATTTTATAAACCTAAAACTTCTATAATGTTACAATGCAACATTAATTCAATACACTTGATCTTAGCCAAAAGGCCAAGAAGTGATGCAACATTACTGCAATAAAAATGTATTTAAAATGTTAAAAAAAAAAAAAAAGCAATTATCAAAGAGAAAAATGCCATTTGCTTCCACTTTCTTGTCTAAATAGTTTCTCACTGATAGTGACAGTCTGTTTTTGAAGAGGTCATTATTTAAAAGTTCTAATTAGGAACTGCATGTAGGTATTTCACTATTAGGCTGAAAATTAGCATAAAAATGGCCTGATTGGGCTAAGATTTTAGTAACATTTGATCCTTTTTAGTTATTTAACATTGTGAGAAAAGAATGATCTTTGAAAGTTTAAATTCATTTAGTTATAATGTATGTACTTTCTAAACCTATGCAGTACAGTTGGAAATGAGATCTTTGAATGACATTGTCTGCTTTGTCAAGAGTACCTGCAAACAGGTACTGATACATGCAGTCATAGTTCATAATAATGGAATATTCAATATGAATGAAAAACCTTAGTAGTATTGTGGACTGAGATGTATGTTTGAGGCTAACAGCAACAGGACAGAAGATAGCATGTGACTACTCCTGTTTCCCTAGAGAACAGTTTGGCACTTAGGTTCCACCTACCATATCAGTTCCTCATTTTTTGGTCACTCTGTTCTTATGGTTATTTTATGAAACAATTGTTAAGATAAGTGCTAATAAACTCCTGCTTTTAAGAATGTACCAGTATGTCTAGATACCTATCAGAACCCAAGACTCTGCATTGCCCTATGATCAGATTTTTTTTTTAAGATTTATTTTTATTTATACAATAGTTGGGGTACAAGCCAGAGGCGTGGGCAGGTGAGAGGATTCACCAGAGACTGCGGGGAGCAGAACAGGCAAACAGACCGAAAGCACTGCTGAGGGGAACAGCGGGTGCAACAGGAGAGGTCTGCCTCGCCAAGTGGGATTCTCCCTGGCCGGCTGGGAATCGAACTGGCGCCGCAGAGGCACAGCACTGCGCTCAACCCGCTGTGTCACGGGGGGGAGGCCCCTATGATCACATTATTAATGGCATACACAAAGAAGGTTCGCTAAGGGTAAACAGATGAGCTAAATTAGTAGTCCAGATAGGATCGGAAACTTCCTCAGAGAACGGATAGTCGTCTGAAGATTCAGACTGGAGGAGATGATGATTCTGAGAATATATAGCTAAACTTAAAAGGTCCATTTCTTGCAGAATATATAAAATGATAGTTTATATATTCTATTTTAACAATGTAGGCAGTATTGATAAAAATACCAGGTATATTCAATTTTATGGTAGGCAGCTTAGGCTAGAAAGATTTGTTCTTTGGAGACCTGAGTTCAAAATGCCATTAAGGGTTTTGAAATATTATGAAGTGTAGGATATAACCCTCCTCTCCCCCCCTGCCAAAAAAAAAACTCTTCTGTGAAATTGAAAAATTGCATTGAACTTTTTAAAAAAGGTAAGTGCTGAAGAGCCCTGATATTACCCAACTCATCAAGAAGTCACTAAAAAGTTGGATTTATTTACCTCTAGTACCTGTCAGTCAAGTGATTTTCTTACAAGAGATGAGAAATGTACATTGAATACTTTAGTTGATTTTCTGTGAGTGACTTGGATATATTGAAATTCCTAACCTAATTGCAAATTCTTCCCACCATAATTTTTTTTTATCCACTATGGAATGGTAGGAGGAAGGCACTGTACTATTTTAATAAGAAAAAAAGTAAAGTGGTTTCATTCGACTGTACTGTCAAAACTACATGTGATAGTTAAATTGCGTTGAAAGAGGTGTATGTACTCCTCTATCAGATAAGACATTGGCAGTGGAAGTGCTTTCCCCTCCAGAGAATCCCATAGAGAAAGTAATGAAGAAAGCAGTTACAGTAACAATGATACAAAAAATGAAAACTGCACATTGACTAATGTTAAGTCCTGAAGCATCAAACAGACTTTCCTGCTGGTGGTAGCTAACGAAACAATGTCTGAAAACATTTGTGAGTTTCAGATAGCCAAATATAAATCCTTTACCAAATTTTAACTTGTGCAGTACTGAGACAGTGGTAATTTTCATAGAAATGTCTCTTAAATCTGTCTTGAAATATAAGCTACGTATATAGAAGTAGGTTTACAAAACTTCAAATATCTTGTTTTAAAAAGCTGAAAGAGTGTGTGTGTGTGTGTGTGTGTATGTGTGTATATAAATTCAGTGGAGTACTTTCCCTAATGCACTGCATGCTATGTTCTGATCAGATTACCTGAGGTTTACAGTGTGCTCCTGGCCTCCTCCAGCGTCCCCTAGTGGTCAGTCTGGGTGATGGTGTTTGTTTTCTGTGTGCCAGGACAGGAGAGAGGTACTGCTTTATGGGTTTGCCTTTGTTGCTTCTTGTCACTTCACCTGCCTCCATTCTGAGCTCTCACCACCCTTTAAATTAATCACTCCTTTCTAGACTCCAACGGCACTGGTGTGTATAGGTTCTTCTGTTAAAGCAGTTTGTTTACAGTGACTTGTCTACACGTTTCTAGTGTTTGTGACACTGAACACTGAGGGTAGGAACTCAGTTACCAACTCGGTCACCAGAGGGTGGCTGTCATCTAGGAAATCATTTCCATCACGACTACCCAATGGTCCTTACCATTCAGGGTAATTTTGCTTTGAGTTTCTGATTGGATCCCCACCTCTGCCACTGCCTCGAACTTATTTTGAGCAAAGCTGGGGAAAAAAATGACTCAGTAAGTTACAGAAAAAAGGAAAAAAAACAAACCCCCCTCTCCCTAGACCCTCCTCCAAAACCCAGCCTACCTCACAAAGTAGGAAGGAGGGTTGTTATTAAAGCTTTGGTGCCATCTTGTGGATATTTGTGGCTCACAAATAAATCTTGACATTTCTCTTCAGTTTTATTACTCTCTAGGCCTACTAGTTTCAGTACTTAATTAAAATTGCAGAGGAAGGATCCTTTTTATTTTTTATAATAGACTGTTTAATTCATACTCTACAATTCATCCATTTAATATTGTTATGTAACCATCATCACTGTCAACTTTAGAACATTTTCATCACCCCCCAAAACAAAGCCTGTAATTGATAGCTGTTGCAACTCATCCATTCCCCTGCTGTCTTTACAGATTTGTCTATTCTGGATATTTCATATAAATAGAGTATTGTGTTATGTGTCTGGTTGTTTGCACTTAGAACAATGTTTTCAAGATTCATCCCTAAGGTAACATGTCAGTCCTCTTTATGGCTAAATATTACTCCATTTGGTTGGGATGCTATACTCTGTTTATCCATTCATCAAAACTTACATTTAGGTTTCCACTTTTTGGCTTTTACGAATGAGGCTTTAGGCACTGTGAACAGTTTCAACTTTTTAAAGAACTGCCGGACTGTTTTCCAAGGTAGCTGAATCATTCTACATTCCTATTAGGAATTTGAGGGTCTGGATACAATTGTATTTTAGTCTATTTCAAAAGAAATCTCTAAGTGCTACTTGAGTTCAGTAATTTTTTTTATAATTTTTGCTAAAAATTATGTATAGTGTGTTCATTATATAGAATATCATGAAAATTATTCTGCCATCTAGATGTTTATTTCTAGAGTTCCTTACATATGCTTATACATGAGTTTTTACAAAATGGGGGTTTTAGTATAAGCATTTTCCAGATCAGTATCAGCTGATGTGAACTTGCATGTTATTAGTTACAACAGTATCTATACATATTCAAGTGAAGTATTTCCTTCATTGTGTATCCAGACAGACAGTGCTTGGTATACACCTTGGATTCATGGATTGTGCAAGGATTGCAGCCCACAGGTTGGGGCTGCTGGCTTAGCCTTCTCTGTTTTACCAAAAAAAGCTAAATTAATCTGTTAGTTTTGGCTAAGATGCAATTTATTAATGTTAAAACATTTTCTTCTTAATAGCACTCACTGAAAATGACCGAGACAGCCAGTCACCACTGAAGAATCCTCTGTTGTCAACATCAAGACCTCTGGTTTTTGGGAAGTCAAATGGCATGTACTTTACATTATCTTCACCCCAAGCACGCCACTGAAACTGGTTGGAGTGATTCACTGATCATCTTAAAGGGAGACTTGTCTATTCCCTCCCTCCTGTAATTAATACCCAGTACATTGCTTTTAGAGGCCAGGCACTTTCCAAGTTGCAGGAAGACTGCATTTTGACCCTACTGCTTACTATCTGAGGTCCTCTTCTAGCTACCTACCATTCTATTTCTGTGAATCAGTGGTAAAAATTTCCAATGTAATCTCTGCTTCTAAGTTTGTACATGGAATTTGCTTAATGAAATTCATTACTCCCTTCTACATATTTCCCTTTCTTTGAATTTACTTACTGTTTTTTGTCTCAAGGTGATGCAACTGATTATCAGAAACAGCTGAAGCAGATGATTAAGGATTTGGCCAAAGAAAAAGATAAAACCGAGAAAGAGTTGCCCAAAATGAGCCAGGTATGGACTTTATTCTGTGCAGAAAATGAAACTATTTTGTTAAATGATTTGTTCAGAGGTAAGCTTGGGCCCCTTTGTCACCAATGCCAAAATCAAAGAACTTAACTTCTGGGAGTGAAACACTGTTGTGATTAATTGGGGAATATTTAAATTGTTTCATTTGGATATTTCAGATACTCAATGCTTTTTGAAATATAAATATGCGATACATTACATCCAGGGATGTTTTATAGTTTTGGGTTGTCAGGAATAGTCATGATGCTTGAAAAAAAAAAATTTCAAGACTCTTTTTCAACAACCCAGTATACAGGATAGGATAATGCATGTAGGTTATATGCAAATATTTCATTTTGTGAGTTGAGCACATGTGGATTTTGCTATCTGTGGGAGTCCTGGAACCAATCTCCTGTGGAAATGAAGGAATGACTACTGTTTCCATCTTGTTACACTATTATATACATTTTTTTCTTTTTTTAATTCTAGAGAGAATTTATCCAGTTCTGTAAAACTTTGTACAGCATGTTCCATGAAGATCCAGAAGAAAACAGTTTGTATCAAGCCATTGCCACAGTAACCACCCTGCTGCTGCAGATTGGGGAAGTAGGCCAGCGAAGTAGCAGCTCAGGAAGCTGCTCCCAGGAATGTGGAGAGGTGCTGCAGGCTTCAGCTTCTTCTCCTGAGGACTTGGTTTTCGCTGACACAGACCCCGGGAAGATTCCCCAGGACTCCCAGGTATTTCCTCAAGAGGCAGAAGGGGACTGGACTGTCTCCCTTGAACATATTTTAGCATCACTTCTCACTGAACAGTCATTAGTAAACTTTTTTGAAAAGCCACTGGACATTAGATCCAAACTTGAAAATGCCAAGATCAATCAGTACAGTCTCAAAACTTCTGAAATGAGCCACCAATCACAGCCTGAACTCAAGATGAATAACCTGTGAGAAGAGTGGTGCTGTGGACTCTGCCATACCAAAGCAAGGACCAGTTTTGTGCGTTGTCTGCCCATAAATCCAGACTCAGTTTGAGTTTACAGGATGGGTGTCCAGACAAGCAACCTGACAAGCCACAATAGTGGCAGGGAGAACTGATGTAACCCTCAACATTTCTATTTATTCTGAGAGTTCAATTGGATATTATCTGTACTAAAATGTATCCATCAGTTCTCCTAAAAGCTGTGACTTGCATTTTCACTTTGATCAGATTTATTGAAATGGGCACTTTTGTGATTCTAATCCAGGGAAGAGCCAAAGCTTATTTTTCACTTGGAGTAACGGGAGAGGTTAAGAATCAAGTTCACTTTCAAAATCTGAGCGCCACTGTCTGTGCAATTGTATTTGGATTTTTTTGCACTAATTTTGTTTCAATGCTGGTAATTGAAACCATTTTAATATATTTGGTTGTATTCATTCATTTTGTGTCCTTCCAAATATGTGTACAAACCTTGCTTTCAATGTTGGCCTCCAAGTTTTTAATAAGAAACTTTTGTATTGACTTGGTCCTTTGCTTGTACCTTATATTTACTTCAGTCTGGAGTGCAATATATTGCAGGCTCTCAACCTCACCATGGCTATGCAATGTTATCAGCCACAGGGCTTCAAAAAAGGGAAGTCCTTATGACAGCATTTGTCTGAGGGTGGGGGTGTGTTAAAATCATGAAACAGTATCTGCAATAGCTTGTTTTCAGGCTGACTTTGTTACTGTAGCCTTAAATCTTACCTAGTTTTAGCTCTATGTAATATAAATACATGAGCTAAAATAAGAACTGTACATGTAACATTTGGTACCTCACCAAAGATCAGTTATTTTAGAAGATGCTACCAATTGCATCCTTTCAGTATTAAAAACATGCAAAGTGGTAAACAGCAGCCAACATCTAATGCCAACCCCTGGAGAAATGTTTCTCTTAGAAATACACAAAACATGCACAGAACAGTAACATAGCTCTAATGTTTCAATTACCTAAATAGTGGTACTTAAAAAGGCTAGGCCTGTGCAAATATTCAGAAATACCAGGGGCTGGGGAGAAGGGGAAACAGGCCTAAATATTTAGGAAGTCACCCAAAAGTTTCTATAATTAGAAACTGCTCTAAGATGCATAGAACATTACACCGCAACTAGAAAAGGAATAAGTACAAAGGCAATTCTGTCACTTTGCATGAATAAATTTTTTATATAATTGGGGTATAGGCCAGAGGATTTACCAGAGACAGAGTGGGGAAACAGAACAGGCAGAAATACACAGGCGTATCATGCTCAACCCGCTGTGCCACCACTGAGGCCCTGTAACTTTATTTGCTAATCAGTGATTAGTTTTCATCCACATTGACTGTCTGTAGATCTGCAAAAGAAGGGACAGCCAGTCAACTTCCATTGCCACACAGCACTTCCCAAAACCTTTTTGGAGGGTTTAGGATAGTAGAAATATTTTTACTATCTATATATTTTGTATCTTTATTTTCACACTACAACAAAAAAGGTATACTGAATATGCCTGTTATGCATATCCCTAATGGAAGCATTACTGGCATATACAGGTGGGTAGTGCATCTGCTGAACAAATGAATTCAAACTATACGGACTAAAGGAGAGTGTGGGATTGAGTAAAACTTACTTTTGAAAGTTGTGACAGGTACATAGGTAACCAATGTATACAGCTTGTTTGGCGAATCTTCATCCTCATTACGTTTCCTGGACAACCGTACACGGATACGATAGGGGACATTCCTAATAAAAATATAGACATGAAGTCAATGTCTCCTATCAAGAAAAGCCAACAAATGTATTCATTCTGTCCCCCATTTCTGTAACATGCTCCTCCTGCTGTCCTTTGCTCTATTCTGACCAACTAGCCAGAGGATGCATGGCATTTATCAGTGCCCTGGAAAATGAACACCCACAGGGGGACATTAAATACCATCCCCTCAGCATTTATACTAGCCACCACTGACATTCAAACTGAGCATTCAGTCTTATGCCACGTCTTTGCCCTTTGCCACTAAAACACAAATCTTGATTCTAGGATTTGTCTGTTAAACTTGGAAAAACCTCACAACTCTGAAGGCTATATTAAACACAAAGCTATTACTTGTTCAGTGTCTCTGCAGGTAATGCTCTCATTCAGACTTCTTAGGATTGTAAGGACCTGTTATTTCCACCTTTGATCTCAGGAGTTGTCCTGAAACTCGGGACTACTTCTGGCTCAATGTACAACACTCTCATCGAGAGACAATCAGGTTGAGCCTTGTGTTGTTTGCCTCCAACCCCAATGTTGAAAGACTAGCCAAAAGCAATCTCCCACCACTACTCCCTACTCCAGTCTCCCTACAATCACATAGTCCATGCCAGTACCATTCCCCGAGGGCAGTGCCACTTCCACAGCGAAAAGCCACCCTTTATGTATACACAAGGTTTTTCCATCTCAGTATTATTATTTGGCCTGAAAATTGCTACAGGAAGCTGCCTAGTCCTTTGATGTTTAGCTATATATTTAATCTGCAGCAATCCCCAGTAACAACCAAAAATGCCCCCTCCATCTCCTGAAATTGCCTATGGCTGAAAACTACCCCATCCAACTGCTTCCATTATGTCTAAAAAGAAATCCAAACTCTATTACCCACAATATCCCACATATTCTGTCCCCTGCATAATATCTTCATTCATTGTTCAAGTCACTTATGTATTCCACCTTCCCCAACCTGTTTCCAAATCATGCCAAGGTTTTTCTGTTCAATTGCTCTTATCTGTCCCTTACATTGCTGGTTCAACCAACCACATCCAAGGGCTTCAATTCTGCCCTTTGAACAACTGTCATATTTCCTTACACATCCACATTCATTAAATTATTGGACTTAAAAACTAGAGTTGGTCAAACTGGCGTAACTATACAAAAATTCATCTTAAAACACAAGTAATTGAAAGCACCTTATTCCCTTAGCCCAGACAGCTTTGTTGAGCCTGGTGTCGATGCGCACATCTGGAGTGCCCATTTCCTTCATTGCAAATTTCCGGATCTCTTTGAGTGCTCTAGGGGCACGCTTCTTGAAGCCACTGAAATTCAAACAAAGTAACTATAGGAATACAAATTCAATGTATGACACAGTATATCCTAATTTCACACCCACAAAAATCCAATCCAAACCTTGAATGGCCCAGAACAAACCTTTTTACCACCAGTGCATTAATACCCAGCAACCAGGAGGACACTTGGGAAACAAGTGCATAATCCATTTTCAATAATGTGGGATAAGGACTCTGGATGTGATCCTTAAGCGATGCTAAAATACACTTCGTTAACCCTTTCTAGATAAAACACATCCCCAATGTCTAATACCATTGCCAAGAATAATAAAAAAAGTTAGAATACACTTCGAAATAAAATATACAATACTTAAAGTTCCAGTATCGGTCTATGTTTTAATAGTAGGGGCCTGAAATGTACAGATTTCCTCATATGTAGGAGGACAAGAGCTGTCAGCTATAAAACTGTCATTAATTTATGTTTGTTCCAACTGAGTAAGGTGCTATTAATTACCCCACTGTTAGATGAGGACAGATAAATTAATTTGAATTTAATGCTTCCAATTAATGAAAAAATGCAAAGCAAAACTTTAGTAAAGGCTGAAATAGTCAGGCATTTTGGGTAATTCCTAGTGGGGCAAAGACTAGTCTAAGTGTATCCCACCACTCCAACACTGGGAATGTCAAAGAAGTCACCATGTCAGTGATTCACCTTTTAACTCCAACAGTGTCCAACACACAGCAAACCTAGCAGTTTTGTTAGATGAAATGATTTCGTGAAATCTAATAAAAGTAACACATTTTACTATATGCAAGAAAAACAATTCTGATCTAAAACATCCAGTGACTTCTAGGACCCGTGTAACATCTGACATCCATTTGCCCCCACCTCACTTGGCTTCTTACACTGTTCCCAGCTCCCTTTGCTTACCCAGTCTACTTCTACAGCCCATCAAATTCCCTTTTTTCACTTAAATTCTTAGTCATCTAGAAATAAACGGTGCTAGAACAGTGGTAGAGTTAATAGACAATATCCCATCTGTTACAGCTTATATAGGTTACATCCAGAGTACATCAGATGGCATTACATACTACAGAAGTTACCCAAGTTAGGAACATGCCTGGTATAATTAACACAAGTGGTCAAAAACTAAAAAAGTAAGTAGCCAGCTCTTGTGGGATGGTAGCAAGAACTCTGGCTTCTAGTTTGATTTAGAAGGCAGAGCCACAGGACATGCTTAATCGCCAAATGACTGAAATAAGGCCACAGAGAAACAGAAAGGTTGGGGGTAGAGATGGTCACCAGGAGCTTCAAAGGCCCATTTTAAAGATCAAATAGAGACGTTAATAGCATTTGGATATATACGGACCTAAGACTAGTCACTATTACCAAGCCTATGAAGAAAAGAGAGGGCCCTGGACCTCCAAATCACTGAAAGGTCTGGTTGAGAATGAGGAAGTTCACTGCTAGAGAAGAAAAACACAAGACTCTAATCTTTGGAAGTACCAGTATTTTCACAGAAGAGTAAAAAATGAACTGTCAAGTGTTACTCAGATATGACCAAAGGGGGCCTCCCCAGTGGCACAGCGGCTTGAGTGCAGTGCTGTGAAGCTGTCTGCAGTCTCTGTAGCACGGGTTTGATTCCCTGTGGCCGGCCAGGGAGAAAGCCACATGGCCGGGCAGATCTCTCCTGCCTCACCCGCTGCTTCCCTCAGCAGTGTATTTCAGTGGATCTGCCAGTTCTGGTCCCGGCTCTGTCTCTGGTAAATCCTTTCACCCTCCTGTGCCTCTGGCCTGTACCCCAGCTATTGTATGCGTGTGTGTGTGTGTATATATATATATATATATATATATATATATATAAAAACAAATCTTTAAAAAAAAAAAGAAATAACTGAAGGATTTAGTAGTATAGGTTTTTACTTGGGACTTTTGCACAAAATGCCTGAAAAACCTGCCCACCTGCTATGGCTCACATCACACTTTTTGAATATCCCATTATCATCGCTGTGATCCTTAAAAGAACACCCCTTTTCACCCAATGCCTCACTTTCCACTTTTTGTACCTAAGCACTTGCCTAACTTCCCTAAGTAAAACAAGGAGGCAGCACCTCTGGTTTCCTGCACAGCCCAGGATAGGCGCCTGATGAAGTTTTGACATACTCCCAAAATGAATGCAGGCCCTAAAAGCGGGGTGAGAAGGTGGTGCCTCACAAACAGCATTAATGCATAAAAAAGGGCACTGGCTTTTTGACCCAGAAGCTATTTCTGGGGACCCCCCCCCCACCAAATAAGAATGCACATATTACACATATTTAAGTTCCTAGCAAAATCAGTCCCAAGATGACAGACTGCCCAGCAAGCACAAGAAAGCCTGCTGACTGGTACTGAATAGAAAATTTGGCTTTTTAACATTTTACTATTAAAAATTCTCCATATCTTAACAGTATTCAAAAAGAGATTCGGTCTTCATTATCAGCACCATAGCACCACATGCCGCCCCCCACCCCGCCCCCGCAAAAGGGAAAACCTTTCTAAGCTCTATAACTAAAAACCAAAGCCCAGGTAAAAACCCAAGAACTTAAACATTCAAAATACTGGCCTATAACTCCATTTCATGGATACATTCCTGGCTCCAGCAGTTTCACTTCCGGGATTACAACCTGCACCACAGCAGGCATCTCTGCGGGCGAGGGCACTTCATTCCCAGTTTTAAAACAGCTACACAATCTTTTCAAGTTAGAGACAAGAGGGCTGACGCCTGGCACTTCGCATCATTGACAGACAGGTTGTACCGGGAAACCAACAACTTTACTGGTATCTAGAGACAATTAAATCAGTTGGCTTTTCCTCACAAACGCCCTTCACCTGCGCGGGATAATCCGACCAAAGCATTTAGCGGACTCAATCACCTAATTCTCTCACATTGGCTCTCCCAGAAATTACTCTTCAATCTATTATTTCCAGTTATTAACCTCCGAGTAAACTAAAATAGGGTCCGTGGGGTTCAGATTTGCGCTGCTGAAGAAACGCGTTCTTTCTAGACCACCTGGACCCCGGCAGGCCTGACAGCACCACCGAACGCGAACGGTCCAGAACTCCCCCTCAGTAGGGCATCGGGCCGACCGCAGGGATACTCACATTCCATGGATGCGCTTGTGAATGTTGATCGTGTATTCTCTGGTAACCACCTCGTTGATGGCAGAACGGCCCTTCTTCTTCTCGCCACCCTTCTTTGCGGGAGCCATCTAAACCCAGGCAACAAGGAGACCGATTCAGAAGCGAGTGGGACAAGCACAAACCAAGTAATTCTTCCTGAGCCCGCCTCAAGCTGCCGCCTCCGGGCGCTTCGGGGTGTTCAGGGTCTGGCTAGGCCCCTGAAGGTCCAAATTTGTGTTAAGCCAAGTTGGCCAGCCAGCGGCCCAGCACCCGCGTCCCTCAGCTGGCCCTGCGCCGGAAACCCTGTAGGCCTCGGCTCCCTAAGCTTGGCCGCTACCCTTCCCAAACTGTGCAGCCTTTAAACGAAGCGTGGCTTTTGGTTTTCCTGAAACACCGAATCCAGGACAAGCTCATAAGAAAGCCCCTGCCCGTATCAGCACAGTCCCAGACCAGGATGGAGCCAGATTCCAAACACCGGGACGCAGGGCCCATACTCACCCTGCCGGGCCAGAACGTTGAAAGGAAGTGCGTGGGGCATTGTGGGAAAGGGAAAGCACGGTCGCAAGCACAACTTCCGGGTCAGCTGGAGGCGGGTGTAGGGGTGTGGCTAGAAAAGGGGAGAAGCGAAAGCTGTGACGCGTCATGGGAGGAGCGAATGGGCTTCAGGGGCGGGGCCGGGGCGGGCCTGGGAGGCCCGCGACTGCGCGGAAGCGCCTTAAACACCGGGGGCAGGCACTGTGAATTCTGCCTCCTGCAGTGGAGCTTGCAAAGGCTTCGCGCTAATGAGCAGCAGGAAGGGCTTGGGTCTTTTCTCTGTGCATTTAGGGGGAACCAGAACCCAGCCCAGCGGTTGGATGGGATCAGGACAGGAGCCTGGGTGTCAACTAGGAGGCTGTGATCCCGCAAAAATGGCGGGTCTAGGCTGGGGCAAATAGTGGGGACAGAGAAAAGATTTTTGGCACAAGAAATATTTAGAAATTAAAATCGACAGTTTAGGGGGCCTCCCTGGTGGCGCAAAGGGTTAGGTACCACACTATGAAGCAATCCGCGGCCTCTGCAGCATGAGTTCGATCCCTGGCCAGCCAGGCAGCCACCCACATGGCGAGGCAGACCTCTCCTGTCTCGCCTGCTGCTCCCCTCAGCAGTGTATTTCAGTGGATTTGCCTGTTCTGCTCCCCACTCTGTCTCTGGTGAATCCTCTCACCCCCCGCAGCTCTGGCCTGTACCCCAGTTCTTGTATGCATAAATAAATCTTTAAAAAAAAATAAAATTGACTGTTTACATGGCTTTATATGGTATGTCAATTTATAAAGTGTTAGTGGTTGATGACTTGTTAGGGGGACTCCACCCCCACTCCAGACCAAATCCATCAGGACATTGGGAAAGACAAATCCCATCACTACCAAAGGGAAGGTTGCTGGAACCTGAGGGTGGAGTTAAGCAGCCAGGTTTGGTATAAAACCAGACATGTGGGTCTTGCGGGGGCTTTTTGGCTTCAAGGCTCCTGGCTCGCAGCCAGCTCTCCAGCGCCATTGGGTTTCCAGATAGGCGGAAAGGGTAGGACGCATTTAAGACTTTATTTCCCTATTTTCTCCCTGAGTTGTACATTTCCTCATTTCCCCTTCCCTTGTAAATAAACTTTTTATTAACCTTTTGTGTGTGCCTGCAGTGGAGTATTAATAAGTTCCTTTTAAGCACGCGAGTGAGGACCCACAGCCAGGCAACCCGTTTTATATTGGGGCTGCCCTGTAACAGGCTCACATTAGAAAGGTAGAGTAAAATATATGGAAGAAACCAATGTGATGCCATGACCTTAAATTTCCATGCATGTTTTCAGCTCTCATTACAAAACGGCAATAAACAGCCACAAACGTAGTACTTTTAACCACCCCTGCTTCATTCTTATCCCAGGCACCCAGGCTTTAATCCCTAATACTTAAAATAAAAAAAAACTTTAAAAGGAATCCGGTCTCTCGGAGTTGATTCTATGTCTTGAGGCAGGGGGAAAAATTAAGTTGGCCCTTGATCTTGTTTCCATAATGAAACTTGGCATCTGATTTCTGATAGCGAATCATAACAAGATGAAGGAGCCAAGTAAGGGAGCTCCTGCTTGTGCAGTTCTGCTGAGATGAGCATAAAATAGTAACAATGGCTCATTAGAAAAGTTAGGTGTTCACAAGCTTATTACTTCATGCTTACAGGTAAAACATGACTTATAAAAATTGTAATTTAAAAAGTAGTCCATGATAATAGATACCTAATTTATTGATTCTAATAAGTGGAAAGTATTGATATCTTGTTTATCTTGTTTATCTTGTATATCTTGGTTATCTTGTTTCTTTGTAAACTTGTGTCTGTTAATAAAATACAGACATGTGCTAGTTTCTTTCTGAGGGGGTAAAGGAGTGAAGTAACACTTGTGACACAGCTATGCACTTCCAGGAAGAGTAGGGAATGCTGATGGATTCCACCCCTTCAACTCTCCAAAATATTTTGGGCCTGATGTGGTGGAGGTAGGTGGTTGATGGAGACTTCACAGGGCCAGAAACTAGAGGTGGGGGTAGAAATGATTAACAAGTCATTAAACTGGGCATAGAAATTCTTTAGAGGAGGACCTGAGGTGGGGATTTGAAGATTGTCATGACAAAGAGCAGTCCTTACAGATTAATCTAATCAGATCCTAGAAATGATTGCTTTTACAGTGGATAAAATTCCACAAAGGAATGAAATTCCCCCAAAGAACACCATGGAAGAACAACTTTGCCCTTGCAAAATGCAGCTCTCTGCCCACCTGTCTATGCAGGTGCCTCTTTTTTCCATTCTCTTTCCTAACAAACCTGTCCTTTGCCTGTTTGTATCTATGCAAACATCTTTTCCCTCTGTAAACTCGCTGTGTGTAGCTGAATGGGAAACTGAGAAAACCTTTCTCAGAGGCAATCCCAAGGACCCCACTCACTGAACCCTATCGTCTCATCAGCGCTACATCACCATGAAGGTAAAGAAGGGTGGTCCCACAGTTCATTCACCCTAGTGACCACACACTGTAAATGTGAAAGAGTATCCATGAGTGCAATTTTACTTGTAAAGTACTGTTTGGCAAATTAAAACAATCCAGCCATAGGAAATATAACAAATTCTTACCGACCCTCAAAAATAAACATCTGTAGGGACTCCCTGGTGGTGCAAAGGGTTGAGATGCAACCTATGAAGCTACCTGCAGCCACTGCAGCAAGAGTTCAATCCCTGGCCAGGGAGCTACCCACATGGCACAACAGACCTCTCCTGACTCTCCCGCTGCTCTCCTCAGCAGTGTATTTCAGTCAATCTGCCTGTTCCCTACTCTGTCTCTGGTGAATCCTCTCAAGCCACCCCTCCCACATCTGGCCTGTACCCCCAGTTCTTGTATGCATAAGTAAATCTTTAAAAAATTTTTAAAAATCTATGAAAAAGAGAGCAATGAAATACATGTGACTTTGACATCAAAAAGGAGAACTCTAATGCTGCAGATCCCATGTGAGTTAACTCAGACCACATAATCAAGTCCTCAGTCCCCATGCCAAAGCCACAAGTCATCAACTTTGCTTGGGTCTTCAGCCTCTGCTGGTCATTGCATTGTTTTGGAGTGTATGATAATCTTAAAGTTAGGGAGGTATAAAATTTTTTTATTTGGTGAGTTATTGAAGCACTGGAATGGTATAAAAAGTGGAGCACTGAGGTATAAGACTCACTATAGAATAACATAAGTATAAGACTTACTATAACATAGTATAAGACTTACTATAGAATAACAAAACCAAGTTAGCTCTGTGATATTCAACAGTTATATGTAAACAGCTTTGATGTAAATATGTTCATTTTGTTGTCATATTACGTAGGTCCTTTTTGCTTCAAAGGTGCTTTATAACTTTTAAGGTATTTTATGTATCAGACTTGGGATTTTAATGACATTCTTACAAGTGCTTATATTCATAAACTACTTTTTTTCATAATTGGGGAAATTTATTTTTATAAATTCCTGCATACTGACTCATTTATTTTTTATTTTGCGTTGATTAATAAAGGAAATGTTTACTTAACGGTTAAGAAAATTCTAATTTTTTTTTATAAGATTGACAATTGAACATTAAGTGAATTAGTGGTGACTATCTCTTTCCATGTACAAAATCCCTCAGACAGAAATGAATTTAGCAGCATGGAGGCTAAAAATCTTCAGTTTGTACAGATGGGTTGATGTTTGCTCTATGAAAGGAGATGCAAATGTTGGGAGGGGCAAGTGATTGTAAAGAAAATTGAGTCAACACTGAGTTAAATTTAGGATCTTGTAAGTATATGTAAAGTGGTGACCCAACATCTGAGTTGTTGGGTCTTGTAGTTAATTCAATGAATGTGTTGAAAGGGTCACCATAGCTCCCTCATAACTGGACATTGTTTGGTTTGGTAAAATTATAAAGGAGATTGATTTTATTTATTTATTATATATTTTTTAATTTTTATTTGTTTGTTTGTTTGTTTGTTTGTTTGTTTATACAAGCACTGGGTACAGTCACAAGTGCGGGAGGGTGAGAGAATTCACCAGAGCCAGAGCGGGGAGCAGAGCAGGCAGAAGGACCGAAGTACACTGCTGAGGGGAGCAGAGGGCGGCTGGAGAGGTCTGCGCACCATGTGGGACCCTCCTCCGGTGGCCAGGGAGCAGCTGGGGATTGAACCAGCGCTGCAGAGGCTGCGGGCAGCTTCGCAACCCAGCGCTCAACCGCTGCGCCACCGGGGAGGCCCTGATTTTCTTTTTAATGAGGACTTTTTTTTCCCAAGGAAAAAAAGCTGTTTTGCAGATAACATAAGAATATGTATTTCAGCTGTTTAATTAACCATGTTAGGCTTAGAGAAGTGTGCTATTATTTATATTGCACATAGGTATAATATGGAATGGTGTCCAAAAAAACACATATGGCATTTTGCTGGGGAATCCAAATTAGTTATTTTTCTAGGTTAATAATGGCTGACTTTAAAGCCCTCAGCCTTCACATAAAGAGAGAAACTTAAGTAATTTTGTTTCAAGCACCCAAATCTTACCTGGTAATTTAGGTAAGAGTGCAAAAATGTAAATATCATGACTTACAAAGATCTAATAGTTGATCAGTTCACCATGTTGCATGTAGAAACAAAAATTTTAAATTAACAACATTTTAGGTGCTTTAATTTAAAATATTCTAAAACGATGTATTCCAGACTTCACATTTTAGTCACTTCTCATGAGCCAAGAAATTATAGTTTCCCAATTAGAAAGGTCATGTTTTTTTCTGGAAACAGAACAGGATTGCAAAACAGCCTTTTAATAAGCAAAATTAAATGAATCAAAAGATCAGGGATTAAACTTCCCCGATGTTATGTAGGCTTAAAGAAATATTACACAATAAGAGCTTTCTGAGTTTATCCAGATTCAGAACATGTGTCAAATTTAAGCAATGCTAAATTAAATCAGTAGCAGGGCACACTCCACCCTATCCTAATGGCTTCCAGCTAGAAAACCCTAGGACAGTAACTATGCTGTTTCCATTAAATGTCCAGTTCTACTAGAACTAAGGATTCCGACAGCCAGTTAAAATACAGATTCTTTTACAGAAAAATCAGATTTACAAGTCTTGGAAATTATAAAATAATTAAGTTACAAAATGGTTAATTCAACTTTCACGCAGACTTTTTGTTTTAAAAAGTTCCTAGTGCATGCAAAATTTTTAGATTGACCTTTTTTCATTAATACAGCAATTATGTAAATAATAAAATTCCATTTTCATGCCCAGGTTCCTCTCACAATCCAAAAGTAGACCACTTGTGTGAAATCTTTCATAAGCCAAAATGGCATAAAGTGAAGAAGCCATTACCATTAATTTATATGGAATTTTGAGTCCCAAGGTAAGTAAGGGTTAATTAGGCAGCTTCAGGTACAGTACAGGTAGGGACTTTGGGAGAGTTAAAGAGCCTTCTAAGATAAGGGCATAGAAATTCAGGAGGCCTAATGAGGGCAGTAAATTTTAAGACTAAAATTTAAGACTAATTGGGACAGTAAAGTTTAAGAGAGCTTGCACAGGGGAGGGAAAGGAGACACTCTAAGATAAAAGAGCTGGGAAAATGGGCACATCTGTCCGGAGGTGTATAGCCACTAGGAGAAAAAGCCAATTACAAAACAGGATGATGAGATCTTAAAATAGAGAAAAAAAGGTTTAAATATCCCCTAAACACAGGCCCATAATGGTGTCTTCAGCCTCTCCTTGGCATTGCTGCATTGGAGTCTTTGCTTTAGTTCTTTTTCCTCTAAAATAAACTTTACTTCCTTGAATAAAGTTTGCATCTCTCTGCTTACTTATCTAAAAAGTCTGTGAATTCCTTTTTACGGCTTTGTGGGACAAGAACCTGCGGTGGTTCAAGGGCTAAATTAACAGCACACACTGCCTTCAATTTTGAGCGTTCCCAGACCTAAAAAATAACTTACCAAACCATATTAAATAACACAAATCTAAAATCACACTACCAGATAGTAAAAGCAGGATGATATGATAAATCCATACCTGTAGTGAAAGCTGTATGGTATAAACAAAGTAGTTCCTGGTAAGGCGGTTTGGGGGCCACTCTTGATGCGTTAGGTGTGTATTACCTATAGAATGGCTGCTGCAAAGCCTCTTGTTGTAAAAGCAAAAATCCTCCCAGATTCCTTTAAATTGATTAAAACAGGTACCAATGTCTTTTGTAAAAGGCTTAACATGAACTTTTGAAAAGTGGAGGACCCTGTATTTATATAGCAGTCTTCCATGCCAGCCTAAACTGATCATAGTCAGAACTGAGAAGAGCTAGCCGCCCCCCGTTTTTTTTTGTGGTACCCTCGCCGGTGGCTGGGGATTGAACTGGAGCTGCAGAGGCTGCGGGCAGCCTCACAGCCCAGCGCTCAACTGCTGCGCCACCAGGGGAGGCCCAGAGCTAGCCCCTTTTACAGGGGGGCAGGTGGGAGCACAGAGCTAGAGTGATAATGCAAAGAAAGGAACTGAGTTCTCTTGGGCCCACAGCTTTAGAAGGGGCTGTGCCATGCCCAGGGCTTGCTTCACACCAGGGTGATGACACCTCATGGGAACAAGAGGAATGTCTGTTGCAGGCATGTGTGCATATCAACTTGACATGTCTGTGGACATCTTACAGACACCCCAGCCCAGTATCACTGATAAGTGTTAGCGGTCAGGCATCATACAAATCCAGGCCAGGTGAGGTTAATTATGGGCTATGAATGTTTTGGATAATGTCTCAGTAGCTCCATGGACTATCTAGTGGTAAGCAGGCAGGCTCTGGGGCTGGGGAGCTGGGAGTGTTGGGAGGCAACCGAGCCCCTTAGCCCCCTGGGGATCTCTCTCTGTCTCTCTTTCTTTCTTGCATCATCTTGTGACATGATCTCACCTCTTTGAAGTCAAGCTGCTCATCCTTCCGCTGCTGCCGCTGCTGTGGCTTTTACCCCTGTGTCTAAGTTCAGGTGTGCACACTTATGCATGACCACACCATGCTCCAGGAGTCCACAATCAGGCATACGTACCAGTGGCCATGCTCCCAAGTGCCTTCTGCAGATGATAGCGATAGAGGCTAGTGGCATAAAAAGCCTTATTAATTCACTTACCTTACAACTACATATGTCTAGAAGGTGGAGATCTTTCCACAAATATTTTTTGTCTAACTGTTTTTCCCTCATTTCTCGAGAAACACGTTTATTCTGCTGTAACTTTTCACAGAAAGATCAGGAAGCTGACAGGCTGATACACATCTCGTGATCCCAGAAATCTAACACCATTACCTGGTGTTTTACTGGTTGTCTCCACCTTTTCTGTGTCTTTGCTTATCCTTAGAAATTATAAAAAATGTTACTGATCAAAAAATACACACATGCATATATAACAAGGGACAGAAATTGCCTCCAGAGGAAATTGTACAAATTTGTTAATTTATTATAAAATGTCCACTCACAGAAAAACACAAGAAAACTTTTATACTTTTATATTTGGGAAAGGAACTGGTCTCTCCAATACAAAATAATTTACACATAATCCATACAATTTTATTTTATATAGAAATAGGTCATTATTACAACAGCTGTACAATTCACTACACTTTATCTTATAATTACATAAAATCTTTCTTTAGAAACATCTCAACATAACAAAACATACAAAAAAAAGCAAAGTGCATTTTGAAAAGGAAAATCCAATCCTCGGACTTATCATTTATCATGAAAGATATGTAGAAAGATGCAGCATTCTCCCTCCAGGGGCCAGCACATGGTGGGGGTCCTTGGGAACCAGAGTGCCACAGGCCTGTCTGGCTAGTGAAACCTCTCCCTTCAGGGTCTTAAGAGTTCTCAACCGAATTCCAGAACATCAGCTGCATGACCGTGCTTGGCTTTGAGTCTGCCTTTGTAATCACAATCCAGGAAGTCAACAGGAAACAGTCCAGTGTTATATTCAGGGGAAATGAAATAATCACCAGAATGGCATGGGGTGCAAAGCCTCATTCTATTAGGATTTAGGCCAGAGGGTGTGGGTCTGTAGTCTGGTTAATAATGACCAGCTTGGCTATCTGATTGGTGAACTCCAAATCAAGTCATGAGGCCTCACTGCTTTTTTTTTTTTTTAACTGAAAGTGCCTAGTTTGTCTCCTTGTGCTGCTGTACAAATTAAAACAAAAACAGCCATTTAAAAATAATAAAAGATAATCTCTCTATTCTCTTGTCAACAGATCTCTGACCCAGTGCTTCTAGAATGCAAAGGAGAGGATCCAGAGAGTGAAGGCCAGCTGGCACACTTGGAAGAGCCACAGCCAGCTAGCGTGACCAGCACACTCTTGGGAGGATGCAGCAAAGATGTGCCATCTACTAAGGTAAACTGAGTAATGACGCCTATATGGGCACTGGATTCCTGTCCAAGTATGGCTGTAGAGGGCACCCAAGAAGGGGCCCAGGCAAGGGAAGCATGCCAGTCTTCCTGATTGTTCTCCACATGCCTGCTGCTGTGCTTGGGAAACAGTTACCATCCAGGAGTTCTGAAATGTTTGCAGTGTGCACAAAGCCAAGAATTTAGTTTAAACTCCTCGCCCCGATTCCGATGGCCACCCCCACTCGTGCATTAGTTAAAGCTGATTGTGACCCGACTGATTGTGCCAGGGCACTACCGGGGTGACTGTTGGAGGCCTGAGGACTCAGACAGGCTGCTGACCCTCCGGGGAGGGCGTGGGGGCTGTGTCTGGGGTGGTGGGTAGCCCAGGGTCCCTGGCTGTTGTGAGTAGGTGGAGAGAAGTATTGAGTCCTGCTGCTCACTGTGCAAAGAGGTTGGTGCTTGTACCTGGAAAGAAAAGAAAGAGGACTCACTGGTCAGTGATGCTGAAATGGTCAGATTATGCCCTCTTCTCCGCCCGGGAGCCTTCTGGTGAGGGCATGGGCAGGGAGAGCCCTTTGAGGGTAAAGGGGGGAGCAAGGAACCTGAGGCTCTGCTGAAGGATGTGAATTCTGCAGCCAGCACTAGGGATTGCAGGGGCCTGTGTTGGACTATGGGGAACAGGTGGACATACTCTTCATGCAGCCAGACTGTTTTGGGGAATTGGAACCCGAATCCACATGCAGATAATCCAAACACACACACAGTCAGCATACTTTTCTCTGGTAGTCCCTGGTTCTATACAAATACTGCCACTCATCAGCATCTACTAGGAAATGTACTGATTTGAAGTTCAGAAGCTTCAACTGGTCAAACCCTAACTTAGGAACCTTCACTTTTATCTCCCAATATTCCTTTCCATGAAATCTACGTTCAGTAACCTGATCTACCCTGTTTTTGAAAAAGCCCAGACATACCTGCTTCTGTAGTTTTGCTCAGGATGGCTCTCCTGCTGCAAACACCATCCCTCTACCCTTCATTCTTCATTTACACTTTGGGTGTTTCTCTGAGCGCCCCCCCAAAATGGTCCTTCCCGAGGATGACCTTCCAGCCACAGTGCTCACTGAGTATTAATTGAGGGCCTGGTTGCTCTCTGCGACACCCCTCTCTTTGCACTATACTATGAGGCCGCTAAGGGCAATGGGTGGATGACTCCATCTCTGTACCACTGTCCTCAAAATGTCTCAATCATTGTGTACCCTGTGATAGTGCCCAAGTAGAGCTAGGTGAAGGCTGGGCCCTGCCCTGTGCTGGGGGCTGGAGGTCAGAGAGGACAACACAGGACAGGGTTAGAGTTGGGCAGGTAGGGCCACCTGGGTATATGTGGGAAAGAAGGTTAGATCCTCAGTAGGCACTTCTATCCCATCTGAACCCATATTCACTGGCTCTCCCCCTCCTGCCTTCCAGTGATTTAGAACTTGCTTGGGGCCCCACATAAAAGTTGCCCCACATTTTCCTGGAAACCCCAATTTCAGGCACCATTATTGTATTTATTAAAAAAATTGATAAATCTTTAAATAAACATGATTTAACTATTTTGCATAAGACTATTTTATATATATTTATATATATTTATGTGCGACACACACAGTAGTCAATTTTCTATTTTTGTTCTAAAAATATGGACACCATAATAAAAATACATGTTAAAAATGGACCATAGGAGGCATAACAACTGATTCTCAGTTTCTCATACTGTACCTAGATTTAATAAACTTTGAGTATTAAAAACAATCAAATGTGAATCTCCCTGGGGTCTGTTTCAGTACTGGGGTATAGAATAACCTTGAAAGCAAGGAGAAAAGTCTTATCAGGCCTAGGCTATGGAGCCAAGTCCTAGCACCCTAGCCCTGTGTGTGAGTGCAATGGGCCCTGGTGTCTACCTCCAGGAAGTGCCCACTGGCAGGAAGTGCCCACCTGTAGAAAGTGCCCACTGGCAGGAAGTGCCCACCTGCAGGAAGTGCTGCTGCTGCTGCTGCTGGACCTGTGCAGGCTGCAGGGGCGATGTCTGGGAGGTGGGGAAGCTGGGGTGAAGCACCGCCTGTCCCATCAACAGGACAGGGGTTGAGGCGCTGCTGCTGGTGGTATGCACGTCTGGATTTTGAAACACGGCTTGACTCTGTGGATACCTGTTTGGTTTCACATGGGAAGGAGAAAATAGACCTTCAAGAAAGAGGTGTTGATATGACACCAACAGCATAAGCAATGAAAGGAAAAATAAGTGGAACTGCATCAAAATTAAAAACTTATGTGCATTAAAAGATACTATCCATGGAGTGAAAAGGCCACCCCTAAAAAGTATTTGCAATCACATATACAGTAAGAATGGATATTCAGAATAAAAAATAATTCAACAACACAAAGACAAAAGTAAACAAACCCAACTGGAAAATGGGCAAAGGGCATGAATAGGCTTTTCTCTAACGAAAAGATACTAATGGTTAAGAAGCACATGAAAAGATGCTCAACATCACTAGTCATTTGGGAAATGCAAAGCAAAATCCAAATGAGATGCAACTTTCACCCATTATGACAGTTATTATAAAAAAAAAAATAAGTGTTGAAGAGAATGTGAAGAAATCGGAACCCTTGCTCACTGTGGGTGAGAATGTAAAGTGGTACAGCCACGATGAAAAAACAGTATATGACTCCATGAAAAAATTAAACATTCATATCCCTCTGGGTATGTATCTAGAAGAAGTGAAAGTAGGCACTCAAACAGATATTTGTACACCCGTGTTCACAGCAGCACTATTCACAAAGCCAAAAAGTGGAAGCAATCTAGGTATCTACCCACGGGTGAACTGATAAATACAACGTGGTATATACACATACACCAGAATATTATCTAGACTTAAAAAGGAAGGAAATACTGACATATGCTATATACTGATGAACATGGAGGCCATTATGTTGATGAACATGGAGGCCATTATTTTACCTGGTAAAATAGGTCATATACTGAATGATTCCACTTGTATCAGAGTCTTAGTCAAAATAGACTGGTGGTTGCAAGGTGCTGGGGAGTAGGGAATAGAGAGCTATTGCTTAATGGGGACAGAGTTTCAGTTTTAGATAATGAAAAAGTTCTGGAAGATGGATGGTGCCATTGGGCTTAGAACAATAGGAATGCACACCGCCACTAAACTTAAATATGGTTAAAATGGTAAACTGTAAGCCTATAGTCTACTCTAATTAAAAAACTAATGAAGAGGTTTTGATGATAATGGGCCATTTAGCAAGAGGTGGAGGAAGGCCGTTTGAGAAAACGCTAGGGGAGTACAGACTAGGAATAGATGTTTTAAAATACTATAGAGAAGTCCATTTTGCATTATATTTTTACAAATATTATTTCTTTATTTGGGGTCATTTATAAGAGGCTTTGGGGGATCCAGACTTTCCCTGCAGAGGCCTCTGTGTGTATGTGAGATGGACTCTGACACACTCAAAGATGGAGGATTAGGTCTCGTCTGGAAGAGATGGTAGGGAGATGGGGAGGGCATCAATTATTAGGTTGCCCAAAAATGGTAGGTAGGGTTCCCAGGAAAAAAGATGTTCCATTTGTCCTAGTTCAATGAATTTTAAATATTTCCATTTATAGGATCACTTAGAAAGAACAGGCAAAATCCCAAACCAGGACCCTTTCTGGCTAACTGAGAACATCACCAGAGAAGTTAAAGGCAGCTTCTTGCAATGCACATTCCCCATCTCACCATTGGGGGTTTTCATGGGAGGAGACCAAATGATGTCAGTAAAAAAGGCCCCTGACTTTCAGATGCTCAGCGACTGTCCACTGTTACTATTATTTCTGGCTGCAGGAGGACACAGGAGGAAAGCCTTCGAGGGCATGGTCCCAGGAGATGGCTGGACGGCAGTTACTTGAGGGTGTGCCAGGCCTAATTAGCCAGCAAGTTCCCAGCAAACTTCTGATACAAATTCAACCAGTGTCTATATAAAAAAGACGTCTCTGAGACAGATCTATTTCTGCTTCATTTCAAAAGACCCGAAACTATTTGCCAGTAGCTTCCCAAGTCTCCGGTCACCTTTATCTCAAATAGTGAAACAGCTGAGCAACAAAGCTGCTCTGGTCTCAAGGGTGGTTAGGGAGAAGAGATGGGCTAAGAGGGGAGAAGGCTGTGTGTCTGGGAGGGGAGAGGGCCCTGCATCTGCAGAGTTATGCAGTCCCATGCTACAGTGCCAGAAACATGGGGCAAGCAGCTCAACTGTATCGGCAGAATTTTCTGGAGTCACTGAAGGACCCTTGGGAAGGGTGTTAAGGCTACTGGCATCTTAGTAAAAGAAGTAAAAGAAGTCTGAGGATGATGACATACTAGGGATGTGGTTGTTACATTCAGGTGCTGTTCTAAAGGTGGACCGCTCACACCACGTTTGATCAGCTTAAATGAAATGGAAAATGCTGGAAGAAAAACTAGGGGGAGGAGTCCTTTCAGGGGTGTGGGCATACTCTGACTCCACAGATCAAGGTAGATAAGAACCCTGCCAGCCTGGGATCACTCAGTGCAGCCCTTGGTGTCCCCTCTCCAACCCCCCACCCCCACCACCACCTGGAGCCACCTACTTGGCTTGCCGTGCAGTCCTGCCAACTTCTGAGTGCTGCCTCGCATCACAGGACCCTGGCATCATGGGCTGGATGGGCTGGCTCAGCAACAGCCTTCGAGCAGTGGGAGAGATAAATGGGAAGCTTTGATCAGCACCCAATTTGTGGACTGCTGGCCGATGGCATTCATCATGGCAGCTGGGCTCTATCTACTGCCACTAATATTCACTATATTCACTATGCCTGCTCTGTTTCCAGAGGCCCATGAACACAGCAGGTCATTTCCACTGGCCATCACAACCCTGGCCCTCTCTTGCTCTTCATTAGCAGAGATCAGAGGCTTTAGAATCTGTCTGAACTCTGCCTTCATCTACACCGGAAAGAAGGGCAGACAGGAATAGAGTAAAACTCTATCTCGGTCTTAAACAAGGACAGTCTCTGTACCTGAGCTGCCGGTCATGGCTGAAGTCGGGGCCAGGCTGGCACTGGCTGGCATCCTGGGAGGTGGACGCAGGTGTGGTCAGGCTCATTGTTGGGAGCGCTGCTGAGGTGCTACTGAACTGGGGTGTCAGCTGGCTGCTTCCCTGCATCAGCTGTGAGCTTCTCATTGGCTTCAGACCCTGGAGCATCATTTTAGGGAGAAAGGTGAAACTTAGTCTCCACTTAGGGGTCATCTCCTCTGGAACCCTCTCCAGAACCTCTTTTTTACCCTCTTTGGCCTTTCATCTCACTTAGGATCCACCGACTATTGAATTATTTTGATCTAGTTAATGTCTTCCCCTCTGGATTGTGAGAACCTCAAGGATTCTTTGAATCCTTGGGGCCTAGGACAGCATCAGACTCTACTACTTTCTGCTTCACAAATACTACTTTCTGCTTCACAAATTCTACTCTAGACTTGGGGACCTCTGCTGTTTCTCCTACTCAACAGACCTACTCCTGCCTCAGGGCCTTTGCATCTGCTGATCTCTTTCTGTGGAATGCTCTTCCTCCTGAAATTGACATGACTCTCTCTCATCCCCTGAGGTCATTGTTCAAATATTTACTTGGTGAAACCTTTTTCAGCCACCTAATTCAAACTCCAACTTATCCCCTGCCTTCACCAGAGTCCCAGCATTGCCAGCTGTACAGTCATGTGTCACTTAACAATGGGAATACGATCTGCAAGATGATTTCATCGTGGTGTGAACATCATAAAGTGTCACTTCACAAACCTAGATGAGCATGCCTATTGGTGTTCCCAATGGCTAGCTCATCTAGTCTCAGTGGCCCGTCATTGACCACGGTGCTAGGAAGCATGCATGACTGTACTGTGATTTTCACTTGCTCGTCTCTCTCTCCTACAAGAACAAGATGCTCTTGTTCTTGCCTTTTTTGTTCACTGTTGTCCCTCATTGCTTAGAACTTGGTGTTTGGCTCACAGCAAGGGCTCAATAAGTATTCGTCGAATGAAATAATAAATGAATGAGGGAATGGGCTTGGATTTGCTTTAGGGTTTACCACTCTGCTTCACTGACTGTCCATTCATAGGATGCTGCCAGTGTTCTCGGAGCTTTTACAAAGTCTTTCAATATTAGATGGTGTAAATTTTTCCTTGTTTTTTTTTTCTTTTCTGAAATTTTCTTGGCTATTATCATTCTTTAATTTTCTGTTGACTTTTAGAACCCAAAAGTTGCATTTTAAAGTAAAACCTTTAATCTGGGAGATGATGGACCAAATTCTCTTATATATGTATTTATTCACTTTTTTTTTTGGGGGGGGGGGCTACATTATTGGTTTATGCTCCTAGAGCCCCCAATAGACTAGAAACTTCTGGAGGTCAAGGACTCTTATTCCTCTGTGTTCCCCTGGGGGCTGGGGAATAACAGAGCTAGTATATGTTTACTGACTCCTTGGTCATGTGTGCAAACCTAAGCGGCTTGAAAATAGTCTGCACCCTGCCTTCTACTCTGATCTTCTAGAAGCAGGGTTTCGGGATTCCTAATTTCACTCAGTTTACATGCTCTTTATTGACTGAAGACTGTCAGACTGCAAGGTCACCAGTGGCTTCTAGTTAAAGGGCAGTGGCTGCAGGGGAAGGGCATGACAGGGGATAGGGGTGACCAGGAGGAGCACTGCGGCCCTGGGGAAAGGAACAGTGAACAGACTGGATGGCCTGTGTTCTCCTACTCACAGGGCCTCAAATCTGGAGCCTGGGGGCCTTGAGAACACACATGTGGAGGCATATGGCTCTCTGTGTGAGTGACTGGGGTGTCCAGATCTACTTCAAACCCAGTTCAGGATCAAGGTTAAAATACCTTGAAGGTAACCAAAATGAAAATGCATACATTGTGCAAAAATGAAAAATGATGTAAGAATTATATAAAATAAAATATTTGAAAAAATGAACAATGATGTAAAACATATATAAATAAAAAAATACAAACATGCAAAAAAAAAAAATACCTTGAAGGTATTTTAATATATTACAAAGACACAAAAGGAAATCAATAGCTGGGGATTCAAGGTGACTTGAAATAAAGCACAAGAAATCCCACCACCATAATGTAGCCCTGGGTCAAACCAGAACAGCTCAGTATGTTTCCAGTTCATGAAAACTGAAGAACCAAGTATGTCCTGGTCTGGTGTCAAGGATGGAGTCTGGACATGAGCACACTTACCTGGGTTGATATCACGCTTGAGTCTCTGAGCAGGTGCTGGTTTGTGACCTGGGCAGAGGTGATCTGTCCTGGAAGTTGTGGGCTGGCTGAGAGCGGTGGCTGGGCTCCTGGGGCTGACCTCTGGGGAAGCTGTTGCTGGGCCTCAGGCCGCTGGGCACTGCTGAAGCTCAGGGACACTGCTGGCTGCTGCAAAAACATCTGGAAGCAGAACAGGAATGCCTTTCAAGCTGGGATCACCTGTGCCTCCCAGATCTTCTCTGTCCCTGTCCACAGGAAGAGGTCAGCTCTCTTGGTCTCTCTGCCCTGCCCTGGAATTGTTTACTTTCCCATCACGGAGACATGGATGCCTGTAGGCTGCAAGCACAATGCAAGGCCTGCAGTCAGAACAGTGGGCCTGAGAGAAACTGCTCCACATTCAAGATGGCTATAGTCTGGCAACTGAGGTCTAACAGTGTGAAAGACTCTTAGACCCATAAGGTCTATAATAACTGGATGCATCTGCATGGAGTCAAGGCTGGTATATCAGTTTCTTATTAGAAGGGAGAAGTATTGTGTGAAGGAAACGAACGATGTGGGAGTGGTGGCAGGTGGCTGGCTAACCTGTGACCTGAGCTGTGTGTGTCCTGCCAAGGACCAAGCCCTGCTCCCAGATTTGAATCTCTGACCAATGACCAGGGGTTTGTACCCAGGTGAAGTTGAGCATCTTAAATTAGGGCTTCTAGCTGAGCTAGCAGATCTCCCATTCATTAGGAGACTGCATTCCAAGGAAGGCAAATAAGTGGAGATGATGATGTAACATCAAGTCCATTACTTTAAAATGATGCTTAGAATAAGCTTCCTAGTCATGATAATCTCGGCACATTTTGTTATCTAAGATGTCTCATTTAAGAGACTATGATATATTAGCTTGGTGATTTTAATTTGAAAGGTTTAAGAGAATTCAATATAGTTTGTAAACCTCACTTATAAGTTTGTGTATTGGATTTAAAAGAATTGCCTACGTGCTTAGAAAAATTCTACTTCTTGGGTTTATAAATCTGCCTTGTTAGATATACGACATTTTTGAAAGACTTAGATATATTACAATTTTAAATTAGTGGCTTTGGTAGATAATATCAATTAAAACAATTTGTGAAATTTACGGACTAATCGAACAGAAACAAAAAAAGTAAGTGCATTGTTATTTTTATACCAAATGAATAGATTTGTAAATAAATTATGATCTGTAAGTTGACTCTAAAAGATTAAGAAGAAACAACTTTAATAGTTTTAATAATAGACTTAAGACCTATAACAAAAGCTCCTCTTGGGCATTACAAATACTATTTATATCAGATTCTTGACAGTGTTCCATTCCATTTTAGGCTTTTAGCTGTGGGTTTTCAGGAGGCAGGTTCTCCTCCTCCCAGTATCTTAATTTTAATCCCAATTTCTATTCTCAGTGCAAGAACAACCTCATAGCCAGTACAGATCCAACATGCTAACATTGCTGAGTGACAGGGTAGTTCTGGAAAGGCAGACACAAAGCTACCCAAGGCAGATACTACCCATGGCAGCACTTAGAGATTGGTTAGTTCAGTCATCTGATTCCTGGATGGGGGTGAGACACCTCACAGGGCTTGAGGTCTGTGGTCACAGAGCTGGGACTGGGTTCACATCTAGTGTCTTTTCCACCTCACCATGGATCTCCCAACTTCCCTTCATGCCCCTACCCCCAGCAGGGAAGCCTGCAGTTTTGAAATGAGGGCTCTGCCACTTAAATTAGGAAGAATTTTCTGGATACTCATGATGTCAGATTCAATACCCATTCAGTATAGATTCAGTATGAAGATGAGCACTTTGTGCAATCCCAGCTACCTCTAATAATCTGGCTTGCTTAAAACACATATGCTAACCTACTTCATCAATTCAGCAAAACCCAATACCAAAGAACATCTTTTTTTTTTTTTTTTGGTAGGATACAACTTACCTCGAATAAATGTGAACTTTATTTATGAAGGCAGTATAGTTTATGTTGAATCAGAAACCTTAGTCCAACTCGCAATGCTACCATGTACTAGTGGTATGGCCTTAGGCAATTTTCATAACTTTACAAAGTCTTACTTTCCTCATTAATAAAACAGTGGCGATAAAAGCACACAGCTCATGAAGGATTTAATGAGATTTATGCTGAGACATACTAAGTGCTCAATAAACATTAGGAAATAACATAACATTTAAAAATCAATAAAGGACACTTTTGCTCCTTTGCTCACATAAAAGCTCTCTGGGAAGTGAATGACCAGAATAAATGAGTGACTAAACAAATATATGAGGTTTTGTGCAAAGAAGAGCAAACACTTTCTGTTGCATCATATCAGAGACTCCTTGGTCTGCTACTCTGCCCCCCTGCTGTCTGCTCTCTGAGGGTAGACACCCTGTCTTATTGATGTCCACAGTGCCTAACCCAGTGCCTGGTACATATTTGCCTGGTGGAGGATGGAAGCATGGATGGGTGAATGGGATGGATGGCGGATGGATCAATGAGTGGGAAGGGAAGACAGACAAAAGGATGGAAGAACTGATCTTAAAAAAACACATTTGCCATTGCTACAGGTGTCATGCCAGGCATTTAAGTAGCCAGAAGAGGGCGCACATGCCCTCAAAAAGAGAGGGAGAGGCTGCCTTTCCTGGACCGCAGCAGGTAACAGCCTTTCAGTAGACCTGCTCTCCGCATACTCTCCTCCGTGCCCCATATAGGTGCAAACACCAGCCAACATCCCGGAGGCCCTCTCCTCATAGCCAAATCTTTTTTTTTTTTTTTTTTAAATAACACTCAGCAAGCATCACAGGCACACATAACCTCAACAAAAGCGCCATGCCAATAAAATAAGGCAGGCAAGTCCACTACGTTCAGAAAAAGAATTTTGTGTGAGGCAATCCTGGTTTGTGGCTGTGCATGCCCATAACTGTTTTACTGTCTATAAAGTAGAATTTCATGGCTTAAGAAGATAGATAATTTTTTTAAAAAAAGCTCTGAGGTCAATTTTATAGGAAGCACGAGAAAAAAAATCAGTTTCCTAATTCAAGTGGAAAAAGTTATCAGAGAAAAGAAACTTCTAATTTTCTAGAACAAACAAAGCCTTTGCTCACATAGGCTTATCTTATCTGCGTACTTTTACAAATACTACAGAACATTTCAGAAGTACACAAAATAGAGATATTGTCTAATGAAACTCTATGTGTCATCAGTAGGCTTCAATAATGATCCATGTTTTGCCATTCTTATTTCATCTATTTTATTTACTCTCTCAAAAGGACTCCATTTTGTGGGGGGAGGAAGTGTGGGATCATTTTTACTTGCTAATTCTTCATGCTTGAATCATAGTTTTTGGTGGTTTTTTTTTTTTTTTAAACAACACATTTGGGTTTAATATTTTAGAATGCATTCTATAAATCTTTAAACTTGCAAAAACATAAGAAGGCAGACGGCTTGAGGAAATGGCCTCTGGTATGACACTCTGTGGATTTCCATGTTCTTTGGAAAATTCCATGACAAAGATGAAGTCACAGGAATGAAATCAGGGAAGGAACACACTGGAGACAATCTGTGGGCTTGATTTCACATCATCTCTTATAGAGCTCAAGGGCTCTTGTGGCTGATGTACTGTTGAGGTTAACAAAATGCACTGGTCTTGAGGAAGAAAAATAACAATTCTTCATAACAAGGAATGAAAGATATAACCTTGTGTTTGTTGCCTGTTATTTTAAAATTCGGCTTCAACGTTGAAAAGGCAGGCAGGAAATAGAAAAGTCAGGGCTCTGAGGAGGATGTTCATACGCCTACCGTGCTTTTAGCACTTACTGGCTCAATTTCCCCCTTCCTGTTAGTGTAAAAATTCCATTCAAGGAACTGGGACTCAGGCAAGTTCTAGCAGTTGGGCCCTGCACCAGCCAGAAACTTTAAGCTGGGAAGAATCTTTTAAGAACGGATTTGATACCTGATGGTTTCATTTCTTTGCATGTAAATACTGCATCAGTTTCAGGGGTATCTTGGAGAGGTGCAGGGAGAGCAGCGGGGTTTTGAGTGTGGCCAGGCTTCCTTAGCAAAGCCTGTGGGACCTCCAAGGGCGTGTCTTGGGGGGAACGGAGGGAGGAGCGTGTCCTTGCTGGGATCTGTTCTCTTTAAGTGGGGAACCAGCCCTGGGCTTCAGGGGGCTGTGGTAGGGCAGGGAGGGCCTGGAAAGTCCTCCAGGACAAGCCCTGAGGAGCTGAGGACAAGCCCTGAGGAGCCCAGGGAGGCAGGATGCCTGCACCAGGGGTCTTGCTGCCTTGCCAACTCAGCACCATTGTGCATTCATTTCAGCTCAGCACTCACCAGCCTGGAGCTCTGCGCCCAGTACACTGAGCCCACGCATGGAGTGTCAGTGGGTTTCAGGAGCTGTGTGTCCCACAGAAGGTCTGTGTGGATGGTGAGGTGGGGAAGGGCACAGATAGTTCTCCTGTTTCCTCAGGGATCACTTCCACTTCCTTCTATCTCTCCTAAGAAGGTTGCAAATGCTTAGAATGCTCACGGCCAACTTAAGGTTAGCTAGAATTATGTTTGCAATTAAAGGTTGTGTCAAAAGAATGCATGCTGGCAGAAAAATAGTCCTGGACTGATATAAGTGAAACATGGTAAACATAACTTCTTGTGAAAGAGATCCAATATATCCAAGTTTTTCCTCCAAGAAGAATCTCTCAAATGGACTCAAAGCAGTGACATCTGGAGGGTCATAGTTAAAAGCTGTTCCTGTTGGAGCATGTAGCTGGCATGCCACAAATGGTGTGGTTTGGAGGTATCAGGATGCTGACCTCCAGATAGCCCTCTGATGTCCTCTTGGGGTGCGGGTGCAAAGATCATCATTTCCCATGTCTCCTTCAAGTCATGCTTTGGATGACAGGAAACAGAGGAGGCTGAGGTGGGAGCCATGACGGCAAAGTTACACAGGGTGCTGAGCATTCACCCCGCCCCCTCCCCGCCCCAAGATGAAGCCAGCCCCAGTGCCGGGCATCCATCACCACACCCATGAATGAAAATGCAGGCAATGCAAGCCAACATGTGTGCTCTGCAGGCCAAGGAATGAGTGAAGAGGATGCTATGAGAACTTCAAGTTTGGCCTGGAGTTGGGATAGAGGAGGTGGGGTTCACGCTAGTGCACTGTTCTCTATGTTTGGTAAGTAGAGGGACCTGGAGAAGCCTGCCCTGAGAGGGTGGACAGAGACAGGGCTGGGGGTGGAGAGGTGGAGGGGGCAGAGAGGGAAGGACCCTGCTCAGGAAGGGGCATCATCACCTGGACGTTGGAGTCCTGCACCAGGCAGAGCTGCTCCTGGATCTTGTGGAGCTCCTCCTGCTGCCACCGGATGTTGGCCTGCAGGACCCGTGTCCGCTGCTCCAGCTGGTCTTTGATGGTCTGGAACATGGTGAACTGTGCTGAAAACTTCAAGGTGGAGTCAAAAAACATAACAAGATGAAAAAGTTATTTCAACCTCACAGACAGATGTTGCTGCTGTTCTTCGCGACCCTGTCCACTTTCATTTTCCATCCCATAGCCACCCTTTTTACACTCCTAATGAGTGCCTCACTGCTGGGAAGCAGGGCATTGAGAGGGACCTGGAGGAGGGCTGGCCATCCGTGACTCTCCGTGTAAGTTTCCCTGAGACCCATTGGAATGTTCAGGTCTACCTGATTGCGCTGTGACCTTGAGGGGTACAGAATCAGAACAGGAAACTGTAAGCAATGCTTCTAGGCTGATATTCCAAATTTGGTCAGCCAGACAAATAGTTTTGGAGATCAGTGTCAGAAGGAGGGTATCAGCGAGTACTCCCCCCTTTTTCCCTTTTTTCTTATTGAGGGCATGACAATTGCATGTGACAGCTTCGTAGGCAATTTTGGGTCCTATCATCCTAAATCTGATCCTGGTGAGTGGGGCTCTTCTGTAAGAACTCCTGAACGAGCTTGAATTTGGGGTTGCATTTCACTGGAACTGTAGCCATGGAGGCCTTCTCAGCCTCCCTCATTTTTTTAGTCACTCTTTGCTGCTATGCACTTCTTAGAATCTATGCAAAAAGGAATGAAGGAGAACAGCACAATTACCTAACATTTACCCAAGGGTAACACTGGCAGAGGGTGACTTTGTTGGGGAGACATGAATATGTGCTTTGCACAGCAGTGCTGTCTCCCCTTCCTTGTACCTCTTTATTCCTCCCTAGGAGGGAGGGCTGACTTTGGGAATATCTTGCAGGTGATCTCAGCCCCAGGTCACCACCTGATTGTCTCAACACAAGGTTTCTCCTTGTAGGAAACACATGGCTAGTGGAAACACATGGTGGGGGTGCTGATCCCTCCACTCTGGATTTGTTGGGGTGCTCCCATTTCTTTAGGAAAATGAGTTTGATGCACCTGGACAAATTCTGTTCTCTTTTTTCTTTCTCTTTTTCTTCTTCTCTCTCTTTTTATTTATTTGCTTATTTTTTTTAAAGATTTATTTATTTATTTATACAAGAACCAGGGTACAGGCCAGATGCACGGGAGGGTGAGAGGATCCACCAGAGACACAGCGGGGAACAGAACAGGCAGACTGATGAAATGCACTGCTGAGGGGAGCAGCGGGAGTGACGAGAGGTCTGCTGTGCCATATGGGACCCTCCCTGGCTGGCTGGGATTGAACTGGTGCTGCAGAGGCTGTAGACAGCTTCACAGCATGGCGCTCAAACATCTGCACCACCAGGGAAGACCCTTCTCTTCTTATTTGTTTATTTATTTATTTATTTATTTTTGTGGGACCCTCGCCGGCATCCAGGGAACGAACCAGCGCTGCAGAGGCTGCAGGCAGCTTCGCAGCCCAGCGTTCAACCGCTGCACCACCAGGGGAGGCCCCCCTTCTCTCTTTTTAAATAATGATTTAAACTCCATGCTTTCAGTATCTATCTTAACAATCTCCCTAGTCTGTTTCTTATCCACTGTCTTCTGCGAACACCTCCAGGGACTATCTCTTTTCCTCTGACTTCTCTGCCCTTTGACCCTAACATGTGGAAAGGCAAGGAGACTGGAGAGTTTAGTACACAGATAGGCTATACCTGAGGATGAAATAACTGCAGCTTTTGCAGCAAATATAAAGAACCAGTAAGAATAACAATGGCAGGTGCTGCCCGTTTCTGAGACGTACACTTGCCAGTCTTGCCCAGATGGACAGTGGTAGGATGCTCGGACTCCTCACATATGCCCTTGTCCCCCAGATAGGTTGTGACTCCTCAGAGGTCACACAGCAGATGGTGGTAGCAGCAAAATATGAACCAGGTAGCAGCAAAATATGAGTCAGGAGCTGGGTGAAGCCAAGCCGTTTCCAGTAACACCTCCAGCCCCAGTCCTACCTCAACCAGAGTGCTTTTGACATCAGACTTCTTTTAAAAGTAAGGATCTGTGCTAAATGCAAGTTTAAAAATATATGTCTGAACCGCAGAAATCTCAATTAGACTATAACTAATCAAAGCACTCAGCTGGGATTCTCAAAGAGAATTCATTCGGTTGAGAAAGAAAACAAGCTCTATCAGGTATTTAACTAAAAAAGAAAAAAAAAGAAGAAGCAAAGAAACAAAACCCTCTGTGGTGGGTTCTCCCAGTCAGCAAAAAGTCAGTGCTTTGCCTCCTAGTGCCCATGACAGCAGGGCTCTGGGTACCAGCAAGCTCCCTGGGGAACAGCAAGGGAGAAGGAAAGTTGGGAGGCCCGGATGGGGAGTTTCCTAAAGGCTAGTTACTTCTAAATGAATCTCACTTCCTCTAGGCATGCCAGGACCCCTGGCATTAGTCTCTTGTTATATTCTTGACTGTGGCCTAACTAGGGACATTCTAGTAACACAGTATGAAATGAAACCATCAGTTATGCAGATAATCAATTCCCAGAATTTGGAGTTTATTTTTCCCCTTGTCCTGCTAGGGCACTGTAGTGTGAACATTAGTGAGGGTTAAGAGAAAACTGGAGAAGTCAGTGCTTCACCTGGGGTAGATATGAGAAGAGCAGTCTGACTTAAAAGGTCAGCATTATGAGAGAATGTCTTAGCGGATATAGAGATTAAGAAACACAGTATGCCCACTAGACTAAGAACTGTACTATTAATGAAAATGAGGTTCAATAAGTGAAAAATTAGAATTCCCAAAGGACCTTTATGGCCCCATTATGTATTATAAAATATACAAATTCCTTGCTATGCAAGAAGTTTAAGACCCAGAAGTTTAAAGGAATTCTCTTTTCATGTGCCATTGGACTGAAAGAGTTACTAATTTCTTTTTTTTTTCTTTTTTTCTAAAGATTTATTTATTTATTTATTTATTTATACAAGCACTGAGTACAGTCAGAAGCGCGGGAGGGTGAGAGAATTCATGAGAGCCAGAGCGGGGAGCAGAACAGGCAGACTGACGAAATACACTGCTGAGGGGAGCAGCGGGCAACAGGAGAGGTCTGCGCGCCATATGGGACTCTCGCTGGTGGCCGGGGATCGAACCGGCGCTGCAGAGGCTGCAGGCAGCTTCGCAGCCCAGCGCTCAACCGCTGGGCCACTGGGGAGGCCCGAAAGAGTTAACTAATTTCATACCAATGTGCCTTGAAGATTCAATGAGGAAAATGTTATTGTGGTTTTCTTCCCTACCTCTTGAGAATGCATATAGGCTATTTTTATTAGTTGACTCTCTATGGGTAGCTTTGACCTCCACACTCAAGCCTAATGCTTGCAAGAAGCATATGCTTGCACGTGTCTTTCTTTCCGGGAAGCCATTAGAGACCATTGCTAATAGGCACATGTTGGGAAAGAGTTTTCCACAGTGTGACAGGTGTGCACCAAGACTTAAACACTTTGGCAAAATGTGTGGCCAGTGGCACATGTTGATGAACCATCACCTGAGATGCCCTGTGACCAGTAACTGGGGTAGAGCTAAGTACCCCATAGAGGAACTGGTCAGCACTCTGGGCTCATGAAAGTACATGCCAGTTGTGACCACAGACTGAATGGCTGTTATTTCATTCTACCTCAAACACCAGGTCTCAAGCATGTTATACATTTCCCAAACTCCCCTCTTCCCTGCTGACTCTCTACCTCTCCATCTGGCAACCTCCTACCCAACCTTCCAGGCCCAGCTCTGGTGTCACTTCCTCTTGGAAGCCATGTGTTCTATAAAACACACACGCTGCCATAGGTAGTGTTTCTGTTTATCTTCCCGTCTCTCCCTTGAACTCCAGCACTAAAAGCAAGGGCTATGTTACAAGCATCTTTGCAGCCCTCACGCTCATTCACTCACTCGCTGACCCAAATAGTAACTCGCTGAATGTTGTTGAAACAAGTAAGGAATTACTCAGCAAAGCTGTGATCCTTTTTTATTTTTTTAAAAAACAAATGTGATATTTATAGTACTAGACTCACAGATTTTAGATCCTAGCGGAGTCTTCCTATGATATTTGACCTAATTTAGACCTTTTCTAAAATATCATGGCCAATTTGGAGTCTAAAAATATGAGAGCAACATGGAAAAGTGGCAAAGAGATGAACAAAGGCAGTTAAGAGGACTGAGAAGCAGACCCTGAAGAATGGAGGAGGGGACAGATGTGGGAGGACATTCATGGCTCCACTGGGCCACTTGCACTTGCGGGAATGTTGGGAGAATGTGTCCCGTTTCTAACATGGTTTGGTATTTACGTGCATGGTACGTGTTAGCACCAGTGCCCCCCACACTCAAGAAACTGCCATGCATTCTGTGCAGGGCACAGAACTGTCCCTTTCCCTGAGCCCCAGATTCACCTGTGCCATGGGGGTAGGTGGGCTCTGCAAGATGGTCTGAGGCAGAAGCTGCTGAGTGAGGTCACAGGACGGTGGGGCAGGCAGAGGGGCCTGTGGAAGAGAGGGCTTTGTTAACAAACACTGCTTCTGCATCATGACTGAGGTACAGGGGTGTTGTCTCTTGGTCGACTGACAAAGGGGGCCTTTTTTGATCCAGACAGAGCTCATACATGGATATGGTCCCTGGGAAAAGGTCAGGCAGCAAGCCGTGTTGCTGCTCTTGAGGGGAATGGAGTCAGAGCCAACGTGCGGCTGGTAAGGAGTGCAGAGTGCTGCTGAGCCAGCCCTGCAGTCCCTGGGGTTCCCTGCCCCCGTGGGCTCTGCAACGTCACTGTTATCTGCAGGGACCAGGCAGCCCTCATGACCTCCCCTTGGTGCCTCCTGTTCTAGACTGTTCTTTGTGGATTTGGTAGCTCTTCTCCGCAAAATTCTTGCAATGTCACTGAGCAGTATGAAGGCGGCTGTGCTAATAACTGGCATGGAGTATGGGCCTTCCCTTTCTGGTTGGACAGACACACAGATGGACAGACAAACCACGCACATCTATCTCCAAGAACTCAACCAGGCAGGGAACTTGGTGCAATTTCATGGACTCTGGTTGTAGTCTGCAGGACTCCTGGGAAGCCAGCTGAGTTAGAAACCTTGTTTTCTCATCGAGTGGGCAGAGAGATGGTAGGATAGGGGTGCTATGTAGAAAAAAGAAATAATCCTCTCTGCTTCATAGGCTACTTTGAGTTTTTAAAAGAAAAGTAAAAGGATTCTTCTGTAGTTATTCCCAAACTGCCCCCAGTCTCCAGGGACTATGAAAAGCAGCCAAAATGGAAAGTGTCACCCAGAATGACATTGGAGGAAATGACAGCAAGAGACCTTGTTTTGAATGTGAAATTCCAGGCACAAGGCTGACCCAACGACTGGTTTTGGTTCTCCTGATCTGTTCCCCAGCACTACTGGGAGAACACAGAGGAGCCACCATTGGTGGCAGAAAGAGTTAGACTGGACAGCTGGGTCTGGAAGGAAGGGCAGTCACGGCTTACAAGCATGTCTCAAGGTGACTGGGGAGAGAGTGGTCCTTGTCATGTCCTATTTGGAAAAGGAACATGTCACCTATGCCTTTCAAGCAGACTGTGTACAATTTCCATGGTGATGGCAAGCAGGGAGGAGGCACATTTAGTCCCATCTTCAAAGGGTCAGAAGTTGTTTGAGGGATTTGGCAGCCATCTGGACATAACCTCTACAACTCTTGGACACTTCTCCCATGTAGAGATGAGGGTCTGTGTCCTGAGCTTTGTACTGCTTTGACCAAGACCGATGGTGGAGATGGCAGGATGTGGTTTTTAAGAGTAGGTCACAGAAGGCCATGCAGCCTCTGCCTGGCTTTCCAGGAAAAAACTCCCTCTCGAGATGTTTCCTCTGGGAATCTAGTTGACACAATAGGAGGAGCTGGGGACATGGAAAGGCTCAGGCAAGCCAATGGTGGATGGTCTTAGCTGTGCTCACCTTCAGCCAGGCCAGCCAAGGTGCCAGACAGCTGAGGGTAGACACACCTGGGATGTGGATTTCCAGCCCTGGCTACTGAGGGCTACTGAGGCCTCTGACACTATGAAGCAGAGAGAAGCTGTCTCTACTAGACTGCTTTCTGAACTCTTAACCCAGAATCCATGTATGTGAAAAATGACTGTTGCTTTATGTCTCTTAGTTGGTTGTTTGTTACATGGCACTAGGTAACTGGAGAACTGTACATCAGTGATTTTGCAGACAGCTTGTGTGCTTTCTAGAGGTCACTCACTGTCTGATGTTCTGCAAAGGTCAAGCTTCCTAAACATTTCACTGCAGTCAAATGGGATTTAACACAGAAGGATCCTAGGCATGTGCCCCCCAGAAGTATTGGACGTTTGACTCCAAGCTTGAGGTTTTGAGTTTTCTCTTTAAAACTCATTCATATTTTGTATTTGATGGACATACATCCATGTCAACTTTGATAATAAAATGTTTAAAACTAGATGCAAATTAAATTACCTGCCTACCACCCTATAGCTCCCACCCCTACCTGCCACTCCACACTATGAAGCTCCAAGTAGAATTGGGTCTCTGGGGAGATACAGCATCTGTCCTGGGGCCTTGCAGGCCACCACACTGTAGCATACCCCAGCTGGGAAGTTTGGGGTGACACACACACCTGCATTGTAGTTGTCTGGCTGAGCCCCGGCACAGGGAGCTCTTGGGGCAGGGCAGCTGATCTTGGCAAGGCAGTGGTGCCGCCCTCAGCCATCAGCTTGCTTGGAGTAGCTGTAAGAAAGCAACAAATTACCTTCTTTACTCAACCATACTTAACAACTTCCTTATCAAAAGATCAGTGACTACTGTGTGTATATAACTAGGGCTTGAGTGGAATCTCTGATAAAGGAGGCCCAGCATGAATGGAAGTGGTCTCAGGAGGAACAAAAGTTCTGTCAGCCTCCAATCTGGCCTGGGAGGAGGTAGAGAACAGAGCAAACCAGTCCCAAATTCCTTTCCACCACTTGGTTCAACCACTGGTGTGATCGCATATCTTCCCAGAGTTACTAAAACCTGGCTCAGATCTCTGTCTATGTATCACCCGCTTTACATCTGCTCTCTGCAGCGTGGACAGGCCACAGTGTGGAGGGATGGGGGCAGGAAGCTGACGGGCCAGGAAGCAGGAATGTGAAGTACTGGCAACACTGCTGCTTGGCCTGGACTGCCTGGACTCTCCTCTGGCCTGGGCCCCTTCAAAGAACTCTACTCCCACTCCGTCCCCCATCCCATGGGGTGATCAACCTCATCTCCCATCTGTGGAGTCGAACTTACAGGCAGGCTCTGAGAGGGTGGTGTGCGAGGATTTGTGGGAACTTCTTGAGGATGCAGATGGTGAGTGACTGGTGTTAAGGCCCGAGGTACCCATATCAAGTGCATTAAAGTGCTGCTGGGGTTCCAGGGTTGAGCCTTTGTCCTGAAATACACACATACACACACACATGCACACACATACACACACAGAGTCCACATTTCAGAATTGGGATGATGGGAATGAATTACATCATCTAGTTCTCCCTAAATATATAGAAAAAAAAATTGAAGTCTGTTGAGAGAAATCCCATAGCTGTTTGGGGATAATTCCCAACATATTTGGGTGGAATATTTATACATATGTCATGGAGATGTTTTCAAAAAGGCTTATAGCCTATAAGTAGTATTTATCACATTTTTTCACTTTGTGTTTTGAGTTTTTAGATATTTATAACTAACTTTGCATTTTTTCCCTCCAAATTGTCACCTCACTGCCCAGAATCTTGACTTTCCCAGAAGGAGTAGGAAAGAGGTAGGTTCTAGAACTAATGTTTGCTGGTGGTACTGAATTGATCACACTCCATTGTGATCAATGCCATATGGGCCCTTCCAGGTAGTTCCCACATTGTCTCCCCACCAAGCTTTTCTGTAGCCTCAAGGTCCCTGGAGTGCAGAATAGGCAAAAAGACAATGGCCTCCTCTCTTCTCACCCTGGGATCCTAACTGATTCCACTCCTAGAATATCTCTGCCTCAAGTGCAGTGTGAGGAGAAAGCAACTGTGCCCTTCCAGCTATGCGGAGCCAGCTTCCCACTCCACATGGCCAGCTTCAGGAGCTTAGGTGTTAAGAAAACACCTGATACTTTTTAAGTCAAAGAAGAAACACAATGATAACTTGCCAGAAGCATGCTCCCACCCAGACCCAGAAGAATGGTGAATTCCCTGGCATCCAGCAGGCCACTTAAACAGACTGGCCACATCCGCTGATCTCAAGTATTATATCCCGAGGTGTGAGTCTGTGTGACTTTTCTGTCTTTTCGGTCATGGCTTCCTTGAGGGTGGAGTGGGCCCAAGTAGGGCAGGGATGATTAATGTGTCATCTACAGGCCTCTGTGCAAAACGAAATGATGGGATGTGTCTGGAGTTGCTGCTTAATGTCCATTCTGAGACTGCAGCTTGGTCACAGAGCCTCCGCTAGATCGGACCCGAGAAAGGGCCTCTGGCCCCTGGCCGTTTGTGAAGTCAGCAGAGAAATAAACCCTGAAAGTGACAGTAGGCACTGAGAGGCTTTCATTGTCATTTGACAAGGTCGCACATCACATCCAATCATGGGAATTTGCATTTTACAAAAGCATCGTGCAGTGACAGATTTGAAATGAAAAAAATAAACAAACAAACAACAAAACAAAAACCAAAACCCACTGGTCCATTACCACCACTCATTTGAAAACACCATGTGGTGCTTTTACTTTAAAAGGGGTGTCTTAACCTGGCAGTCTGAGGTGTATTTACGTGTTTATATATACGTGCATGTGTATGAGAAGTTTTACCAGCCTCTAGGATTCCCAAAGGATTAGAAACTGCTCTCATGAATTTCTGACCATGATGGATGGCGTGTCTAACACCTGCCTATTAACAGCTTAATTCCATTCTCAGACATGATACATGATGTATTGTGTGACAGAGCGGGGTAATAAACACCTCCATAAACACTGACAGGCATGTCGTTCAGGATGCTGCTGATGAATCGCCAAACATCGAACTACCATGTAGCATAACCTGCCCCCACAGTGGACTCAGCAGAGACACTGTCAGCTCTCTGCTCTTTAAAACTGGTCTCTCTTTCCTCCCAACTCAGTCTTCCTGGAACAGAGCTGCTTTTGTTGGACCACTGCTGCTGTAACAGTCTCTGGCCAAAGACTCTGGATTCTAGGTCACTGGGCAGCCTGGAACTTGAACCATATTTCATCAATTCTAAGAGGCACTTTCCCTCCCACATTTTGGCATAGCTAAATCTGGGTGTGTCCTTCAGTTAATGAAAAGAGATCCTTATTTCACTGATTGATTGGCAGCATTCTTTCTATCTTAGTGGGAAATAAAATAACGGTGGGTCTTATATTGATAGCTTCTTGGTTTTGATGATTGACAACACTCACTCTTTTTCTTACTTTTTCTCCCAATATTTGTATCTATTTGAAGAATGACCTTTGAGGAACTGGACTCTGTCTACTTGTGGATGGTCTTCCAGTTTCCCTTGAGTTTTCTGATACATGGAGAACATGAATCAGAGGCTGGAGGGGGCCAGACAGGCTGGACTTTGTGATGGGAAAGCCTAGTAGAGCTCCCCACCATGAAACTGGTTCCATCATGGCTGCTAAGACCCTCAGACACATCGAGAAAGTATACCTTGTCACTGGCAACATGGAGGGTATTTCTGGGGCAGTGTACTCTTGGGATCCCCGAGTCCTGGAGGCTATGAAGGAGGAAAGGGAGCCAAATCACCCCATGCCTCCATTGAGAATGGAAAGCCTTCAAACCATGCTTTGAGTCCAGAGGTTGTTTCTTACCCAGCTCTAAAGTGCTAAACCTCAGTGTACTTGGGTGTTTACTCCATGTTCTCTGGCCTCACTGAAAGAATGAGGACAATGATAGGAACATCCTGAGAGATAAATCAGTGAACATGTATCTGAGCTCAATAAGGGTGATCTGCTGTTTTTGTTATTATTACTTTCATTATTATCACAACTTATTATTACAACTCATGGAAGGTCTGTTTCACCAACCTTTGCCTTTATTCATCTGGCAGGGACAGGCCTACCTTTAGTACTGAAGGGTGGATGGCCTCAGATGGTGGGTCTTCCAAAGCCAGCTCCTGCCTCCTTTCCACCTGGACATCTGCGTAACTGAGGGGGAAATCAAGAGACCACAGTTGGAGGTGGGAGATGCCAGGATGACAACATGAAAGATGATTGTCTGTGTTACACCCACTCCCAGGATCATCATCCCAAAAGAGATCAGTCTGGCTACTCGTTCAAGGAAAGGGTCTGATGGTATCTAAATTCCACTGATGTGATTTCCAGTGTTACATTCAGAATATACTCCCTTCTAGGATTTTTTATTCCCTTTTTCTTTACTTTTCTTTCATCCTCCCGATCTCCAAACCTAACTGTCTTTAAAAACATATTTTCATTTACAGGAAAAGGATTAAGTCTTCAAATATTAGAAGACTTTTCTAAAATCTATTCAGGTGCTATGGAGAAGTGACACAAAACTTTTTCAGTAGCTACAACCTTCAGAAAATTTTGTCTCTAACAAAACTAAAACTAGGTAGACCCAGACCAATGACTAGTCTGTGGATCCACTTTTTAAATGATGTGGATAAGTCAGTGCAATGTGGTGATGGCCAAAGTGACCCAGCCATGACCTCTGCGTCATGTGTGGAGATGTAGGCTGGGAAGGGTGACTGAATCCTGGGCCCAGTATGCTTGTTAGCCTATCTGCTAACTCTGTTCACTCCCTACTTTCTCTGAGAATTTCTTTCTAAGATTTGGGATGCGGGGGATAAAGAAGAAATGCAGGTAATGGGTAGAGTCTAGAGAACAAGATATTGATGATGTCCAGTCTTCCCAAGGGGCATAGAGACCCTCTGGCAAAGGCTCAGGCTATGTGGCAGTGGATGGGACTGGCCATGGAATCAGAAACCACTGGTGGCTAAGTGCCTAAGGGTGGGCTGTGAAGCCAAGATCAAGTCCCTGAGCATGGGCACACAGTGTGATGATGAGGGCCCTGCCTGAGGAAAACTTGCATATCTCATTTTTCCTCTCTCCCCTCTTATCAAAGAAGAGTGACTTGAAGCTTGTGTGTGTGTGTGTACTATACATATACTACACATATGTACATATATATTGCAGACACTGTGCATTTATATGTATGTCTACATGTATCCATCATCTATCTGTAATATACATATCAAATTCAGCATGTATGTGTAGTACTGAAACTAAAACAAAATGGATGCAATGATTACAGACCCTAAGAACACAAAAGAGAAATGAAACATGCCTAAACTTTTCTCACAGGCTTGTTTTTACAGACACAGCAGGGCTTGTAGACTTACTGACAACCTTAAGCTGAGCTCTAAGGCTGGCTGGAGTTGGGAGACACAATGCAGAAAAGCGGGGGCTACCCAAAGGGAAGAGGCCCACCAACAGAGATTCTACACCCCGGTTATCTGAAGAAATGTCTCCATGTATTTCTTGATGTATGAGCTACCCTGTCACTGGCCAATAAACTTTAGACAAATCCACATTTCTTTGCCCTTTGCCCACTCCTTAGCCAGTAACACTTAACACTTTTGTTCTCAACTCTGATCTCCCCAAACTAATATAGCCTCATTCTCTTTTTCATTGGGAAGACAAATCTGAATTTACCTCCTACCTCCTTCCCAACTGATTTGCAGTAAAGTTTGCTTTCTTTTTTTAAAACCTGATTCATGGTATCAGTTTCTGTGTACTATGGGTAGTGAGCTCATTGCTCAGTAATAATATCTATATGTATGTCAATCTGTCATCTATTTGAGATATATGTATATAAAATGCAGCATGCATACATAGTATCTATATGTAAAACACAGCATGCATGTATCTATTGTCTTAAAATATATATTTTACATGTATGCATGTGTGTATATATATACACACACACACGTGTGTGTGTCTACAATGCAGTCCTAGTCTTTTTTCTTTGCTTTCTTCAAGTACCTTTCTCTAGATCACTTTAAAACTTTTTGTATTCTTAACATTTCTGTAGTCGGGGGTGGGGGTGGGGGGGTAAGACTGACATTGCTCCTTCACCTTCGGGAACTGTGACCTTGCATAAGCGGCATCTCTGAAATGCTGGCTGTGCTGCCTCGCCTGCTCAGCCTGGGCTGAGGGCCCTCCAAGGCCACCGGGACCACCAGGAATCTCTCCCACTGGCAGCCTGGCTCTTTCCCTCCCCCACCTCCCCTCATACTGCCTTCGCTGCCAGCAGGGGTTTTTAAGGCATTAAAAATAAAGGGGAATATGTGTTTGAGATATTTAGAGGCAAAATTTTAATTTTCTCTTCAAAACACGACAAGAGAAGGCTGGGAGGTGGATGGAGATGAGGGAAAAATATGTAAGTAGGTCAGTGAAGCAGCAACTTACTAAGTAATATCCTGGCAGCCAGAAAGAGTTCATGGGGCTTTTAAAGGGGCCTGATTGAACACCCGAAGGAAGTCTCAGCCCTTGGAGAACAGAGCTGGGTGTGTACCTGGAAGGGAGCTGAGTGCTGGGGATTGTTCTGTTAAGTGCAGAAGACAGTTCAGGGCCAGCTGGAGAATCAGCTCCTCAGAAACTGGGACTAGCTGAGGTGACTGGGTCTGGCTCAGCTGTCAGGGGCCTCACCCACCTTCCCAGCCCCCAACCCTGTGGCACCTGACGACGGAGTGTGTGCACACGATGAACTCAGGCTTGGAGTTCCACTGGTGGTAGGTGATGTAGTAGTGGGTCTGCAGCCAAATCCACTGCTGGCCTTTGGTCAGAAATCGGTAGCAACACGACTTCCCTTTGCCAAACTGCATTACTGTGAGTAGAAAATGAAGTCTGCATATAATGAACCTTACTACAAAAATGATCTTTTTCTCAAAAGTTACTATTAAAAATACAAGCATTCCAAAAGACAATGCCAAATATTGCTTATTTCCTCAATCAGGCTGTATTTTAACTGACTATCAAGGTAACAGTAAAGGATAATGAATTCTTAGTGGAATGACAATCCACATGCTTTCTCCACATCTCAAAAGCTAAGGGAGCCTCAAATAAGGGCAGATGCACACAGATTCTCAAACTGGAGTTTAATTAAAATGAGACCAGGGTTTTGCTGGTGTTCATCCTCCTGCTGCAGGAAGAGCTGCCTTTGGAGCTGCAGGAGCCGAGCACAGGAGAGAGAATTTAGATACCGGGAGAAGTGAGCTGAAAATAGACCTGACAGCCGCAACCTCTGGATGGATTCTGTAGCTGTCAGTCAGTAGTTCATCCTTAAGTGTACAGAGTTCTAAAATAGTCTGCCACGGGCACTTTCCCTCCTGGGCTGACACTTCCTGGAGCACTTACAGTTGAGTCTGTAGTGCATTTCTCTGGGAGTGTCCAGAACAGACGGATGCTGTTGGCTTATTAACTTGGAAGGGCAGGAAGTTGGACCGTAGGTTCAAGGAAGAAGAACAATTTGGGCTTTATTGCCTCAGCACCTGGAAGTTAGCACTTCTTTATGCAAAAAGTTAGGAGAAACCATAACTAGTTGATGAAAACTAGCGAAGGTGTGGGTGAGTTGGAGGATGTGAGATCTGAACAGGAGGGAAGCTTAGTCAAGCAAGGGTGTAGACTTGACAGAGTGAGAGTGTCCTGCCTGAACCACAGGGCAGGTGCTTCAGATGATGAAGGAAATTCTACACCAGGATGGCCTTTCTCTGTTAGAAGAATCAGAAGGGCAGATGTCACCTGCTTCTCAAATTTTCATGTGCCAAAGAATCTCTTGAGGATCTTGTCAAGGAGGATGTTGTGATTCAGTGGGCCTGATGGGGGAGCCTGAGAGTCTACATGTCCAGCAAAATGGGGGTTGAGGGGACATTACTGGGGGCCCAGGGTCCTGAGGGTGGTGGGGGGCCTTCCCAAAAGACCAGATGTCCTTGGGATTCAGCATCTGGCTCCCCTGAGATTGTCTGAACCAAACACAGAACATACTTCTCATAATCCCCAAACTGCTGCTCAAGGGCCACACTTTGAGGAGCAAGGAGTTAAAGTATTAAAGAACAGCCTTAAATTCTCACAGTGAATCCTAGTGAAACTCAGGCCTGTTCTTCCATCAACAGGAACAGCAGAGAAGAGACAATTATAATGGATACTACACACAGGCATTTATCCAAATATAAAGAGTCAGTGGTCAGGTCATGTATCAGGGTCCATAGTTCAATATTACTACACATGTTCCTGTTCAAAGCTAGGACTTGACACGAAAAAAGGCTTTAGATCATTAGCGCTTCACTCCTCTTGCCAAATAAGAACCCAGTTATGCTTAGCCCCTCCCCCATGAGTTATCCCTCTCATACCTTTGCCAGCGTTTTGCTTCTCCTGTGGCAGAGAACCTTCCCTGACCCTGCTCCCTCAGCTGTGCACAGCCCTTCAATGCACTGAAATCTCCCCTCCTATTTCTGGCTTTTCCACCAGACTTTGCCCCTGCAGGGCAACTAGGAGGTTCCAATTATCTTTCTGTCCTGGTCCTCCCTTAGTATCTGGCCTGTGGTTTGTGACTGATATATGTCTGCTATATACAGCATAATTATGTGAATTCATTTTTTGGTCTGTGAAATGTACTGCATAACTTGAAAATAGTGACCAGCATTGCCTTCATTTATTAAGATGAACTAACTGGCATATCTGAGGAATCGGAAGAGGTGCTGGTACCGGGGCAGAAGGAGCAAAGCCAATTTCAGGTGCAAACAGCACCAAGGTAGTTCAGACAAGAACTCCCTGATGATCTCAAAGAAAGCAAAGTACTCCACCTCAAAAAGACACCAAGAATGTGACATCAGGGCCCGAGTCCCGCTGGAGGGACTCTCTGTGGAGAGAGCTGGGGTGTCCTCAGCATCAGGACTGGGGTGTGGTACTCACAGTGCTGGTGGCACCGGGCCAGGAGCTCCAGATCATCGATGTGGTAGTAGTCATAGCCTGAGGTCCCCAAAACTTCAAAAGGCAGGTAGCCTATGATTGGAGGGGCTCTGCCAAGGATAACGGGGAAACTCATCAGATAGAAAACATACTGCCCCACTCACCTGGAATGACCATGCCCATGCAGAAGGTGGGGGGCACAGTTTTCACATTTAGTGATCAGTGTGGGGCCTCATTTCTCAAGAACAGGGCAGGTTGTGTACCCTTTTTATTTTTTGCATTCAGATACTCAATTCCCTTGACATAACCTGGCCTAAATAATAATCAACTTCAGCACTACTGATTAATCAAAACAGCTATAGATTGGGTCAGCCAGTGCTAAAGTGTAATAAAAAATTAAAGGGTGAGGAGGGGAGATTTCTAGTTCTTAAATTGTGAAAACTGTTATTAAAAAAAGATTGGGCCAAAGGGATAAAAAAGATGTTGAAAGAAAGAAGACATTTATCTCCTATCAGCTGCTGCCTTACTGGGGGTTGAGGGGACCTTACTGGGAGTACAGGGTCCTGAGAAGGGGTGGGAGTGTCCCTGAAAGACCAGATGTTCTTGGGGTTCAGCATCTGGCTCCCCTGAGATGGTCTGAACCAAACACAGAACATACTCACAGAAAGGGTAATGCACGAGACCACTGCACCCTTCTGGGACCCATTCTCCTACAGCCAGAGAGCCCTTCTCCATGAAGGGACCAGGCCTGACTTCTGTCCCGGGGAAGAGCAGGGCACACGCAAACAAACACTTGAAAAGAACCCAGCCCCAATGTTTTTCTTGTCACAAACCTGTGATCCAGAAATAAAAATTTCCATTCCAAGCTATGCCTTGAAGTGAATTCCTCTAAAGGTTCGTCAACTATGCACATTTCCTGTATGAGAAGGGGGGAAAAAATGTTGCATAGGATGCCAGATGCTCACCCTAGGTTTGTTCAAGAGTACATGGTGGGTGACAGAAGTTAAAGTCACTTACAGCAAATCTCCAAGTTGTGTTGGACTGAACCTCATCATCTGTAGCTAATTTTGGTATTAGCTGATACTAAATTTATTTTCCAGGCTAGGGAAAAGTACCTAGGAGCCAAAATGTCATACCACTCCCTTCCCATTATCTAGAAGTGTGATAAACATGTGGAAAATGGCTTTTTATCTGAAATTGAATGACTAATTTAACTCAATATTCATGCCATAGTTGTTGAAGCGATCACAGATGGGAAAATACAGACAAACCCTCCGTTTTGACACTCAGCTCTCACCTCTGCCTGCCCTGAGTGGTATTAATGTTGGCGTGAAAGTAGGAAAATTTACAGAGTTATGAAAGAGCATCCCTGCAGGCTGAACAGCAATCGATGCTGCCTTCAAACTAAATAGCTTGTAGGAAGCCAGAGTGAGAGGAAAGAGCATGTGTGGCTGTCACAGGTACAGAAGCCAGCCATTTAAAAATTTCAGAGTGACAACTTCATTGTCATTTTATTCTTTCTCATAATGACAAAAATTAAATATAACTAAATGTGATTCAACTGTAATAGTTCTGTGTGATCAATTTTCCTCTAGATACTTGCCTTTAGGAATTGTGGTGTTGCCAGACGAACGGTGGCGATGAAGCAAACCTCTTTTCCTAGTGGCACCCGGCAAGGCCTTGAAAGGGTGCTGTCAAAGCCATTACAGGAGGGGCTAGGCACTGTTGGGGAGGAGACATAGGTTAGCCTGTCTGGTTCAGTAGCCATAATGATGCTCAGAGTGCTGCATATTCATGTATATTAACTTACTTCATTCTTACAATGACCTGGTGAAGTGCTATTAATCCCTCTGCACAGATGGGGAAACCAAAGGACATTCTGGTAAAGTAACTTGTATAAGGCCAAACAGAGCTGGATTCCAGCCTATGCTTGTAACCAGTATACCCCTCTTCCTCCCAGTCCATTAATCCTACAGTCACTTAAAATGTTGTGCTGGGGTAACTGTAAAATTAGCTTCATTCTGTGGGAAGGACCTGCAGTCAGCATTTTAAGGGTGAGTTCCATAGTCACATGGTATTTCTGGCACAGCTGTGGGGCAATGTTGTGGGGTCTTGGCATCTGTTGATACCCTCCTCCCATCCCTGTCCCTGGTGTGGGCACACCTGGGATTCAAGGGCTGCTGCCCTGAGACTCCCTCAGGAGGCAGGGGCTTTGCTAGGATTCAGGGTAATTCCCACGGGTACATGGTATTGACAACAAAATGTGCTAGTTCTGCGGTGTTGCACAGGTAACAAAATCTGTTTACAGGCCTCTTACTCTGTCAAGTCTGGGAAGCCATCATTTCCTCATTCAGATGAGAGAAACTGAGGTCCAGAAAGATTACATTATATATATGAGACATATATGGAACATATATAAATCAGCTTATATAAATTAAATTTTATATATATATGTACAGGTATAAACCAAAATCACTTAGAGTACAAAGAACAAAACAGGGATCTACATGGGTCTCTGACTCCAAGTCTAGGCTTCGGACAGGGCAGGGGGACTGTGCTAGGAGCACACCCCACTCTCCAGATGCTGATGCTGACAGTAGGTTCCCAAACCCCTGGGGGAGGTATCCTTTGGCACCACAGCAAGGTGGCTGTGGAGAACCGCGACATCTCTGGGGCCAGAGAAAAATTTTGCTATTTTAGGTGGAGCTTGGTGGGTGGGAAAAATATATTAAATACGAGAAAAGTTAAATATGAGAAAAGCCAATTTACCACATAATTGGAATTGTCAAACTTGGCTATACACCAGATTCCCTGGAAACTTTTTCGTGGTTACCCAGGTCCCATCTCTACCACGTTAGCTATTTCAGGAATTCTGGGATGAAATCAGCCACTGACACTTTTACTTTTTTTTTTTTTTTTTTAAGATTTATTTATTTGTTTGTTTGTTTGTTTTTTTTGTTTATACAAGCACTGGGTACAGTCAGAAGCGCGGGAGGGCGAGAGAATTCACCAGAGCCAGAGTGGAGAGCAGAACAGGCAGAAGGACCGATGTACACTGCTGAGGGGAGCAGCGGGCGGCAGGAGAGGTCTGCGCGCCATGTGGGACCCTCCTCCGGTGGCCGGAGAGCAGCCGGGGATCGAACCGGCGCTGCAGAGGCCGCGGGCAGTTTCGCAACCCAGCGCTCAACCGCTGCGCCACCGGGGAGGCCCCACTGACACTTTTAAAGGTGTCCCATATTCACTAACACACAGGCAGGGTCAGGCCCACCACCCCAAGATAATCTACACTGCTTCTTTCTTTTTAAAACATAGTTGATTCTATTTTATACATTTCTGAACTTGTAGATTTAAATATAGTTAGGTTTTCCAATTTGAGCACATTAAGGCATCAGAAACTAAACATTTTAAAATAATATATGCAAGACTGTCTTTGGATTTTAGCTTTCAGAGAATTTTTTATTTTATATGTTTAAAAATTTCTATAATTCTATAATGTGTTCTGCCCACTAATGGGAATAAACTCATTTAACCAAACATGTTCTCTGAATGCATTCACATAGATACCAATAAATGTTTCCCAAAATGAACATAAAGTGAATAAAATAAAAAATAGTAGTCCCCAGAGAGTTTACATCTGTCTTTAATTGGCTTAGGTCATTGCAGATTAATTTGCAGGGTGAACTTATTAAGGGAACTTATCAAGGGAAAGGAAAAACAATTCCACACTAGGGAAGGGTCTGCAGATGTGAACATCTGTGTAATTAAAAAAAAAAGACATTTAAAAATTTCCCAGATGTGAAATATCCTCTCTGTTTGCACGTAAGAGACATCATCAGCCAGACAGTGACCTAATAAAATTCTCCCTAATCTTTTAGAATATGAAGACCTTCTTAGCAAACTTCCAAGGACTTCCTAGGAATTTTAAGAGAAAATATCTGCAATCTATCTCTTAATCATGCACCCTGTTTGAATGACACTTTTAGCTACTAAATATTCACATGCTCTGTCAGTAAGTGCCCTTCTTGGTGATTTACTATAAGGAAGACAAGAGGACAGGAGCAGGAAACACCAGCCCCCTAACAACCTCTATAAGTGGCAAAAACTTGGACAATGGAAATTAAGTGGGTATCCTGAAGAGCTTATTATTGGTTTGGTTGTCTCCCAATGTTGTTTTATCAGTCCTTTTGTAACCTCTAGGGTTTTACAGATGAAAATACACCCACGAAGAAGTTTCATTATCTCCTGTAGCTGTACTCTTGATAAGCCAGTATTTTGTAGAGCAGCTCAGGATCAAGAAAACTCTATTTCTAGGGTCTTCCTGGTGGCACAGAGGTTGAAGTCTCAGCACTATCAAGCTATCACCAGCCACTGCAGCATGAGTTCAATCCCTGGCCAGGGAGCTGACCCACATGGTGCAGCAGACCTCTCCTATCACGCCTGCTGCTCCCCTTGGCAGTGTATTTTAGTAGATCTGCCTGTTCTGGTCCCCACTCTGTGTCTGGTAAATCCTCTCACTCCCTGTACCTCTGAACTGTACCCCAGTTCTTGTATGCATAAATAAATAAAAATAAATCTAAAAAAAAAAAAAACCAACTCTATTTCTAAACAAGCTACTCCCACCCCCAGACCTTAAACAGCTGAAGGTTTGATAAAGAGGGCAGTAGATCAAGGAGGAAAGTTGCAATTGAGGTGAAGGGGAAAACCAAAAGGAAGAAGCTACTTTAAACATTTTGCCAATTGCACTTGAAATTACCTTTCCTCTCAGTGTGAGACTTCCCGCATATTCTAGAGCATCAACCCACGAGCAAACTGCTCCCTGGGCCTTTGTAGTAATATTTAGCACTTAGAATAACTTCTCTGGCACTTCTTATCCCAAGGTAGTTTAAAAACATTAATTAAGGATTTAATTAGTTCTTTCAATTTAAGTAACAGAAAAAATAGATCTAGTTACAACTGGCATCCTCAGCTTCTCAGAAGAATTAACCACTTGGGGCGGGCTTGGCCCTGTTTTATCAGATCTCTGACCAGTTTTATACCTCTCCTTTCCTCTGCCACTCAAAGCCTCCACGCACCCAGCGCTCACGAAATAGATAAAAGTGATTATTTCTTGCTATATTTCTCCCCCTAGAGTCATCTTACTCAAAATTAATCTCACTCTTGCCAGACACTAAAAAAAGAGTGTCCCCCACCGCTGGAACTCGGTCTAGTTAAGTCTCTGGAGCAGGTCTCTTGCACACAGCAGGTGCCCAGCAGTTGCTCACTGAAGGCATCTCTCATGAGATCACCATCCACCTCACATCCAAAGCACAGCTTAAGATCAAGTCTGGAAGAGACTTTTTGACCTTGCCAGCAACCAACGCACAGTCCTTGAGATCCCAAGACTGGCTTCCCCTCCACAGCCCAGCTGGGCTACTGCTGGTGGCTCCCCAAGGAAGGGTGCCCAGCAAGCTCCTGCACAAGCTCTGTTTCGACGCAGCACAAAGAGGAAAACCTTGAAAGTGCCCATCGTGGGTCTCAAGCTTGGAGAGATACAGGATGGAGTCCTGTTTTCTGGTCTTCCAGTTAAAAAGGTCATGGGGTTTACCCAATGCTTTCTTTGCTCCTGAACCTTTCATCACAATCTCTCATTTCAGAGGCTTTGAGAATTTTGTCTTGGGCTGGCATTTCTGGGATTCCAAAAACAAGGGAACTGCAAGGTTCTCTGGAGAATAAGGATATGTCACTTGGCACCCAAGGCTGTCCTCTGAGTGTGTCTGATGACAAAGATGAGCTCGCAGATCCACAGTGATAAGGGGGGCGGATGGCTATAGGGTTGGGGAGATCTCATTGGTAAGAGAACTTGCTTCCCAATGGGGTAGGAAAAATGTGAGGAAGAAGCAGAGATGTTGACAGTGTAGAAAGAAACAGAGAAAGACATGCCAACTCTCCTACTCTATCAGTTCAGTAATTGGGTCTAAACAATTAAGTATTCTGTTCAGAGATGGCCTGCTTGTGATAAATTTGTTTTAACAGTTGTAGGAATATACACCAGTAGTCCAGGAGGTGAGTGACAAACAGCTTTCTCAGCATTTTCCCCCCCAGACTTTGATTTATTAAAACAGAGCCACCTGTTTTCCAAAAATAAACAAACAAATAAACAAACCCTGGCTCTCAGCATTTCTTGAAACAAAAGAAAGACAAAACTCATAGGAGTCCCAGAAGATGAGAAACAATGAATGGGGTGGTTTGCAAAAGGGAGAATAAAGTTCCTAAATCCTATTTGTGATCAACAGCCAAAATGTTTGGGTGAACGTGTTGAAATGTTGAGGGAAAAATAATTTGCTGCACATTCATGAGAAATCACCTCCCACTAATTAAGCACTATTTTCAGATTCTTCTTTTTTCTCTTTGCAGTATGCTTTACCCAATTATGTTCTGAAAAGCCAGGTTGCTGGGTTCTTGAGACAGTGGTGGCAACACAATCCCACCCAATTATTGCCCCAAGGCACCACCTCGCTTGCTGGGGTCAGGCTTAGCTCTCCTTTCTGCCAATTCTCTTTGGCATGTGGGGGACTAATGTTGGAAAGAAGCTAAGATTCACATAAAAAAGCTGGGGAGTTTCAATTTGCCTAACTGAAAAAAAATGACTGTAAGGGGAAAATATATGTCTTAGGCCTCCTCTTTCCCCTGACATTTATTAAGTACTTTGGGGGGCCAGAGGTCACAGTGGTTGATAAAATATC